TTATGTGTGCTCTCCCTGAGCCCGTCCTGCAAAGGACTAACTGTAGCAGAGAAGCCTTTCCTCAGAATCTGTCTACTGTCCAGAGAAACAGCCTATCCCATGATGCTTAGCAAAGTAAAAGACCAGCATTTTCTCTCCTGGAAATTACACTCAATTCTCCTGCCTTATGCTCGTTTGTTCCTCTTATCATAACTGCTACTATATCTTTACTAACACTATCCTGAAGTTGTTCTCAGAATATATATAAGCAACTTCCAAATGACACAATAAAACCCCAATCTGGTCATTTTCCATGCCACGACATAGCCCAGTTGTTGAACTTGTGAGTGGTTTATAAGGAAAATAGTGATGTTGCTTCCTTGTTGCTTAGATCTCAGCCTTGAAACCTCAAGGCCACCCTTAATTGTCTATCTGCACCTTGGAAAGCACACGCCATTTAATTTTACTTACTTCAGGGGCTAGGAAGGTGGCTCAGTAGTAGAGCGCTTGCATTGCATGCCTGAGGCCCTGGGTTCGATTCCTCAGCACCACATAAGCAAAAAGAAAAAAGCTGGAAGTGGTGCTGTGGCTCAAGCGGTAGAGTGCTAGCCTTGAGCTGAAGAGCTGAGGGACAGCGCCCAGGCCCAGACAGAGTTCAGGCCCCATGACCAGACACACACACACAAAAAAAATTTACTTACTTCAGTTTAATCAGAATAGTTTAAAGATGATGTAGGTTCCCTTCATTGTGATTCTAAGCCCAATGGGAACATTCAAAATTGTACAGAGCTTACCTTTGCAGAATGTAGTTTGTTTCCTGTAACTGAGATTTGCTTCTAGAATCCTTAGAATGTAAAATTGTAATTTTATGTAATTTCTTACATGCTTTATCCCTCCTTGATGTGTTTCATGGCTGCTGTGAACAGTAGCAGCCAGTAGGTAAAGCATTAGACTGCAGCTGCTGTTCTGTCCACAACACTAAACACTGTCACCACCTTCCCAGTGCTTACTATGGAAGCTGCTGGCCCTTGGTGCTTACTCTACCACGTCATTCCACTAATACTTGGTTCTCAGGAATCTTCTGAACTCTGCTAACAAAAGTGGACTGCTGAACCCAAGCATGAAGGGAGAGTTTGAGGAACACGAAGTTCTCTTGTCACATCCAACCTGAGTATCTTATTGCTATTAAAGACTGTTTACCATTAATTCCAAAACACTGGACACTGTTATTAAAAAAAAAAAAGTCTTCAGATTTACATAGTAGTGCCTTCCAGAGTTCGGAGATTTGCATCTGTATTTATTTATTATAGCAGTCCTGGGACTTGAACTTGGGGCCTGGGTGCTGTTCCTGTGTTTTTGTGCAAAAAAATTAATGCACTACCTCTTGACCCACAGTTCTGATCCAGCTTTTTGATGGTTAATTGGAGATTAGAGTTTTACATGCTTTCCTGCCCAGGTTGGCTTCAGACTGCTTCTAAGATCTCAGCCTCCAGAGTAGCCATCAGCAGCTGGCTTGCATTTGTTTTATTTTTAAGATGTGTCATAGTCAACTATTATTGTCAGAGAGTTTTTTTTTTTCACATTAAAAAAATGCTATTAAGGGCTGGGAAGGTGGCTCAGTGGTAGAATGCTTGCCTTGCATGCATGAGGCCCTGGGTTCGATTCTTCAGCACCACATAAGTAGAAAAAGCCGGAAGTGACGCTGTGGCTCAAGTGGTAGAGTGCTAACCTTGAGCTGAAGAGCTGAGGGACAGCGCCCAGGCCCAGAGTTCAGGCCCACATCCCACAAAAAAAAAAAAATGCTGTTAAAATCCACACCCTGGAGTGTTGATAGTCATGCATTGTTGGAAACACACATTTAGAGGGTAGATGTGTACGGGAAGTCTCCATCTCTGAGGGATGGCCATACCACTTGGCTGGCCATCTTCTCCTGATACCACTGAAGAGAGAGCTGATGAGAGTTGGCCTGGAGAAAACATCTCACAGAGCAAAACCCCATGCAGATTTTTTTTTTTTTGGTCGGTTGTGGGGCTTGAACTCTGGGCCTGGGCGCTGTCCCTGGGCTCTTCAGCTCAAGGCGAGCGCTCTACCACTTAAGTCATTGCGCCACTTCCGGTTTTCTAGTGGTTTTTATTTGAGACCAGCGTCTCATGGACTTTCTTGCCCAGGCTGGCTTTGAACCTTGATCCTCAGATCTCAGCCTCCTGAGTAGCTAGGATTACAGGTGTGAGCCACCTGCACCCGGCTTGCAGATTCTTTTCATTGTATTTTGGAGGAAGGTATGGAATAGCCCTGGGTTTTTTGGTTTGTTTTTTTTTTTTGGGGGGGGGGGGGAGGGGTCCAGTTGTGGGCCTGAACTCTGGGCCTGGGTGCTGTCCCTCAGCTCTTTACCTCAAGGCTAGTGCTCTACCTCTTGAGCTACAGTGCCACTTCCGGCTTTTTTTTCTGCTTATATGGTGCTGAGGAATCGAACCCAGGGCCTCATGCATGCAAGGCAAGTGCTCTATCACTGAGCCAACTTCCCAGCCCTAGCTCTGGGGTTTGAACTCAAGGTCTCATACTTGGTAGGCAAGTACCACTTGAAAGTAATTCAAATACCACTTGAACCATTGTCCCTAGCCTCCACATTAAATATAATTAACCTATGGTTGCATTTGTACTCAAAGTATGGATTCAATATTGATAGCTTAATTAGGTCAAAAAATTACACTTGTTTTATCAAAATAAGTATTAAATAGTTAATTAAATGCGAGTGCCAATACTGCCTCAAAAAAAACAAATGTTTACTATATTTTTATTTCAATTGTTTTTGTAGAACCTCTGATTATGAATGCCAATGAAAAGTAAAGAAATAATAAATACGTATCATCTCTTTTGTTGGTCATGAGGCTTGAATTCAGGGCCTGTGCACAGTCCCTGAGCTTTTTCACTTCAAGCCAGCACCCTACCACTTTGAGCCATAATACCACTTTCTATTTTCTGGTGCTTAATTGGAGATAAGAGTCTCACAGAGCTGGGTGTTTGGTGGCTCATGCCTGTATTCCTAGCTACTCAGGAGGCTGAGAGCTGAGGATCATGGTTCAAAGCCAGCCCAAGCAGGAAAGGCCCTGAGACTCTTAGCTCCAATAAACCACCAGACAACCAGAAATGGCGCTGTGGCTCAAATGGTAGAGTACGAGCCTTGAGCTGAAGAGCTGAGAGACAGCGCCCAGGACAAGAGTTCAAGCCCCATGACTGGCAAAAAAGGAGAGTCTTACAGACTTCTCTGCCCAGGCTGGCTTTGAACTGTAGTCCTCAGATCTCAGACTCCTGAGTAGCTAGGATTATAGACGTGAGGTACTGGCACCCAACAATCTTTTTTTTTTTTTTTTTTAATGAAACCAGAATTCTTTCTGAGAGCAATTTCTTTTTCTTTCAGAATTTTTAATATCAACAGCAAATCCAGTGAATCCAGGCATAGTGGTGCATACTTATAATCCCAGCACTGGGGAAGCTGAGGCCAGGAGGATCATTATTTTAGGCCTACCTGAGCAACATGATGATACTGTCTCTATCTCAAAGAAAAGGCTGGATGTAGCTTGCTGGCATAGTATTTGCCTAGATGTGCAAGGGCCTGGGTTTGATTAATAGCCCATCCCCACATCCACACCCCACATGCTTGAGATTTGCCCTTTTCTACTATAAGGATTCACCAAACAGGTTGATGAGGTATAAACAAGATGGATATATATCTAGCTTCTTAAGCAAGCATGTAGATATTTGTCATATATTGATAAAAATGTTAATGACTGAACTCATGTAATAGTTCTCTAGCATAATTTAATCCATTGAATTTTAGAGGACATGAAATACTTTACAAGTCAGGTTTTTTTTTGGGGGGGGGGGTTGTTTTTTTTTGTTTGTTTGTTTTTGTTTTTGTCAGTCATGGGTCTTGAACTCTGGGCCTGGGTATTGTCCCTGAGCTCTTTCAGCTCTAGGCTAGAGCTCTACCACTTGAGCCACAGCTCTACTTCCAGTTTTCTGGCGGTTAATTGGAGATAAGAGGGCTGGGAAGGTGGCTCAGTGGAAGAGTGCTTGCCTTACAGGCATGAGGCCCTGGGTTCGATTCCTCAGCACCACATAATAAGCAAAAAGAAAAAAGCCCGAAGTGGTGCTGTGGCTGAAGTGGTAGAGCGCTAGCCTTGAGCTGAAGAGCTGAGGGACAGCACCCAGGCCCAGAGTTCAGGCCCCACAACCGGACCCAAAAAAAAAAAAAAAAGTCTCACAGACATTCCTACCCGGGCTGGCTTTGAACCACAATCCTCAAATCTCAGCTTCCTGAGTAGCTAGGATTACAGGTGTGAGCCACCAGTACCCAGCTAGTTTTTTTAATTTTTATAATTCATATTTTTAATCAATTCAGATTAGGCTGTCTTTGAATTACCCCCATTAGGGGACATTTTTCAAATATATCTGAATGTCAAAATCTCTGGATACACACTTCCTCCTAGGATCCACGCCTGCTGAAAACCATGAATTATAATGCAGTTTGTACGTGTTTCCTTTCATACAATCTGAGTTGTATCACAAAGCCAGCTTGTATTCTAAAGTGCTTTCTCCTAAAATGTCCTGTCTTGTAGATTTGAGCCATCAGGTAACTTGAGATTGTTTGCCACTTGCCTGTTTTACAGATGTGCATTGTTTTTTATTTATCAGAGATAAAGGATGTTCATTTCACTCTATATGCTCTTCCTCTGTTGTATGTATAAATGTATGCCACTTGTCAGTTTTCGTCTTCAAAATGATCTGTATGTACTTGCAGTTGTAATAAAGTGACAGCGCGTGTCAGATACCATCTCTATCTAAATTACAGTAACAAGATGTCAGGTTCCAGGAACCAACTCATTTGATTTTTCTGGCTGGGGGGGGTGGGGGGTTGCGTGGGGCAGGGGGAACGTGTTTGCTTTTTTTTCCCCCTTTCAGTTCTGTGATGTTCATTCTGTTTTTTTCTTTTGTTTTTCTGTTACGTTGTCCCATTTCAGGAGCAATTATGTTTGCCTCTCCACATTTTAGAAGAGAAAGGTTTGAGCCAGGTTGCAGTGACGGTCCAGGCTCTCCTGGAGCTTGCCCCACCCAAGCAGCAGCAGCACCAGCTCTCTGCTGTTTAAGGACATCCAGGCCCCCTGGGCTTTGGCCTGGCCAAAACAAGGAGCAGGACAACGCCATTGCTGCTGCCAGCCATCTGCTTAAACAAAGCTCTGTGTGTTCTTAGAAGGAACTGTTGCCACGATTCCTACCAGGAATGTTTTGCTTCATTTCTCCATTTTAGGGGAGGTTAAATCCATTTCCACTGAATTTATTTTCATGAAGACACAGTTGGTTTTCTCAGGTGAAACTTGTCAGTGCTGAGAATCCAACTTTGATGCCTAAACAGGCTGTGTTTTCATGCAGTCAGCTAATATCCAGAGAGAACACCCTCGCAGACGGATATTTAGCTCTCTTGGGGGAGACAGACGTGCTATTACCTTAACCAGTTCCCAAGATATCTAGAGTTCCCTGGTTTCTAAACACCGTTTAATGACTCTCCTGGAGCATGTGTGAAAACACCGACTCACATTAAGTAGGTCTGGAGCTAGGCATGGAAATCTGCAATTTCCAGCAGGCGCATTCCAGGTGCTTTTGATGTAGCAAAGACCATTGTTCCAAGCCAGGTACTTGTGTGGTTTTGTGGGGTACTGCCCTCACTGCATTTTTCATTCACATTTAAAACCAAAAGCTATATTATGCTTGGTTTGAGTCTTCTATCAAAGGCAAGACAAAAGTCATATGGATAGCCTAGATTTTATATTGTACAGCAGAGAAACACACTTGCATTGAAAGCCAGTGTTCTAGGCCTCCCTCCAGCTTCAGCCACCAGAGCAGCATATTTAGCAGAGGAGCTTCTGTGTGTCATCTTGCTGTAGCAAGCACACATAGGAGACCGGGCAGCTCTCTGGACACCCAGACCTGCAAACACACTCTAGTCACAACTGGCAGTGGCAGATCATGGAAGCAAGCAAAGGGACTGAAGGAAAAGCAAGTGTCTCATCCTTAACTAGCTCCCAATTTCCTGGCTGAATCAAAGCATGCCCTGCATATTAAGGGTGTTCTCCTGTCTTTCCAGCCCCACCCACCTGCCCGCCACAGTGCCAGCACTAGGCTTTGTGATCTCAGGGCCAGGTGCTTGCACAGCAGTCAGAAGCCTTCTAGTTCAAGACCCATAGGCTTTCCTTCCTCTGACCCTTTTTAGGTGTCAGTAATAACTTTTGGTTTTCGCTCTTTGTAAACCAAATAAATAAAGACATTCATTCTATAGGTTTTTCTGTAGCTGTTAACTTGTGGATTTCCTTTACCAGTTCACACATTTGAGCACATTTTTGCCCCTTTTTATCATGTCAGCACAGAATCTACAAGTAAATTCAAGTAAAAATCATTTTGAGTAGCCGGACAAAATAATGTTTCCTCCTCCTCCTCCTTGCAGAGAACATTACCACTTTGTCCAAGTATAAAATTATGTAACGAGATAGCTCAAAGCCCAGTCCTCTGGGGACCTCAGTAATAGAACCAGACCCTGTATACTTACACTTCCAAACACTCCTACCAGTGTGGAACTGATTTAAAACTTAGTTGTGTGTATTTCTCAACTCCAGCTATTTTTCTTTCTAGTCACAGCAATCTCTGAAGATTTTAACATATTTATGAGGAAATAAGTCCAGAGCACGTTACATAATGCAATACTTGTAATTTTTCCACAGCAGTGAGTGGAAATGTTGACTTCTTTCAAAATTTGCACATAATATTAATCCTCATTTTTACCAAAACTAGTTCAAATTTGAATTGTTATGAACAGTTGTGTACAATGCTGGCTGTTTGTGAAGGGAAGACACCATGTTGATTTTTTCTGCCAGCATGTAAAAAATGGTTTATTGGGGAATTTATTATCTCATGTTATTTAAACTGGGAAGAGCAGTTTAATGTTTAGCCTTGCTAGACTCCATGTAAAGTGAACGGGCATTGTCACAGTTGTTCCTGAACTGCCACAGTGCAGTGGCCTTCCCAGCACTGAAGGCCTGAATGGGCTGAGAGGCGGCCCAGCCCTGGCCACCCACAGAGACCGCCCGTCAGCACTTCCCAGCCTGTGGAGCTCACCTGCTTCGCACCTCACACAGTGTTCTCTCTGATAAGCAGATCTGCAGTCAGCTCAGAGGAGGGCCCAGGCCAGTCTTCATAGAGGAGGAAAGGGCTTGGTAGCAGCGGACTTTCCTTAATAGCTCTGAAATACACCCTTCCAGCTAACCTACGAGTCTGTAATCCTCTCGATTTCTACTGTCAGCAGTGACTAATGTGTGCCTGCACTGCTGAGTCTGGTGAATTTTTTCAAAGTGCTTTGATGGTTACAGAAATGAAGGAACACATGCATAGTTAGAGGTCTTTTTTGTATGCACATTGCAGTGAGGTGCTTTACAGCAGATTCCGTTTTCTAAAAATGCTATAAACCTGTAATTAGTAAAAGATTTTGTAAAACACTGTCCTATATTTGTATGTCTGTAAATATATTGTGTATGTTCTAAGTATAAATATGTCAATATTACGTGTTATTTTTAATTTGCCTGTATGCCACCTTACATGTTGAAGTTAAAAGCAAATATTCAGTAACGTAGTAATCATTTGAAGTTGTTTTTACCTAAACTATGGTTCCCAAAGAAAGGGCATCTAATTATTTGAAAGACCACTAATGTTATTAAACTCATGTTATTAAAATATGCCTTCGAGATTAAAATTCACTTTCTTAAGGAAGTACAGATAGCAAGACTTACTTTAGAAGGATCTAAGACTTACATAGAAGGATCACTGCTCTCTCAGACATTACTAGCTGTACAGTAGAGAAAGCTTTATTTTTATTTTTGTTGGTTGTAGGGCTTGAACTCTGGGCCTGAGCGCTGTCCCGCAGTAGAGAAAACTTTTACAGCCCACACACAGCATTCCATTTTGATTAATCAAGGGAAGAATGAGCCAGTGAATTTGTTTTTTAAGAGAAGAGAGGCTGGGTGCCATTGGCCTGTAATCCTAGCAACTCAGGAGGCTGAGATCTGAGGATGGCAGTTCAAAGCCAGCCCAGGCAGGAAAGTCCATGAGACTTATCTCCAATTAACCACCAGAAAACCAGAAGTGGTGCTGTGGCTCAAGTAGTAGAGCACTCGCCTTGAGCTGAAGAGCCCAGGGACAGCGCCCAAGCCCAGAGCGAGCACCACAACTGACCATTAAAAAAAAAAAAGAGCCAGGCACCAGTGGCTCACACTTGTAATCCTAGCTACTCAGGAGGCTGAGATGTGAGGATCACAGTTCAAAGCCAGCCCAAGCAAGGAAAGTCCATGAGACTCTTATCGCCAATACAACACTAGAAAACTGCACGTGGCTCTGTGGCTCAAGTGGTAGAGCGCTCACCTTGAGCTGAAGAGCTGAGGGACAGCGTCCACGCCCAGAGTTCAAGCCTCATGACAAAAAAAAAAAGAGAAAGGATGATAAGCAAACAGTTTTGCTGTGTTTTCATACACCTCAGGCCTTCCTACCCTAGAGAGTAAAATTATAACTCTAGCCCCTCTGTACATCATTATTATAATAACAAAAATTTTTTAATGAAATGGCTCTTATCACTGAGCTAATCAGCTGAAGATATAAAATCTTAAGAGGTTGTGCATGCTAAGATTTCAGGTCAGATATCTAAGGATAACAGTTTGAAGCCAGCCCAGGCAGAAAAGTCCCAAAAGATTCTTATCTCCAATTAACTACACAAAAACCAGAAGTGGTATAGTGGCTCAAAGTGATAAGAATTCAAGCCCTGAGCAAAAGGGCCTAGGTCCTGTATTAACCTCAGAAACAGGGCCTAGGTCCTGAATTCAACCTCCATGGCTGTCAAAAAAAAAAGTGAAATAGTTGTATCACTGGTCAAAAATATGTCTAAACCAGTGCCTTCCCACAAACTAGCATTCTGATCTCCACCACAGGTGAGCTGTGTGGCCTCAAATCCTACTTTTGACAATAAGTATAATGTATAGTCCTACTGTTCCCAGAACACTTGCCAGGACAGCTTATAATAAGATGCCAAGTGATAGTAACTTATGCCTATAATTCTAGCCACTCAGGAGGCTGAGAGCTCTGAGGATTGAGGTTCAAAGCCAGCCTAGGCAGATAAAGCCAAGAGATTATATCCCCAATAACCAGCAAAGTACTGGACTGGAGGAATGGCTCAGTACCAGCTGTGAACAAGAAAACCAAACAAGAGTGTGAAACGCTCATTTCAAGCCCCAGTACTGGCAGAAGAAGGGGGGGTGGGGAATGTGTATTCTATGCAACTTCTCCCCAATTAAAACACTAAAATAATAATAAACGGAAAAGAGGCAGGAAAGCATTTATTAAAACTTTACCATGCGTGTATGCTAGCTAACTTTATAAACAGCACCTTAAAATTCCTACTGAATACTTCATTTTTGTTCTATAAGAGCCTAGTTAGATTAGGTAAGATGCATTACAGGAATTACTGACGTTTTAATACCGTGCTATAACTATACCTAGGAACTTTTTCTGGTGAGTTAAAAATGTGGAAATTTCACACTTTCTTCCAAGCAAAATGAAAATATGCAGTTGAAATCGTAGTTCCGGGTTTATAAACTAGCATAACCGGCAAGGCGATTCCCCCAGCTTCCTCTGCGAATGCCCCAATCATCAAGCTTGTAACTTGATAGTATTTGTATCTTTCTCCAAATCTTTTTTCTCATCCAAACGTCCAGAGAGAAGGACGAAAGAGAACTTGGTCATTTCTTGCCTTTCCACTTGTCCTTGTCCTTGCCTTTACCTTTCACATCCTTGACATCATCTTTCTCTTTCTTAGGCAGTCTGAAAGTTCCAATTTCCTTCCGTACCACTGTGCCTCGCCACCAGGCCTGGAGCTGGAAGAGAGAGGCGAGTACAGGGGGTTAAGAGTGCCCCTTCCAGGGCTGGGAAGGTGGCTCAGGTGGCTCAGTGGTAGAGCGCTTGCCTTGCATGCATGAGGCCCTGGGTTCGATTCCTCATGAGGCCCTGGGTTCGATTCCTCAGCATCACATAAGCAAAGCCGGAAGTGGCGCTGTGGCTCAAGTAATAGAGCACTAGCCTTGAGCAGAAGAGCTGAGGGACAGTGCCCAGGCCCAGAGTTCAAGCCCCTCGACCAAAAAAGAAAAGAAAAGAAAGCTGATTGGACCAACTATTCCCTCACTTCCTTGGACTACTTCCCTTATTTAGGTGTGTGTGTGTGTGTGTGTGTGTGTGTGTGTGTGTGTGTGTGTGTGTGTGTGTGTGTGTGTGTGTGTGTGTGTGCGCGCGCGCGCTGACACGCATATGCGTTTATGCACATGCATGGAACTCAGGGCCTGGGCACTGCCCCTTTTTCCACTCAAACAAGTACATATACCACTTAAACCACAGCTCTGCTTCAGCTTTTTGGATTAACTAGAGATGAGAGTCTCATGGACTTTCCAGCCAGGGCTGGTTTCAGCCACCAGCACCCAGAGCTGCTTCCCTTTATAAGTGTCCAAGTTCCCTACACCTAATAACATTTGATCCAACTGTTTGTTAGCTACCTTGACTCACTCAAAAATATACAAGTCCAGGAGCTGGGAAGGGTAGAGAGCTTGCCTTGCATGCATGAGGCCCTGGGTTCGATTCTTTACTACCACATAAGCAGAAAAAGGAAGTGGTGCTGTGGCTCAAGAAGGGCTGAGGGGCAGTACCCAGACCCCGAGTTCAGGCCCCATGACCAGCAAATACAAGTCCAGCTGGGTGTTGGTGGCCCACACCTGTAATCTTAGCTACAGGAGGCTGAGATCTGAGGGGAACATGATTTGAAGCCAACCGGGATAAGACAGTCCATCTCTGAGACCTATCTCCAATTAACTGCCAGAAAACCAGAAATGGAGCTGTAGCTCAACATGATAGAGTGCTAGCCTTGAGCTCATGGAGTGTTCAGGCCCTGAGTTCAAGCCCTATGACCAACCAAGAAGAAAAAATATATATACAAGTCAAGCTCAGGCACCAGTGGCACACATTTGTAATCCTAGCTACTTAGGAAGCTAAGATCTGAGGACTGCAGTTCAAAGCCAGCCCAAGCAGGAAAGTCCATGAGATTCTTATTTCTAATTAACTACCAAAAAGCCAGAAGTGGAGCTGTGGTTCAAGTGGTATAGCACTAGTCTTGAGCACAAAAAAAAAAAAAAGCTCAGGAACAGCACTTGGGACTGGCACCACCCCTACACACGTGCGCACACACACACACACCAATCTAGATTACTTTGACGGGCTGATGCCTATCATGGTGCACTTCATGCCTCTAAGACAGATTAAACAGTTAACATCCTAAGGTCTTACCATTAGATACAATTGTTCTGAATACAGTCTAGACTTTTTTTTAGACTTTTTTTTTAAAAAAAGTCTAAGCCACTAATGAAAAAGTAGTCTTCATTTTTGCTCAAAGTTAAAGAATCTTGGGTAATTAAAAATACCATAGAAGCTTGATAACTACTTGCTAAGTATACTCTGTCTCCTGGGGGAAAACTTAAAGCTGGGCTTGGGTACCTGGTCCTGAAAGTATTCTCAACTTGCTTTTGGGGCCAGGGCTGTGGCTCAGTGGTAGAGCTCTTGATTGTATGTGGTGAGGGGCAAGGTTCAATCCCCAATACCAACAAACAGAAAAAAAAAGTCAAGATTCTTTTTTTTGCAACCCAAATACATAGTCTGCCTTAAGATGTTCCTCTTTCAGAGAGAACAGTCACCTTCCAGCCAGCCATCAGGATTTTTGCTTAAAATGTTTCCCAGGATCTGCAAATTGCTAGCATTGTTGTAAATAGTATGCGTAAGTTCATACATAAAGTTAAAATATTCCTTTCTAACCTGCTGCCCACTTTTTTTTTTTGGGGGGGGGGGGTCCAGTCATGGGCCTGAACTCTGGGCCTGGGCGCTCTCCCTTAGCTCTTCCCCTCAAGGCTAGCGCTCTACCACTTGAGTCACAGCAACACTTCCGGCTTTTTTTTCTGCATATGTGGTGCTGAGGAATCGAACCCAGGGCCTCATGCATGCAAGGCAAGTGCTCTACCACTGAGCCACCTTCCCAGCTCTTGCTGCCCACTATTATTGTTGTTGTTGGTTGGGGTTTGAACTGGAGGCCCTGGATACTATCCCTGAACTCTTTTGCTCAAGGCTAGTGCTCTACCACTTGAGCCACAGTGCCACTTTGGTTTTTCTGGTAGTTAATTAGAGATAAGAGTTTCATGGAAGCCGGGCGCCAGTGGCTCATGCCTGTAATCCTAGCTACTCAGGAGGCTGAGATCTGAGGATCACGGTTCAAAACCAGCCCACGCAGAAAGTCCGTGAGATTCTTATCTCCAATAAGCCACTTGAAAACCAGAAGTGGTGCTGTGGCTCAAGTGGTAGAGCGCTCACCTTGAGCTGAAGAGCACAGGGACAGCACCAAGCCCAGAGTTCAAGCCCCATGACTGACCAAATTAAAAAAAAAAAAAAAGAGTCTCATGGACTTTCCTTCCCAGGCTGGCTTTAAACCACAATCCTCAGATCACAGCCTCCTGAGTAGCTAGGATTACAGGCCTGAGCCACTAGTGCCCAGCCCCTCCCACCTTTTTAGAAAGCAGTCTATATCAGAATGCAGCAGATAAGGGCTAGCGAATGGCCTAAGTACTACAGTGCCTTATTTGCAAGCACCAGGCCCTGAATTCAAGGCCTATATTACAAACATTAAAAAATAGCAGATAGTCTAGGCTACTTATAAATAGGATTTTAGGAAGCAGTAGGAAGCAGGTTCTGATTTGAACTCTCCTCAAACTTGACCTGTGGACTTTGGTTTTGTTTCCATCCCCAGAGGAAGAGCTGGCATGCCACCTGTCTCCCTGAAGAATGGGCTGGTAGCAAATTCTAGTAAGAACCTAAGGCCAGACCTTCTCCCAGATCTATTCCATGGCAGACCACTATGCCTCTGACAGTGTTCCTGTGTTCCTGGTTAGGCCAGCTATGGCAATGGTAGGACCCCAGGACACTGATGGTGGTTTTCTACCTTTATGATGCTCTTCAGTTCCAAGTCATCCTGTTCAATCTTCTTCCGCGTCTTCTCCTTTTCTATACGATCTTCCATAATGACCTGCTCATACTCCCTTATCTGCAAATTAGACACAAGACACATGCTACAGCACTCTTCTGGCTCAGCTGTGGCCCTACCAGCCCTGTGCTTTCATAGAAAGTTTTACAATAAAACATGCAAATCAAAATACAACCCAAAGAAAAGAAGATCTTACTACACTTATAAGTATCCAATTTTTTTTTTGGCTTGAGTAATTCAAATTGAACTTTAAAATCTTTCACAAAAATTGGGCTGGGAAGGTGGCTCAGTAATAGGTCCCATGATCGACCAAAAGCAAAAAATTCTTTCACAAAAATGAAATACTATGTGTATAATCAGTGGCAACGTGATTTTAAGAACAGAAAAAAAGGGGGCTGGGAAGGTGGCTCAGTGGTAGAGCGCTTGCCTTGCATGCATGAGGCCCTGGGTTCAATTCCTCAGCACCACATAAGCAGAAAAAGCCGGAAGTGGCGCTGTGGCTCAAGGGGTAGGGCCCTAGCCTTGAGTTGAAGAGCTGAGGGTCAGCGCCCAGGCCCAGAGTTCAGGCCCCACCACCGGCAAAAAAAAAAACCATATTAATAGTAATACAATTATATATTTTTAAAAACCCTCTGGCAGAATGTACAAGTGCAAATAGCCTTTCTTTTTCTTTTTTTTTTTCTTTTTCTTTTCAGTCCTGAGGCTTGAACTCAACTTGGGCATTATCCCTGAGCATCTTTTGCTCAACGCTAACACTGTACCACTTGAGCCTTAGTGCTACTTTCAGCTTTTTCCAAGTAGTCTATTAGAGCTAAGAGTCTCAAGGACTTTCCTGCCCAAGCTGACTTTGAACCATGACCCTCAAATCTCAGCCTCCTGAGTAGCTAGGATTACAGGCATGAGCCACTGGTGCCCAGTAGCAAATAGCCTTTAAAAGAGAAATTTAGGATGTTCTACGCTCATCCTATGATGACACTTCCAAATTGTTTTCAGCAACCAGAAAGTGGAAGTGATAGCACAGTACCAATCTCAAAGGCTAGTTCTATGTGCACTAGCAATAAGCAAGCTAGCTGAACTAATAAGAAAATGCCTGGGGTACAGTAAGCTCAGGGTTAGTGCTCACTGCTGCTACTTCCCCTGGCATCCTCAGTTATCATCTGAGGAGAACCCCTCATTCCATTCTCCAGCCCCTGCGGCTGAGCCACCGCCTGCTCCTCCAGCCACCTGGCCATGGCTTACCATCTTTGCCAGTTCCTGAAGGTGTGCCAAGTCAGTGGCCTTTGCAGTCTGGAGAGCAGTTAGTTCATTCTGTTTCATTTCTGTGTCTTTGTCAAACTTCTCCATCCAGTACTCTAGTTTCTCCTCAAGTTTCTATTTGGAAAGAACAAAAAAAACATGGCTTCTATCATTTATTTATAAGGTTCAAAAACAAGCAAAACTTTCTCCAGTGACAGACCACAGGTTACTCATGGATGAGGGCACTACTGGCTAGGGAGACTGAGATGATGTGATCTGTCTTTATACCTGGGCAATGGTTAGATGGGTATGTTTACATAAACACTCATCTAACTGTCCACGCAGTCTCATTCTGTACTGTTCTCTATATGCTACTCAATTTAAATGTAGGAAGAGGGCCTTCTAGATGTCTGGGGAAGGAAAATTGAACTAGAAAGGTGGATTGAAAATTCTGAAGGAGAGACTAGTATTTGATCCTGTTTATAAGAATGCACACACAGGGGCTGGGAAGGTGGCTCAGTGGTAGAGCGCTTCCCTTGCATGCATGAGGCTCTGGGTTCCATTCCTCAGACCATATAAGCAGAAAAAGCCGGAAGTGGTGCTGTGACTCAAGTGGTAAAGCACTAACCTTGAGCTGAAGAGCTGAGGGACAGAGCCCAGACCCAGAGTTCAGGTCCCATGACCGAGGAAAAAAAATGCACATGAGGCACGTGCATGTGCCCACACACGCATGCTAAGACTAGAATACTTGAACAGGAGATCTTGCTCTGCTTTTTTTTTTGGGTCCGGTCATGGGGCCTAAACTCTGGGCCTGGGCGCTGTCCCTCAGCTCTTCAGCGCAAGGCTAGCGCTCTACCACTTGAGCCACAGCGCCACTTCCGGCGTTTTTTCTTTTTGCTTATGTGGTGCTGAGGAATCAAACCCAGGGCCTCATGCATGCAAGGCAAGTGATCTACCACTGAGCCACCTTCCCAGCCCCTTGCTCTGCTTTTTCTGCTCACATTCTACCAGCAGTTGAGCCAGAGCTCCACTTCCACATTTTTGCTAATTAATTGGAGATAACAGTCCTTTATTTGTCTGCCTGGGCTGGCTTCAAATTGAGAACCTCAGATTTCAGCCTCCTGAGTAGCTAGGATTGCAGGTGTGAGTCATGGATGCCCAATTGAGATGCCTTTTTGGTTGACAGCACTGACTAGTAGCCAAGAAGAGTCCAAAGTTTTCAGAATCTCTCTCTGTCTCTGTCTCCCTCTTTGTCTCTCTCTCTCTCTCAAAAAAGATATTAAGTCCATAGGAATCTAACATTCAAATTTGAGCCAGATGCCCATGTCCCTTACCTACTAAAGAGGCTGAAAATCTGAGGATCACAGTTCAAAGGCAGCCCAGGCAGAAAAGTTTGTGAGACTCTTATCTCCATTAACTACCAAAAACCTGGAAATGGAATTGTGGCTCAAAGTGGTAGAGCACTAACCTTAAGCACAAAAGCTCAAGTACAGTGCCCAAGCCCTGAGTTCAAGTCCCAAGACCAGCACACACACAAAAAAGAAGGGAACCAGTTCCAGATAGGAGTGTCCAACTAAAGTGTAATGATACAATGTTGTATTTATCCTATTTGCATTAATTTCTACTTAAGGCAAGTGACATTGGTTTTCTTTTTTTAAAAAAATTGTGCCTATAATACTGGGGATTGAACTCAGGGCCGGAGTGCTCTCCTTTGGCTTTTTCATTCGAGGCTGGTGCTTGACTGCTTAAACCACATCTCTACTTCCAGCTTTTTGGTGCATAATTAGAATAAAGAGTCTTTTGTTCTGTTTTGTTTTTTGGTCCGGTCGTGGGGCCTGAACTCTGGGCCTGGACACTGTCCCTCAGCTCTTCAGCACCCTACCACTTGAGCCACAGCGCCACTTCCGGCTTTTTTCTTTTTGCTTATATGGTGCTGCGGAATCGAACCCAGGGCCTCAGGCATGCAAGGCAAGCGTTCTACCACTGAGCCACCTTCCCAGCCCTGGAATAAAGAGTCTTACAGACTTTTCTGCCCAGGTTGGCTTCAAACTATCATCCTCACATCTCAGCTTCCTAAGTAGCTAGGATTATAGGCATGAACCACCCATGCCCAGTTGGTTTTCTTCTTTCTCTTTTTTTTCTTTCCTTTCTTTCTTTCTTTCCTTTCTTTTCTTTCTTTCTTTCTTTCTTTTTTTTTTTTTTTTTGCCTGTCCTGGGGTTTGCACTCAGGGTCTAGGCACTGTCCCTGAGCTTCATTTTGCTCAAGGTTAGCGCTCTACCACTTAGCGCTCTACCACTTGAGCCACAGTGCTACTTTATGCTTTTTCCGTTTATGTGGTAATAAGGAATCAAACCCAGGACTTCATGCAAGCACTCTACCACTAAGCCACATACCCAGACCCATGTTTTTCTTTTTATGTAATGAACAGAAAATTTTAAAATAAATTTTGTTGTGTTAGGTGAGTCATGATGAGGGAAAAAAAAAATAACTCAGATGTGTGAAGAGGTTAGAAAGCCAAGAATGTGGTATATAGATAATTGACTAGGCCAGAGAGCAAAATAAAAACTCCATCAATCCAAGGAAGTGAAAAAACACTAGAAATCCTGAAAAATAATTCTGGTTGTGGTGACTCACACAGATACTACGGATTTAAGACAAGGAGGATTGTGGTTTAAGGCCAAAGTGCAGGTGAATATAATAGTACATTTTGAGGGGCTGGGAAGGTGGCTCAGTGGTAGAGCGCTTGCCTTGCATGCATGAGGCCCTGGGTTCCTATTCCTCAGCACCACATAAGCAAAAAGAAAAAAAGCTGGAAGTGGTGCTGTGGCTCAAGTGGTAGAGCGCTAGCCTTGAGCTGAAGAGCTGAGGGACAGCACCCAGGCCCAGAGTTCAGGCCCCACAACCGGACTCCCCCCCCCCCCCAAAAAAATAGTACATTTTGATTTATTGGCATGTTATATTTTTGGCAGTAGTGGGATTTGAATTAAGGGCCTTGCATTTGCTAGTCATGCATGCTACTGCTGGCTCACACCTCCAGCTCTTTTTTTTTTTTTTTGCAGCAGTTATTTTAAAATGAGGTCTTGTTTCCTGTCTGGCCTGTCTGTGCCTGAACCGTGATCCTCCTGCTTTTTGCTTTCTACCATAGCCAGGATATCAAGCATGTACCAAGATTCCCAACTTCAATTGAGAAGCCCTACCTGGGCTGACCCAAATCGTCAATCCTCCTGCCCTCTCCCACGTGTGCCACCATGATTAGTGGAGAAGCCGTGTCATCTGTCTATGCCCAGGCAGGCCGAGAACCAATCATTCCTCTGATCTCAGCCTCCCAAATAGCTAGGATTGGAGGCTTTGAGCCACAGTACTCATCTTTATTAGCATAATAATGGAGAAAAATATGTCGCCTCAATGGATAAATTTAAAAATAAAAGCCTTGGGCAAGTTACGAAACTCCTGAAGAATAGACCTCATGAATAAAACAAAACAAAAACCTTCCTATTTGTGCCAGTTAGCAATTTATCAGTTCTCAGCTTCTAATTCATCCTTCACTGAAACCTTGCTTGGTGAAACCTTGGATTTTGCCAGTAGAGGGCAGTAGAGAACATGGCGGGAGGGCTTCTCTTCCTGGCTCCTGCCTGTTGCGGGAGGGGCAGGAGAGGGTGGGTAGGGGAACACCCATTACCCATTCATTAACACGTCTGATGACACCACAGCCAAACATGAATTTAAATATGACTCAACTTTAGCAAACCTCTTATCATCTGAATGAATGGAAACAATCTTCCTTTTAAATATATTACTAACCTCATTTTGGTGGGGGGGAAGAAATTAGCAAACTTCACTTTCCTGCTTGCTAGCTTTATCTTGGCTCTGGGAAATACAGCAAGGTCTCTACTGCCCTGGAGGCCCAGCCACACACTCTCCTGTGAATATTAGCCTGGGAAGGATCCTCCCCTTCCAGGATCTCCAACTTTTTTCTTTTTCTTATTGTCAGTTGTGGGCCCTGAACTCTGGGCCTGGGCACTGTTCCTCAGCTCTTCAGCTGTAAACTAATGCTCTACCACTTGAGCCTCAGCCCCACTTCTGGCTTTTTCTGCTTATGTGGTGCTGAGGAATCGAACCCAGGGCCTCATGCATGCAAGGCAAGCACTCTACCACTGAGCCACCTTCCCAGCCCCTAGGGCCTCCAACTTTACACTTTTCTTCTATCAGTCCAGGCCCTGGGCTATTCTTTAGAGAGAGAGAAAGAGAGAGAGAGAGTGAGAGAGAGAGAGAGAGAGAGAGAGAGAGAGAGTGTGTGTGTGTGTGTGTGTGTGTATGAGAGAGAGAGAGAATACTCAGGGCCTCTAGCTCTTGCTTGGATTCCTTCCTCCCCTTCCCCAAGATTGGTGCTCTACAACTTGAGCCACACCTCCACTTCTGGCATTTTTGCTGGTTAACTGGAGATAAAGAATCTCACAGACGTTTTCTGACCAGGCTGGCTTCAAACCATGATTCTCAGATCTCAACCTTCCCCCCCCCTTCCCCCCACCCCCATCTATTGTGGGGGTTGAAATCTGGGCCTGGGCGCTGTCCCTCAGCTCTTCAGCTCAAGGCGAGCACTCTACCACTTGAGCCACAGTGCCACTTCCGGTTTTCTGGTGGTTTATTGGAGATGAGAGTCTCACAGACTTTCCTGCCTGGGCTGGCTTTGAACCATAATTCTCAGATATCAGCTTCCCAAGTAGCTAGGATTATAGGCATGAACCACCGGCACCTGGCTCTTTTTTTTTTTTTTGGTCAGTTGAAAGACTTTAACTCAGGGCCTAAGTACTGTGCCTGAGTTCTTTTTTTTTTTTTTTTTTTGGTGGGGGGGTCCAGTTATGGGGCCTGAACTCTGGGCCTGGGCACTGTCCCTCAGCTCTTCAGCTCAAGGCTAGCGTTCTACCACTTGAGCCACAGCGCCACTTCTGGCTTTTTTCTTTTTGCTTATGTGGTGCTGAGGAATCGAACCCAGAGCCTCATGCATACAAGGCAAGTGCTCTACCACTGAGCCACCTTCCTAGCCCCTGAGCTCTTTTGCTGAAGGATAGCACTCTTGCTACTTTGAGCCACAGAGCCACTTCTTGTTTTAGAGTAGTTAATTGAATGTAAGAGTCTCACAGGGACTTTTCTGCTGGGCTGGTTTTGAACCACAATCCTCAGATCTTAGCTTCTTCAGTAGCTAAGATTACAGGTGTTGAGCCATCAGTGTCTGGCGAAAGTTATCTTCCATCCCTATGGTAGCCAGTCCCTTTTTAGTGACTCATGAGTCTTCTGTTAAATTTTCTCTTCTCAAATTATTGATATGGTTTGTCACCTAAACGGATCATTAATAATACAGAATTGATGGCAGAAATGGAATTTTTCTCCTGCCCCCTAGTTCACATCTACCTCACTAGACATCATCTGAAGTCCATGTTACTTTCTGATCATCAGATGCCATCAGCACAGCGCCATCAGTGCAGCGGGCAACTATACTGTCCTGTACGAAGTCAAAGCAAGCAAAATATCTGGAGACCACATGATGGGAGCAAAAAAGAGAATGGAGGGGCTGGGAAGGTGGCTCAGTGGTAGAGCGCTTGCCTTGCATGCCTGAGGCCCTGGGTTCGATTCCTCAGCACCACATAAGCAAAAAGACAAAAGCCAGAAGTGGCGCTGTGGCTTAAGTGGTAGAGTGCTAGCCTTGAACTGAAGAGCTGAGGGACAGCGCCCAGGCCCAGAGTTCAAGCCCCACAACTGAACCCCCCCCCCCCCAAAAAAAAAAAGAGAATGGAGGTAGTATGGATGTAAGACTGGAGTTACTCGACCTTGCCAGGTAAAAGTAAACTGCTCCTGGTGGCTCCTGGTGGGTTAGTTTGTTTTTTCTATTGATTTGGAAACAAGAGCTTTGACCAGCTTGACAACTAAATACCAATTTCCAGAGGCTGGTGACAATTTGCTATAGTAATGTATTAGATATGAATAGTAGCTGCAATTGAAGTCACTAGCTAATGACACAGAAAATAGTTGAGTCACTTCCAAGAGCCATTCAACCTCTGCCAGGCAAAACAGTAAAGTTAAAGGGTATGGTAAGAATCACCATGCTGGGTGGTAGTGGTAGACTGGCTGCTTAGCATACTTGAAGCCCTGGGTTCAATTCCTCAGCACCACATAAACAGAAAAAGCTAGAAGTGGTGCTGTGGCCCAAGAGTGGTAGAGTACTAGCCTTGAGCAAAAAAAGCTCAAAGAAGCTCAGGGACAGTGCCCACCAGGCTCTGAGTTCAAGCACAGGATAGGGATACACACACACACACACACACACACACACACACACACACACACACACACACACACACAATCAGTGGATAATTTTGGTAACTCACCTGTTGCTCTTTTCTAAGGAACACTTCAATCTCCATATGAGTTCGGTTCTCTTCTTCTGTTTTCATCCTTAGTTTCTATAAGAACAAGAATCAAATACCAAATACAAAAACTTCTGGGATCAGGGGCTGGGAAGGTGGCTCAGTGGTAGAGCGCTTGCCTTGCATGTCTGAGGCCCTGGATTTGATTCCTCAGTACCACATAAGCAAAAAGAAAAAAGCCGGAAGTGGTGCTATGGCTCAAGTGGTAGAGCGCTAGTCTTGAGCTGAAGAGCTGAGGGACAGTGACCAGGCCCAGAGTTCAGGCCCCACGGCCGGACCAAAAACAACAACAACAACAAAAAACTTCTGGGATCAGAAATTTTCAGGCAACAGGTGCAGCTGAGAACAGCAAGTTTCCTCGGCAGCTGGGATCCAGAAATGCCAAGGCTTCGCTCCAGTTTGGCTTCCTTCAACTCCACTGACATTTTGCAAGCACAACTGAAGGTTGGCACCACCTTAACTATATGCAAAGTCCCCACACACAACCACAATCCTGTCACCCAGAAAGTAGTATCTGTTTAAGGAGAAAAATAATGCTTCAAAGGCACAAGATTCTTAGGCCCAGGAAAGGGAATCCAGAACACAAGATGAAGTGTTTTGTCAGGTCGTGGGCACCATCTAGGGGTGAGCTTTCACATAACAGAGTCATGCCTCCCCCACCCCTCTTTTTTCTTCTAGTTTTCTCAGTCTGGCCTCAGATTCCCAATCCTCTTTTATTACACTCCTACTTTATAGACATGTGTTGACACATCGAGCTCGCTAAAACCCTTCCCAGGAAGGATGTTTTTCTGGCCAGTCTTAAGCCATTTAGCTCCTCTCCTCTAATGAAGGTCTACCCTTCCTTCATCTGAGAGTTTTCGAGAGTGACTTCTCAGCTTCATAAATGAGGGCTGACTGAAGTTCAACTGTCCAGATTTTGTATTTCTTATGGGAAGGTAAAAGGTGCTGGTTAACTGAGGTACTGTAGCAAAACCCTGCAGTGATTAAGTATCTTGTTTTTCATCTCCCAATAATCACCAAGGAAATGGCTAGTGGACTTAAAAAAAGAGTAACAGAGTGGGCTGGAGGTGCGGCTCAGGTGGTAGAATGCCAAGTGAGAGAGGAGGGGCATGAGGCCCTGAGTACCTAGTACTAGCAAAAAGAAGGAGGTGGGAGGAGAAGAGAAAGAGGGGAAGGAAGAGAAAGTAGTGACTGGCCAGGCTTAGGTACAGCTACTGGAGAGGTTGAAGCAAGAGGATCACTTGAGCCTAGGAGTTCAAGCACAGGCTGGGAAGCATATTGAGACCCTGTTACCACCAGTCCCCTCTCCAATAAGAGACTGAGGAGAGATAGTACAACCAATTTTCAAAGTTGTTATAGGAGAAGTAGATGTATGTAATAGCCCATCAAAATCTCTGCTTGTGGGCTGGGAAGGTGGCTCAGTGGTAGAGCGCTTGCCTTGCATGCATGAGGCCCTGGGTTCGATTCCTCAGTACCACATAAGCAGAAAAAAAAAGCCGGAAGTGGTGCTGTAGCTCAAGTGGTAGAGTGCTAGCTAAGAGCTGAGGAACAGCGCTCAGGCCCAGAGTTCAGGCCCCACGACCGGACCCAAAATCTCTGCTTGTGCCTGGCACTGGTGGCTCATGCCTGTAATCCTGCTACCTCAGGAGGCTGAGATCTGAGGATTGCAGTTCAAAGCCAGCTGGGGCAGGAAAGTCCATGAGAAAGTCCATGGAAAGTCCAATTAACCACCAGAAAACTGGAAGTAGAACTGTGTGGCTCAAGTGGTAGAGTGCTAGCCTTGAGCAAAAGAATCTCAGGGACAGTGTCCAGACCCTGAGTTCAAGCCCCAGTAGCACCACCACCACCACCAACAACAACAAAAAAAAAAAAAAAAAGGAAAAAATCTGCTTGTAAAGACTTAAAACTTCAGTTAGGCTGAGCTCTATCCTAACTACTCAAGAGACTGAGATCTGAGGCTTATGGTTGAAAGCCAATTGTCTGCAAGACAATTATCTCCATTTTACCAGCAAAGAGATGGAAGTGGAGGTGTGGCTCAAATGATAGACTGCCAGTCTTGGGAGTAGGGAGATCTAAACAAGAGTGAGAGGCCCTGAATTCAAGCTCCCGTACCAACACACACACACACACACACACACACACACACACACACACACACACACACACACACACACACACACACACACACACACACACACACGATTTAACTTAGTCATATTTTTTGCCCCAAGGGCTGATGAATGGTAGATGCAGATGGGAGAAAATCTTCCTCTGCCTCCTCTTTGGTTAGCTGAGGCAGTATCAGAAGTGACAGGTCAAATGGCACCTAACCCAAGACCTGGCATATGCTGGGATGCCTGGGCACATGATCTACCCCTGAGCTACATCTCCACCTGCCCGGTGCTTTCTAGTGTAGCCGCGACTACCTCAATCTCCTCCATCAAGAGTTCCTCTGCCTTGTTACATTTTCTCTGGGTCTGAGAAATCTGCAGCTCAGTATTTTTTTTCATATATTGATTCTCCATGTTGGTTTTTGCCTTCATCTCTTGAAGCTGGTCCTTGAGGTGAGAAATATATTCATTCCGACTCTGCAGAGAGAAGACCAGGCTTTAATTCATTCATACATTCATTCAGGTGAGGGCCTCTGGTGCCAAACTGTGAGACCTGAAAGGGTTAAAGAACTTGGAATGCCAGCTGGAAATGCCCTCTGAATGTTGAGGGCCCAGCCCAAGTAAGGTCAAAAATGGTCAAGAGCAACAGAGGTGAACATTACTACCCCAAATGTGTTTTGGTTTTTTTTTTTTGTCGGTCATGGGGCTTGAACTCTGGGCCTGGGCGCTGTCCCTCAGCTCTTCAGCTCAAGGCGAGCGCTCTACCACTTGAGCTACAGCGCCACTTCCGGTTTTCTGGTGGTTTATTGGAGATAAGAGTCTCACGGTCTCTCCTGCCCGGGCTGGCTTTGAACCGCGATCCTCAGATCTCAGCCTCCTGAGTAGCTAGGATTACAGGCGTGAGCCACCAGCACCCGGCCCCAAATGTGTTTAAATAGAGCTGCTTGGATACTAAAAGCTTGAGAACTTGGAGATCAGATGGATGTCTGTTTTATTGCCCCCTTCTGCTTCCCAACAATAAGGGAGTCAATTATTTCTATGTATACAAATTATACCTCATATTAATGGTTATAACCACAAGGTAGCTTGATAACCTAGTCTCTGCATAGATTGATTCTCGAGTCTCTACATTTATCTGTAATCGTTCCTCCCCCTATACTGAAATCAATAAAAACACTTGTTTACAGGGCCAAGGTAATCAGAAGTCCAATGAGCTTTTGCTTCCCCTGGTCCCCCAAAATATCAATTCTTTCACCTTGTTTCCTGTTCTTTTTCCTGGTTGCAGCGGTCAGCAACAAATTTATATAGATGTGTGTATATACGTATGTGTGTACATATATATATATATACATACATATATTCATCAGCAGAAAAACTGGCTAAATAAATAAATGAAAAGTCAAGAAGTTTTTTTTTTTTGAGAGGTCGAATCAGGAGTCTACTGCAAGTAGACTCATGTCTCCATGAACTTGCAGCAGCCAAGAATTATTATTATTATTTTTTTGCCAGTCCTGGGGCTTAAACGCAGGGATGGGCATTATCCTTAAGCCTCTCTGTGCTCAAGGCTAGCACTCTACCACTTGAGCCACAGAACCATTTCCAGCCTTTTCTGCTTATGAGGTACTGAGGAATCGAACTCCAGGGCTTCATGCATGCTAGGCAAGCACTCTACCACTAAGCCACTTCCCCAGCACAAGAAAGACATCTATGTAGACATGTAAGCTCAGTAACTTTTAATGTTATGCAGGTAATTCTTACCTGTACTTCAGCTTGTCGTTCTTTTTTTACATTCATTACTTGCTTCTGAAGAGATTTGATCTGCTTTTTTCCTTTTTCCTCCCTAGAAGAAACAAGAATAAATATAGTAGGGTATGGTGGCACATACCTGTAACCCCAGTACTCTGGAGGCTATGATAGGAGGAACATGAACTGCTTAGCAAGAACCTGAGCAAAAATTAAAAAATAAACAAGGGAGTTGGGTACCAGTGGTCCACAAGAGCCTTATCTTCAATTAACCATCACAAAGCTGGGAGTGGAACTGTGGCTTAAAGTGGTGGAATACTGGCCTTGAGCAAAAAAGCTCAGGGACAGTGCCCAGGCCCTGATTTCATGTTGGTACAAAAAACAAAAGAGTCTTTACAACTCTGAGATTCCATCTCCTCTCAGTTAAATGGGCCAACATTGTGAATTCATACAACAAATGTTGGTGGGGATGTGGGAAAAAGGAACCCTATTGCACTGTTACATTCCCACTATTGGTAGGAATGTAAACTGGCACAACCATTTTGGACAGCAGTCTGGAGTTCCTCAAAAAACTTAACATAGATCTTACTACAACCCAGCCATACACTTCTGGGAATCTACCCAGATCATTACAAGTCAGATACACTAAAGACACTTGCACATCTATGTTCATTGCTACACTATTCACAACAGTCAAGTTATGGAAACAGCCCAGATACCCTACAACAGATGAGTTAATTAATAAAAGGTGGTTCCTATGCCCGGGCTGGTTTTGAACGGAGATCCTCAAATCTCAGCCTCCTGAGTAGCTAGGATTACAGGCGTGAGCCACCCCATGACTGGCTTACACAATGGAATTTTGCTCATCCATTAGAAAGAATAAGATTACATTATTTGCAGGGAAATTGATAGACCTAAAACAAATCATGCTAAGTAAGGTAAGCCAAGCCAAGCTCAGAGAGACAAATAATGCATATTTTCTCTCATATGTAGAAGCTAGATCTAAAATATAACTGGATATGATAACCTATACAGAACTCTAAGCATTCACACACAAATAGCCTAATAGAAGATACCCTTAGGGGAGGATCACAAAGGTGTAACTTTTCTGAAAACTTAAAATACTATTTATCAAAATGAAGTCCAGGAAATGGAAACATGTTTTTTTTTTTTTTTTTTTGTCGGTCGTGGGGCTTGAACTCTGGGCCTGGGCGTTGTCCCTCAGCTTTTCAACTCAAGGCGAGCGCTCTACCACTTGAGCTACAGCGCCACTTCGTGTTTTTTTTTTTTTTTTTTTCTGCTGTTGTTATTGTTATTATTGTTGTTGGTAGTGATGGTGGTGTTTGTTTTTGCTTTGTGTTTTTTCTTCTGGAGGGGTAGGGGGGGCCACAGAAAGGGAGAAAGGAAGAGTGAACAAATGCAATAATGATATTCAGTATACATTATGTGAAAAATGAGCTATGTAATTTGTGGGCAGGAATGGGAGGGGAAAATGGGTAAAGAAAAGAAATGTACTCATTACCTGACTTATGAAATGGTAGCCCTTCTGGACAGCATTAATAATAACAATAAAATTACTTTGTTTAAAAAGGAAGATTACTATGGAAAAACAATATCCTTTCCTGTGGGGGCTGGGGGGCGGGGTTAAGGGGGTACTGGGTGTTGAATCCAGGGACTTTCATACGTTAAGCAAGTACTATACTGCTGAGCTATATCCACAATTCCTTTCTTTGAGTCACATTTCCCTGTGATGCCCAGGCTGGCCTCAACCTGTGATCCTACTACCTCAATTTCCTCAACAGAGTCAGGATTACAGATGTATACCACCATACTAGGCTATAATATCCTTAATATATCATAAACTCAGATAACTAGGGTCCCAATAATGTGAGTTATTGTCTTAGCTAGGTTGGAATGGAATCCAAATTGCTGACTTCTAGCTATCTTTGCTGGAAAATTCATGCTTAGTACGTTTTAGAAGTGTCAAGGGCTGAGTCTGGGAATGTGGCTTAGTGGCAGAGTGCTTACCTAGCATGCATAAAACCCTGGGTTTGATTTGTCAGTAGCACATAAAGAGAAAAAAGTTGGAAGTGATGCTGTGGCTCAAGTGGTAGAGTGCTAGCCTTGAGCAAAAATAAGCTCAGGGACAGGGACAGTACCCAGACCCTGAGTTTAAGTCCCAGGACTGGCAAAAAAAAAAAAAAAAAAAAGTAGTCAAGGGCTTTTTATAACAGTTTATAGCATTCAAGAATACTGCAGGGGCTGGGAATGTGGCTCAGTGGTAGAGCACTTGCCTCGCATGCTCGAGGCCCTGGGTTCGATTCCTCAGCACCACATAAGAAAAAAGCCAGAAGTGGTGCTGTGGCTCAAGTGGTAGAGTGCTAGCCTTGGGCTGAAGAGCTGAGGGACAGCACCCAGGCCCAGAGTTTAGGCCCCATGACCGGACCCAAAAAAACAAAACAAAACAAAAAAAGAATACTGCAACTCAGAGTTAAATGTGGTAGTGTGTAGCTATACTCCCACCAACTTGAGACGCTATTGAGTCAAGAGTATCACTGGAGCCTAGAAAGCCTGGATAATATTGAAAGAATCCATATAAAAAAAAAAAAAAAAAGCTGCCACCAGCGATTCACGCCTGTAATCCTAGCTACTCAGGAGGTTGAGATCTGAGGATCAATGGTTTGAAGCCAGCCAGGGCAGGAAAGTCCATGAGACCCTTATCTCCCATTAACCACCAGATAACCAGAAGTGATACTGTGGCTCTAAGTGGTAGAGTGCTCGCCTTGAGCAAAAAAAGCTCAGGGACAGTACCCAGACCTTGAGTTTAAGTACTACATCGACCAAAAAAAAAAAAAAAAGTCAGAGTAAATAAACCTAACATTACTCTGACCTGGCAATGGCTTCATAGAAATGCAGTTTCTCATTCCTCTCTTTGCTCAAGGCTTCCTGGAGATGTGTGAAAGTGCTTGAATTTTCCAACTCCTGCCGGGTATTTGCAATCACGTCACTAAGATATTGCCTGTAAAGAGAAACAGGAAAGGTATCGTATCTTCATAAAGGACTGAAAAGTTGAACAATTTAAAACCCAGAAGTCGGGGCTGGGAAGGTGGCTCAGTGGTAGAGCGCTTGCCTTGCATGCCTGAGGCCCTGGGTTTAATTCCTCAGCACCACATAAGCAAAAAGAAAAAAGCCGGAAGTGGCGCTGTGGCTCAAGTGGTAGAGCGCTAGCCTTGAGCTGAAGAGCTGAGGGACAGCGCCCAGGCCCAGAGTTCAGGCCGCACTTCTCTTTGTGCCAGGTGGTCACTAGCTGATTCACTTTGAACATATTGACTAAGAGAAGGTTGTAGCAGCCACCTTTGGTGCCCCTGGTCTCATCTATGCAAACACACATTGTCCCACATCAAATATGCTCTGCCTCCTTACCTATCCATTTGAATTTTTCTCATTGCCTCCACAGTCATGATGGTCTGCCTTGTAGGTGTTTTAAAGAAAGGGTCCTGTGCTTTGTGAAGCTCCAAGGGAGGTTGGCTTCCTCCTCTGAGTTCTGGCAATGGGGGTCTTCCTTTAGATGACAAAGGAGTTGATATTTTCCCTAGACTTTGAACCGTAGAAGCTTTTGTTCGGGCACTGTATTGCTAATAATTAGAAAGATTTTTTTTTTAAGTAGAGAAACAATATTATTTTTTTGTTGTCAATCAAGAGGCTTGAACTCAGAGCCTACCTACTCAGGATGCTAAGATCTGAGGATTGTGGTTTAAAGCCAGCCTGGTCAAATAAATCCAAAAGTTTTTTTTGGGGGGGCGGGGGTCCAGTCGTGGGGCTTGAACTCTGGGCCTGGGCCCTGTCCCTCAGCTCTTCAGCTCAAGGCTAGAGCTCTATCACCTGAGCCACAGCGTTACTTTTGGCTTTTTTCTTTTTGCTTATGTGGTGCTGAGGAATCGAACCCAGGGCCTCAGGGATGCAAGGCAAGTGCTCTACCACTGAGCCACCTTCCCAGCCCCCAAAAGATTCTTATGTCCAACCAAACATTCAGCAAAAATTTGGAAGTGATACCGGGCCCCTGTAATCCTAGCTACTCAGGAGGCTGAGATCTGAGGATCACGGTTCAAAGCCAGCCAGAGCAGGAAAATCCTCGAAACTTATCTCCAATAAAGCACCAGAAACCAGAAGTGGCACTGTAGCTCAAATGGTAGAACGCTAACCTTGAGCTGACGAGCTGAGGGACAACGCTCAGGCTCAGAGTTCAAGCCCCATGACCGACAAAAAAAATGGAAGTGGACATGTGGGATGAGTGGCAGAGCATCAGTCTAAAAAAGCTAAGCAAGGGGCTGGGAAAAGTGGCTCAGTGGTAGAGCGCTTGCTTGCATACCTGAGGCCCTGGGTTCGATTCCTCAGCACCATATAAGCAAAAAAAAAAAGCCCGAAGTGGCGCTGTGGCTCAAGTGATAGAGCGCTAGCCCTGAGCTGAAGAGCTGAGGGACAGCGCCCAGGCCCAGAGTTCAGGCCCCACGACTGCCCCCCCCCCCAAAAAAAAAAAAGCTAAGCAAGAGCCGGGCACTGGTGGCTCCTGCCTGTAATCCTAGCTACTCAGGAGGCTGAGATCTGAGGATCGCAGTCAAAGCCAGCCCCGGCAGGAGAGACCGTGAGACTCCTATCTCCAATAAACCACCAGAAAACCGGAAGTGGCGCTGTGGCTCAAGTGGTAGAGCGCTCGCCTTGAGCTGAAGAGCTGAGGGACAGCGCCCAGGCCCAGAGTTCAAGCACCACGACCGACCAAAAAAAAAAAAAAAAAAAAAAAGCTAAGCAAGAATATGAGGCCCTGAGTTCAAGCCCCAATACCAGTGTGCGTGCATGCTTGCGCACGTGCGCTCTCTCTCTCTCTCTCTCTCTTTCCCTCTCTCTCTCTCTCACACACACACACACACCATTATCAGATTGTGGGTTCTGGGAGGAAAGGAACACTATCTTTGAGATACCATTTGAACCCAGGGCATCTCACTTGCTGAGAAAGTGCTATGTCAGCCAGATGCTGGTGGCTCATGCCTGTAATCCTAGTTACTAACGAGGCTGAGATCTGAGGTTCAAAGCCAGCCAAGGCAGGAAAGTCTGTGATACTTATCTCTAGTAAACCACCAGAAAACCAGAAGTGGTGCTATGGCTCAGATGATAGAGTGCTTGCCTTGAGCTGAAGAGCTGAGGGACAGCACCCAGGCCCAGGAAGGAAGGAAGGAAGGAAGGAAGGAAGGAAAAAGAGCTGTGCCATTGAGTCATACTTCCAAGCTTTTTGGTGCACTTTTGTTGTTGTTGTTTTGTCGGTCATGATCCTCAGATCTCAACCTCCTTAGTAGCTAGGATTACAGGCATGAGCCACCAACACCCAGCTGCACTCTTTTGTTTGTTGTTTTTTCTTGTTTTGGTTGGTCGTGGGGCTTGAACTCTGGGCCTACGCACTGGCCCTGAGCTCTTCAGCTCAAGGCTAGCATTCTACCACTTGAGCCTCAGCATCACTTCCAGTTTTCTTGTGGTTTATTGGAGATAAGAGTGCTACGGACTTTCCTGCCCGGGCTGGCTTTGAACCGTGATCCTCAGATCTCAGCCTCCTGAGTTGCTAGCATTACAAGCTTGAGCCACTGGCACCGGCTTTGCACTGGTTACTTTTGAGATGGGGTCTTCTTGGTGGCCAAGTATGAATTTGGACCACACTCCACCCATTTTAGGCTTTTTGTAGTTGATGAGATGACAGGTGTGAACAGTGTCTAGCTCTACCTATTCAAACAGAATCTCATGGAGACTGCTATGCTGGCCTGGGACTTTAATTCTCCTAATCTCAGCCTCCCACACAGTTTAGGATGGTAGGCATGCCATCACTGCATTCAACTATGAGTTGGGGGGGGGGGGCGCGGGGATGTCTCATGAACTTTTCTGCTCTGAGGCTATGATCTTCTCATTCTCTACCTCCCAAGAGTGAATATTATGAGTCACCAGTGCTTGACTTTCAGCTATGAGTTGAGGAGTCTTGTGAATTTTCTGCTCGAGCTAGCCTCAGACCATGATCCTTCCATTCTCAAAGTACCAGAGAGTTAGGATTACATGTGTAAGTTGCCAGCACCCAATTTTAATTTTTTTAAATTTTATTTAGGTATTTTTTTGTGTGTGGTACTGGGGCTTGAACTCAGGTCCTCATCCTCTCACTTGGATTTATCACTCAAGGCTGGCTCTCTACCAGTTGAGCCATACTTTCATTTCCAGTTGTGTGTGTGTGTTTTTTTAATTTTTTTTATGCCAGTTCCAGGGCTTGAACTCATGGCCTGGGGGCTCTCCCTCAGCTTTTTTGCCCATAGTTGGTGCTCTACCATTTAAGCCACAGTCCCAATTCTAGCTTTTCGCTGGTTACTGGAGATACGAGTCTCATGTACTTTCCTGCCTGGGCTGGCTTCAAACCAGGATCCTCAGATTTTAACCTCCTAGCCTGAGTAGCTAGGATTATAGGTGCGAGCCACTGGTGCCCAGCTACTTCCAGCTTTTTGTTGTTTAATTGGAGACAGGAATCTTTCCAATTTGTCTTCTTGAATTGGGTTCAAACTGAACTCCCCAGTTTGAGGATTTCAAACTGAGTAGTAGCTAGGTTTGAGTCCCTGGGACATAGACTGAACATTTTTGGTCAGAGGTTTGTTGAATCTATAGATAAAGAACCTGTGTTTTCAGAGGCATGACTGTACTATCTATGCACTGTTGTACCTTGGGCTTTTTTGACTAAGCTAATATACTGGAAAAGGGCATGCTGCTTCCTAATGTATTTTGAGCTACATCCATTGAGAGGACATATCTCAAATAATTACTGTAGCCTTTTTTTTTTTTTTTTTTGAGTCTGGTCATGGGCCTGAACTCTGGGCCTGGGCGCTGTCCCTCAGCTCTTCAGCTCAAGGCTAGCACTCTACCACTTGAGCCACAGTGCCACTTCTGGCTTTTTTTTTTTTTTTTTCTGCTTATGTGGTGCTGAGGAATCGAACCCAGGGCCTCATGCATGCAAGGCAAGCGCTCTACCACTGAGCCACCTTCCCGGCCCCATACTGTAGCCTTTTACTTGAGATGAAAAGTCCTTTTTTCCTAAGTTAAAGTTAATGACAATAGTACTATAAAATGACAGAGATTAGAAAAAAAGAAGAAGAAGGAAAGGAGCCAGGGCACTCGTGGTTCACGCCTGTAATCCTAGTTACTCGGAGGTTGAGATCTGAGGACCTTAGTCCATGAGGCTCTTATTGCCAATTTACCACCAGAAAACCAGAAGTGTACTGCGGCTCACGTGGTAGAGTGCTAATTTTAAGCACAAAAGCTCAGAGACAATGCCCAGGCCAGGAGTTCAAGTCCCATGCCAAAAAAAAGAGGAAGCAGAATGGAAGAGTAGTGAGTTGAGTTGTCTACCTCGCCGATGCTTTGTTTTCTTTCATACTGAATGGGCATGATATAGTTTAGAATTGAGAGCTGGTCGATGGTGTCTTCCAGGATGGCAGAGATCCTCAGCATGTCTAGAAGGCAGAGTGGTTCTACGACTTCTGAGATGATTCCTTCTTCTACTTCTTCATTATCTACTTCTTCTACTTCCACAGCAGTCGGTGGTTCACCTGTCACCATCACCAACTCTGAAGGCCAGGCTCTGGGAGGAAACTCTGAGGACATGGCTTGTAGTTTGTGTCTAAGGAAAGAAAACAAACAAACAAAAAGAAGTTAGTGACCAATGTTTAAATAAAGCACGGCAAGCATGTAGCTTGGCTCCCACGAGGTTTATATTGTCAATAATATAACCTAGATAAAAAACAAAAGTAGAAGAATGCCAAAGGTTCTGCTGTAGATGGGTGCTGATGGCTCATGCCTGTAATTCTAGGTACTCAGGAGGCTGAGATCTGAGGATCACGGTTCAAAGCCAGACTGGGCAAGGAAAGTCTGTGAGACTCTTATTTCTAATTAACCATCAGAAAACTGGAAGTAGTGCTGTGGCTCAAGTGGTAGAGTACTAGCCTTGAGCTGAAGAGCTCAGGGACAGCCCAGAGTTCAAGCAGGACCAAAAAAAAAAAAAAAATTCTGCTGAATACCTTCCTACCCAGCAATTTATTGTTTAACAAACATATAGCCTGTGCTATTTGGCTATGTTAACCAATTTTAATTTAAACCAAAATTAACTTTGTGTGTGTGTGTGTGCTGGTCCTGCAGCTTGAAATTAGGGCCTGGGCACTGTCTCTCAGTTTTTGTGTTCAAGGCTAGCACTCTAATACTTGAGCCATAGTTCCATTTCTGATGTGTGTGTGTGTGTGTGTGTGTGTGTGTGTGTGTATGCATGTGTGTTTATTACTTAATTAGATATGAGTCTCATGAACTTTCCTGCCTGAGCTGGCTTCACACCATGATCCTCAGCCTCCTGAGCAGCTAGGATTACAGGTATGAGTCACCAACCTTGCTTCTTTTAGGTATTTATTCACCTGTCTAGTTCTACCCCCTCTCCCCCCCCCATTAAGTAGGACTAACCTATGCAACCACAAGGGATACCAGGGGATAACGGAGTGTGACTCCCAAAGCTAGGTGATAAGAGATGGTGCTTTCTGTCCTAGTATCTCACAATCTTCACTCTGGGGGAACAAGCTGCTTTGTCAGGAGGACAACAAAGCAGCCTTGGGGAGACATCCTTGAGAGTGCAGAACTAAAGGCCTCTGGACAGCACAGCCAGCACCAGCAATGGCCAGCTCTGTAACCTTCTTGGAAGTAGATCCTTGAGTTCCTATCAAGTCTTCATATGATTCCAGCCACCAACTAACTTCAACCTTAGAAGACGCCAAGACTCTTCATAAACTCCTGACCTTCAGATATTGTATGAAACAATTGTGTTTTAAATGATTCAGGTTTGGGGCAAGTTGTCACACAGTCATAGATAAATAATTCATGGAAAGTTAACAGATGTCATGATCACACACACACACACACACACACACACACACACACATACACACACACAAGCAGAGTTGAGCTGAGATATGAGGATTGAGGTTTGAAGCCAGCATAGACAAACAAATCCATGAGACTCTTATTTCCAATTAACCAGCAAAAAGCCAGAAGTGGAGCTGTGGCTCAAGTTTAAAGCAGTATCCTTGAGCAAAAAATGTTAAGAGACAGTGCTTTGGCCTTAGTTCAAGTTCAAACCCTAGTACTTTTCTCCCTCCCCCCCCCCCTCTCTCTGTCTCTCTGTCTCTCTGTCTCTGTCTCTCTCTCTTGCTCTCTCTGTGTCTCTCTCTGTCTCTCTCTCTCACACACACACAGGGATTTTGAACATACTCTCCCATTTTTCTTGAGTTAGTATTGCTTCTCTCTGAGGTATGTTTAAATCTCACAAAAATGCAGCCACCTAAAATGAGAAAGAAACATTAAGATTAGATTAAAGGAGTGCTAACTGATGGTTTCATGTTTTCTATGCTCTTTCATTGAGAAAATTTCAAAATGATAAGATTTATGGTTTATCTCCTCAGTATGTTTAGTACAGCAGCCCCATAGATGAAAGACCCTAAAATCATGGGGCTCAAGCCTATTAGCAATCTGCATAATTACTGACCTACAACACTAAAGCTACATGCTTTAGTGCCTCCTCTTAAGGTAAATTAATGTCCATCATGATTTTAGCATTCCACTGTATTCTGACTTTAAATTGGTAAACTCTATGGGCTGGTAAGGTGGCTCAGTGGTAGAGTGCTTGCCTTGCATGCATGAGGCCCTGAGTTCGATTCCTCAGCACCACATAAGCAAAATGAAAAAAAAAAAGCCGAAAGTGGTACTGTGGCTCAAGTGGTAGAGTGCTAGCCTTGAGCTGAAGAGCTGAGGGACAATGCCCAGGCCCAGAGTTCAGGCCCCACGATGGACACACACACACAAAAATTGGTAAACTCTATAAAGACTTATTTTTCTGTTATTCTGATTATTGTATTTAACTAGTATCTCTGGACCTAGAACAATTGAAATAACATTTAGAAACACTGTACTAAGCAGCGGCCGCCTGTGGCTCATGCCTGTAATCCTAACTACCGAAGAGGCTGATTCACGGTTCAAAGCCAGCCAGGGCAGAAAAGTCCATGAGACTCTTATCTCCAATTAACCACTAGGAAACCAGAAGTGGCGCTGTGGCTCACATGGTAGAGCACTCCCCTTGAACTGAAGAGTGCAGGGATAGCTCCCAAGCCCAGAGTTCAAGCCCCACGATCGGCAAAAAAAAAGGAAACTGTATTAATCCTGGAAATCATCTTAGTTCTGCTATCAAGTCGTTACCTCTTGGAACTAAGTGTGGTGGTTCATGCCTGTAATCCTAGCACCTGAGACAGAGGCAGGAAGATCATGAAAATGAGGTTGGCCTAGGCTATACACAGTGAGATCCTGTCTCCAAACAAGCAAAAAGATGTTACCCCTACTCAGTAAACCTAAATTCTTCAAGCTTAAGAAGCTTGCTTCTGAAAGAACCTCTAGGAAAATCTGCTTTTTATTGAATGATATAGTAAATGGTTGTTTCTGTGTGATTTTGTCTACAATAAAGTGACCCTGACAAGGGTGGTACAATGCCTATAATCCTAGTTACTCTGGAGGCTGAGATCTGAGGATCAAGGTTCAAAGTCAACTCAGGCAGTAAAGTCCATGAAACTCTGAGCTCCAATTAACCACCAGAAAACTGAAAGTGGAGCTGTGGCTCAAAGTGATAGAGCATTAGCCTTGAGGAAAAAAAAAGAAAAGAAAAGAAAGGAAGAAAGCAAGCAAGCAAGCAAGCAAGCAAGCAAGCAAAGCTCAGGGACAGCTCAGTTCCCAGGCCCTGAGTTCAAGCCTCACAACTGACAAAAAACAAACAAACAAAAACTTGCTGTGAAAATTTAAACACACAAAATGGAATCTTTTATGTAAACTACAACAAAAAACAAAAAAACAAAAAAAAACTGATGCTCTAAACAAGTTGCTTTTTTTTTTTTTTGGTGCAGTCCTAAAAGAAACATTAAGAACTTTGTTCTTGGGCTGGGAAGTTGGCTCAATGGTAGAGCGATTGCCTTGCATGAATGAGGCCCTGGGTTTGATTCCTCAGTACCATATAAGCAGAAAGAAAAAAAAAAGCCGGAAGTGGTGCTGTGGCTCAAGCAGTAGAGTGCTAGCCTTGAGTGAAGAGCTGAGGGACAGCGCCCAGGCCCAGAGTTCAGGCCCCACGACCGGACAAAAAAAACCCAAACAAACAAAAAGAAAATAATTTTGTTCTTTGTTAGGTTGTTTTTCTGCTTGGAATAGGTAAATGAGATTCACATAGAAAAAGTGAAGGCCAGTGCTATGTAAAATCCAATGTTTTCAATTCTGCTCTGGATTCTAGTTCCCTGTGCTAGAAACTAGGAAGTCATTACTGCTTTCTCCTCCTTGGTGGCACCAGCATGTCCCTAACTCCAAATCCAAACCACCACGAAATCCTGTGGATTTTACCTTCTACTTCAGAACTACCAGTGCCATGCTAGATCTCCTCGTTTCCTGATTGAACCACTTTACAATCTCCAATTCAGGAGGGATCATTTTTTTTTTTTTTGCGGGGGGGGGGGGTTCTGGTCGTGGAGTCTGAACTCTGGGTCTGGGCGCTGTCCCTCAGCTCTTCAGCTCAAGGCTAGCGCTCTACCGCTTAAGCCACAGCGCCACTTCCGTCTTTTTTCTTTTTGCTTATATGGTGCTGAGGAATCGAACCCAGGGCCTCATGCATGCAAGGCAAGCGCCCTACCACTGAGCCACCTTCCCAGCCCCGTGTGTGTGTGTGTGTGGGGGGGGGGGGGGGGAATCTTTTTTTTGAACTTGAGAGAGTGGTCTTTTAAAATATAGTCATGTCTCACTTTAGAATCTTCAATGTTTTCTTGTTGTTTTAGATCAAGGACCAAAACCTTGTGCTTGTGTGCCCGTTTCTGGGGCTGGAAATCAGGGCCTGGGCACGGTCCCTGGGCATTTATTTTTTTTTCCCCTCAAGGCTAGCACTCTATCATTTTAGCTGAGTTTCACTTTCAACTTTTGGGTGGTGAACTGGAGGATCCGTATCTCATGGACTTTCCTGTTGGGCTGGCTTTCAACCAGGAACCTCAGATCTGCGCCTCTTGAGAGGCTAGAATTACAGGCAGGGACGGCGGGTGCCTGGCGAGGCCCAGCTTTTAAGTCAGAGGGGAGGAAAGGAAGTAAGCAGAGCTGGAGCGGGAGAGGCTAAGGGAAGGAAGCGCTCGTTCCTCCTGCTGCGCAGTCGGCTTTACTCTTCATGTCAAGGGAAGGATCCGAGAATCTCTGTGCTCCACTCAGGTATGGGGGGAATCTAGTTAGGTACCCTGGAGGAGTGTCTTCCAGCATCGCCTTACCTTCACCTGCAGCCCAGAGCCCAAACCAAGCTGTGGTGTTGCCATAGCAACTCACAGCTCCGGGGGACCTTGCTCCTCTCCTGCCGTAGCTGGCCACCACTTCGCCTCCCTTTTCCCACCTCCCAAATTCTACTTGTTCCAGGTTGAAATTAGATGACGTAGGGAAGGAAATTGCGAGCGTTCTCTTCGAAAGGGCGGTTTCAGTCCGGAGATTATTTCGGAGTCTTGTTTTTCTGGCGATTGTGGAAGATGCCTAAATGGAGGGGAGGGAGGGGAGGGGGCGGAGAAGTGTATTTCCCACAAAGCCATGCGGCGGGGCCTCGCCTTCCTCTCTCCGCCATCTTGGAGCCTGTGGAGGTGAGTAGGTATCTTGCCGCTAAAGTTTAGAGGCAAATAGGTCGGCCTGGTGTGTTCCTATCCCTTGGAGAGGTAAGGGTACCTCTTGGAGACTTTGCCAGACAGTGATTCCCGTGGGTTTCAGGAAGAGGGGTGACAGGATGGAAGGGATGTGAAGCGGATGGTGTACGGGCGCCGCGGTGCCGCCGGGCGATACCTGTCCGGCGTCCGGGGGAAGTGAAGGCGATCTCGGGGCCCGCGCATGCGGACGTGCCCGTGACCGCCGGCCCCTGCGGTCTGGTAGCGGCCTTCCTTCCGCTGCCGGCGTGTGAGGCTCCCTCGTGTTGCTGCTTCACGTAGAATTGAGTCTACTCTTACTTAGCAACAGTGAGTTGTTCTTTGCTTCCATTGGGGTTTCTTAAGCTTCTTTCTGCCGCCTGCTTCTTGTCTTCACTTTGCAGTTTGCTTAGGTTAGCAGTTACTCTGAAGTCTGACTGCCCTGCCAGTCTCCGCGCTCCACCCATGTGGCGGCATAATTACGAAGTCCAGTGAAATGCTGGTCCGAAAGCCATTTGTCTCACAGCCTTAAGAAATAAGGTGACACCGAGAAACTTGTGTTGCATGATTGTGACTTTTTTTTTTCTTCTAAGGCCTGCTGGGAACAGGACTTCTAAAAGGCAAAATGTCTGGAAGGTATGCCTTTTGGGGAATGTAGTTGCTTTTAAAAAATATTCCGAACAAATGTGGACCTAAGTGAGAACTCTGAATTGGGCTGGGAGAGGATTCATATCTTTAGATAACTTTCATAGACGAGTCATTACAAGTCGAATTATTGATGGCTTAAGGTATGCAAAACTTACAACTTCAATGTCTGTCATCTTGTGTGTCTTAGGCTATGGTGCAAGGCCATTTTTGCTGGCTATAAGCGGGGTCTCCGGAACCAAAGGGAGCACACGGCTCTCCTTAAAATTGAAGGCGTTTATGCCCGAGGTGATACCGATTTCTACTTGGGCAAGAGATGTGCTTATGTATACAAAGCAAAAAAGTAAGTGCAATAATTTGATGTTTTAAAATTTTTTTCCCTTCCCTCCCCTTTTTTTTTTGGTCTGTCCTGGGGCTTGAACTCGGCCTAGATGCTGTCCCTCAGCTTTTCAGCTCAAGCTTTATCACTTGAGCCAGGGAGCCTCTTCCGGTTTTCTGGTGGTTAATTGGAGATGAGTCTCAGACTTTTCTGCCTGTCCTGGCTTTGAATCTCAAACCTCTTGAGTAGCTAGGATTACTGAGTGAGCCAAGGGAGACTGGCCTCCTTTTTTTTTTTTTGTATTGACAGGGGCTTCCCTCACCCCAGTCCTGGGGCTTAACTCAGGGTGGGGTGCTGTCCCTGAGCTTTTTTTGCTCAAGGCTAGCACTCTACCACTTGGACCACACAGGCCCACTTCTAGCTTTTTTGGAGTGTTTTATTGGAGGTAAGAGTGAGGGATACTCTCCAGGCTGGTTTCTAACTGTGATTCTTAGATCTCAGCCTCCAAAAGTAAGATTACAGGTGTGATGAGCCAGTGTCCAACTTTTGATGGGAACTTTTCTTTTGGGGGGGGGGTTTCTGGTCGTGGGGCCTGAACTCTGGGCCTGGGCGCTGTCCCTCAGTTCTTCAGCTCAAGTGTAGCGCTCTACCACTTGAGCCACAGTGCCACTTCCGACTCATGCATGCAAGGCAAGCGCTCTACCACTGAGCCACCTTCCTAGCCCCTGATGGGAACTTTTAAGGAACTTAATGGGAAGTTACAGTTGTTAACTTGGTATTGGACTTAGGTAACTTCAGCACTTATTGTTCTAAGAAACAATATAATTCCTTTTATTATGTGCCCTGATTTATTCTGCATGTTCTGTTTTGAGACACATTTTCTGTACTTAAGTTTGGCTTGGAACTCTTGGTGCTCTTCCTTTGGCTTCCTGAGTGCTGGGATTATAAACATGTACTCCCACACTTGGTTGTTTTAATTTCTTAAAATACAGTATTTTGCTGGGCACAGGTAACTCTTGCCTGTAATTCTAGCCTCTCAGGAGGATCTGAAGATTGTGGTTTAAAACCAGCCTGGGCAGAAAAGTCCCAGGGAAACTCTTCTTGCCAATTACAGGCATGAGCCAATGGTGCCTGGCCCTTTTGGTATTTTTGTTTTTACCCACCCCAGGGACAATTGCATTTGCAATGTTTAGGATATGCCCTTTTCTCTTTTGAAGTAATTCCCTGATAAAAGTGTCTGACATGTTTACTCCATCTTTTGAATTAATGGTCTTTCAGACATTTTATAGTTTCTCAAATGATCTGAGGATTTCCAGAATTGAGACTCACCTTAGTATCTACAGGATACACTTTATGTCAAATTATATTAGTTACTTGAGTTCTCATACCACATCCTTTTTAAAAATCAGCAACACAGTGACTCCTGGCGGCAAACCTAACAAAACCAGAGTAATCTGGGGAAAGGTAACGCGTGCCCATGGAAACAGTGGCATGGTTCGTGCCAAATTCCGAAGCAACCTTCCTGCTAAGGCCATTGGACACAGAATCCGTGTGGTAAGTATAATTACCAAAATGGCTGTGTTAAGTTCAAGGTATTGCTATTAGGAAATGAAACAAGCAAATAATGCTGCAAAATTAGTGACTTGTATAAATGATGAGCAATGTGAACATTTAATTATTGGTATGCTTGCCAAAGGATGATAGTGAAAAGATGTTCAAGTGAATTGTGTCAAAAGTTTCAGATTTTGTTTAAGCTGCCCTGGGAGACTCATGTTTTTGTATAGCTTAATTGTTAGGATATGTTTTGACACAGCTACTGGCCACAACTCCCTGCTTTTGACTGGAACATGGGTTTGAACTCAGGCATCACACTCTTTCAATTCACTTATTAAGGAGCCATACCTCCAGCCAAGTTTTTTTTTATTTTTTATTTTTATTTTTTTATTCTTTATTGTAAAGATACTATACAGAGGGTTATAGTTACATGAGTAAGGTAATGAGTACACTTCCTATTGGGCATTGTTAAACCCCTCCAGTGTTTTCCCCCTAATATCCCTTCCCTCCCGACCTTCCCCAGGTTCTTTTTTTTTTTTTAATTGTGATTAAGTGATTACATAATTTCCCAAATTTCACAGTATTGTGGAATAATGATGCTCATTTAAAGTCACAAGCTCATTCTAACTTTCCTGGAGCAAATTGTCTATCACGGTCTATAACATATAACGGTATACACATATACACCATACATGTGATCAGCAGTATGGGGATATTTAGTAGTGGTTCGACCAGATGAGTGGAAGTTCTTTGTTTCTTAAGTCTGTTAATTTTGTCGTATCCCCTAACATTTTGCATTTAACATCAACTTATCAGGGAGACCATGTACCGTTTGTCTCTTTGCTCTTGGCTTACCTTGCTCAACATGATTCCTTCTAGCTCCATCCATTTACCTGCAGATGCCATTATATTTTGTCATTTCTAATGGCTGCATAATATTCCATTGTGTATAGATACCACAATTTTTGGATCCATTCATCTGTGGTAGGGCATCTGGGTTGTTTCCATATCCTAGCTATTGTGAACAGTGCTGCAATATAACATGGAGGTGCATGTGTCCTTGTATATTGGTTCCTGTTGTTCAGGGTAGATGCCTAGAAGTGGTATGACTAGGTCATAAGGGAGGTCAATCTTTAGCTTTCTAAGGACCCTCCAGACTGCTTTCCAAAGTCAGCCACCTTTTTTTTGCTGGCTATTTTGGAGACTATCTTGAGTTTCAGGCTTTCATGCATAGGCTGAGATCCTGGGCATCTCATCTTACTGAGTTGCTAGGATTATAGGCATGAGTCACTGGTGTAGCTAAAATCTATAGCATCTTATTTTTTTGTTGGTCGTGGGGCTTGAACTCCGCTTCGGGCTGTCCCTGCGCTCTTCAGCTCAATGTGAGCCACAGCACCACTTCTGGTTTTCTAGTGGTTTTTATTGGAGATAAGAGTCTCACGGACTTTTCCTGCCTGGGCTGGCTTTGAACCGTGATCCTCAGATCTCAGCCTCCTCAGTAGCTAGGATTACAGGCATGAGCCACCGGCACCTGGCTCGGAGAATTTTTTTAAAAAATATTTTGTCCCTTGCTCTCCCAGTTTTCCACTCCTATCTCCACTCACAAGTTGTATAGTTCATTTTCAACATAGTGTCTAGTGAGTACTACTACTGTAGGTATTTGTTCACCCTGTATCCCTCCATTTCTTTGCCCCTCCTTACCCTTGCAAGACAAAAAAGAAAACAAACTTGTTTCCATTTCCTGTAGTTCATTTCAATAAATATTATTTTCCTGTTGTGGGGCTTGAACTCAGCACCTGGACACTATCCCTGAGCTCTGTAGCTCAAGGCTAGCACTCTTATCACTCTAGAGTCTGATGTACTTTCCTGCCTGGGCTGGTTTAGAACTATGATCCTCAGATCTCAGTCTCCTGAGTAGCTAGGATTACAGGCATGGGCCATCATTACCTGGCTGATAAATATTATTTCATATGACCAGAGGTACATAGGCTTTGTGCCTTTGTGTTTCTCCCCTGAGTGACCCTGAGATTTCTTCTTCTTTTTTTTTTTTTGCCGGTCCTGTGGCTTGCTTAAACTCAGCCTGGGTGCTCTCCCTGAGCTTCTTTTGCTCTAGCACTCTACCATTTGAGCCACAGTGCTACCCAACTTTTCTGTTTATGGGTACTTAGGAACTGAACCCAGGGCTTCATGCATGCTAGGCAAGCACTCTACCACTAAGCCACATTCCTAGCCTGAGATTTTTTTTTCCTTTGTATTTTGGTGCTGATTCTGGGGCCTGTCCCTGAGCTGTGCTCAAGGCTAGTGTTCTACCACTTGAGCAAGCCACAGTTCCACATTGTACAGATTTTCCCGTCCAGTATAGCTTTGAACCACGATCCTCAAATTTCATCCTTCTGGGTAGCTAGGATTACAGGCATGAGCTATGGGTTGCCTAGCCTATAGCCTATATTATGACATAAGCTCAGGACCTTGGATATTGTTGGTTATTAGAAGCAGCAATATTAAATACCAGTACTTGGGACTGGAATGTGGCTTAGTGGTAGAGTGCTTGCCTAGCATGCATGAAACCCTGCGTTCAATTCCTCAGTACATAGAAAAGGCTGGAAGTGGTACTGTGACTCCAGCGCTATCCTTGAGCTGAAGAGCTGAGGGGGAGCGCCCAGGCCCTGAGCTCAGGCCACAACCAGCAAAAAATGAAACTCAGGGACACTGCCGAGGCCTGAGTTCAAGACCCAGGACTGGCAATAAATAAATAAATGAATAAGTAAATGTTAGTACTTGTTTTTCAAGAGTTTAGGCTGGGGATAATAGAACACCTGCCTAGAGTATAGAGTGCTGCTTAAGTGTCTTCACCTAGAAACTGAATGCTATAAAGACTTGTCCTTACAGTCAAGAATATAAGTTATCAGACAACTTTCAGAAGTGAGTAGTGGTATACTGACAGATACATACTGTAATTCCCAATATTTGTATATAACATACACCTAATGATTTTGTGTTCTTTTTTTTTTCCAGATGCTGTACCCCTCCAGAATTTAAACTAATGAAAATTAAATAAAGTAAATCTGTGCTCTTGTATTTTTTAAGTGGCTTAAAAATGTGTTCCTAAATTAAATTGGTATGTGCTTTAAAATGGTGGAAGTTGCCAAGCAGAGTACAAAAAATACTAAGATGCAACTGGGTTGCCAAGCAGAGTACAAAAAATACTAAGATGCAACTGGGTGCCGGTGGCACTCACCCCTATAATCCTAGCTACTCAGGGGGCTGAGATCTGAGGATCACAGTTCAAAGCCAACCCAAGCAGGAAAGTTCCTGAGACTCTATAATAAACTACCAGAAAACCGGAAGTGATGCTATGACTCAAGTGGTAGAGCGCTAGCCTTGACCTGAAGAGCTGAAGGACAGTACCCAGGCCCAGAGTTCAAGCCCCATGACAAACAAAAAAAATATTAAGAGGCAATGTTAGGGATTTAAGCAATAAGTTGGGCACCTGGGACTTCATCCCTATAATTCTAGCTTCTCAGGAGGCTGAGAGCTGAGGATCACAGTTTGAAGCTGGCCCAGGCAGGAAAGTTCCTGAGACTTTTGTTTCTTCATATGTTTAAAAAAAAAGAGTGTGTGTGTGTGTGTTGGTATATGGAATGTTCTAGGCCCTCATTTATTTTGTGAGCCCCCTCATGGAGTACTATAGAGACTATCTTCAATTAACCACCAGAAAACCGGAAGTGGCGTTGTGGCTCAAGCGGTAGAGCACTCGCCTTGAGCTGAAAAGCACAAGGACAGTGCTCAAGCCCGGAGTTCAAGCCCCACAACCGACAAATCACTGAGGGTATAGCTTAGTTGCAGAGAGTGTGGCTTATTAGCATGCTGATATTTATTGCTTCAAAAATATGTCAGCCTGGCACTGATGGCTTATAACTATAGCTACTCAGCCTAGAACTCCCACCTGTAATCCTGGTTACTAAGGCAAGTGTCTGCCCCCCATGTGAATATGAGGTAGGAAGACTGGGAGATGAGTAAAACAAGCAGCTGCTGAAAATGGAGATGTAGCACTTGTGAGAAGGTGCATCATGGTCCCAGTCAAATCTCTCGCAGTGCCGACTGCCATTGGGAGGAGAGGCTCATGGCTCACAGAAAATAGGACAAATGCAGCTTGTCCACTGCCATTGAAAATTCTCAGGCATAACAGAAAATGAGCTATCAGATCTGTGTGGGGAAGAACATGTTTTCAAAGTTGAAAATTTGATCTGAATTACCCAGTTGTATGTGGTATTAAGTTTAAAAACAATGTAGTAAAGTGCTGGTGGCTCATGGCCTTTACTAGCCACTAAAGAGGGCAAGGTCTGAGGATCCTAGTTTGAAACCATTTGCATCAGGAAAGTCAATGAGGCTTATCTCCAATTAACCATCAAATAAAATCAAAGTGGGGGGCTGGGAAGGTGGCTCAGTGGTAGAGCCCTTGCCTTGCATGCCTGAGGCCCTGGGTTCGATTCCTCAGCACCACATAAGCAAAAAGAAAAAAGCCGGAAGTGGCGCTGTGGCTCAAATGGTAGAGCTCTAGCCTCGAGCTGAGGGAGAGCGCCCAGGCCCAGAGTACAGGCTCCACGACTGGAACCCCCCACTCCCCCAAAAAAGTGGAACTGTTACTCAAATGGAGTACTAGCTGCGGGCAAAAAAAAAAAATAAAGCCCAAGTTCAGTGATCAGGCCTTAGAACTGGTGTGCACAAAAAATTTGACTAGCATGGAAGTACCTGCGCAGCAAGGGTGATGCAAACAGTAAAAGGTCAGGCTGCTTCAAGTGGCCAGTGTTTGCTCACCAATGGAGAAACCCTGGGCTTCAAATGGCAGCATCCTGTGTAGCTATAATTATAGATGTGAGCTACTATTAAGGTTTTTTTTGGGGGGAGGGGGGGAAATTCGTGGGTCTGGACACTCCCTCAGCTCTTCAGCTCAGGGCTAGCGCTCTACCATTTGAGCCACAGCACCACTTCTGCTTTTTTGTTTATGTGGTGCTTAGGAATTGAACCCAGGACCTCATGCATGCAAGGCAGGCACTCTACCACTGAGCCACCTTCCTAGCCCCCGCTGTTAAGTTTTTAAGTGGAGGATTTTTTTTCTTTTGGGGGGGGGGGGGGTCCGGTCGTGGGGCCTGAACTCTGGGCCTGGGCGCTGTCCCTCAGCTTTTCAGCTCAAGGCTAGCGCTCTACCACTTGAGCCACAGCGCCATTTCTGGCTTTTTTCTTTTTGCTTATGTGGTGCTGAGGAATCGAACCCAGGGCCTCGTGCATGCAAGGCAGGTGCTCTACCACTGAGCCACCTTCCCAGCCCCAGGAGACTTATCTCCAATAAACTACTCAGAAAACCAGGAGTGGCGCTGTGGCTCAAGTGGTAGAGCTCTCTCAAGCTTTGAGCTGAAGAGCTGAGGGACAGCGCCCAGGTCCAGAGTTCAAGACCCCATAACCGGCCGAAAAACAAACTAAAATTGGTGATAGTAAAACGGTATTTATTGGGCTCACCACTCCACAGAAGACTAAAAGACTGCAAGTGTTGATGTCTCACTAAGTACTTACCCCCAATGGCTTAAACCTGGTCAGTGACAAAGGACTTAACTCAGTAAAGACAGCACCATCAGCTAGCTGCTTGCGCGCGCGTTCCCTGTTCCCACAGCCGAGATCACGTGGGCCAGCGTTGATTGGCCAGTCTGGAAGTGAGAGGCGGTGAGTTCTAGGAGGGCGCTAGCCAATGTAAAAGCACCATTTCTGCAGCGGGTCCCTCCACCTGCTGGAGGGTGGGGGGAGAGGGGCGGGGCTGGCCGGGCACGGAGGCGTCACGCGCTCCATGGTAACGACGCTCGGCCGAAGATGGCGGCCGGGTGGAGTGGCTGGGCGCATTACCCCGGTGCAGGCCCCGTCCCGAGCCGGTGGCGCTGGTACGGGTCCTTGTGGGTCCGGGGCGTCTTACTCCTGTTGGGCGGGTTCCCAGCTAGCGCCGCGTCCGTTCCGGTCGCCCTGAGCACTTCGCCTCCCTGCCGGCACCACGTTCCGACCGACTCTGAGGTAGGACGGGAATCCCGGGCGGGCGCAGGCCCGGGGAGGGGGAAGTGATTCGGGAGGGTCTGGCCGAGGGACGGAGGGCCCCGAGAAGGTGTTGTGGAGCAGAAAGCGCCGTCAGGACCGAGTCTGAACCCCCCCCCCCCCCCCGGAGCTTCGGCTCGCCGCGGCTCGCGTCTCCGCGTTCCCCGGCACCCGGCCCGCAGCATCCTCTCAGGCATCCCGGTGTTCCGGCGCCGCCGCGCCGCGTTCCACGCCCGCGCCAGCTGCTCCTGAAGCACTTGTTCGAGGACTTGCCGAAGGACCACGCTTGGGGAACCGCTCATCTAAAGATCTCGACAGAAATGGACGGGGCCGCCGAGGCCATGGAGGGTTGTTGAGGGTTCTCTGGAGGCCACAGTCACATCTCAAGGGTTCGCCGCTGTGCTCGCTGAGTCCCCTTCCCCTGCCCTGACGGTCCCCGCTGCCCCGCCTGATTTTCTCGAAACTTTTTCAGTTTGAGTTACAGTCTGCAACCTGGAGCCAGCTTGTCGGAACCACCCCAGCACCGTGCTCTGTTTTACCGTTACTTCTCCCACTTAGCCAAGTACTGGCGTATAGTAATGACTTAGTTTTCAGGTGGTTCTTTTCTTTTTGTTGTTGTTGGTCGTGGGGCCTGAACTCTGGGCCTGGGCGCTGTCCCTCAGCTCTTCAGCTCAAGGCTAGCACCCTACCACTTGAGCCACAGTGCCACTTCCGGCCTTTTCTGTTTATGTGGTGCTGAGGAATCGAACCCAGGGCCTCTATGCATGCAAGGCAAGCGCTCTTCCACTGAGCCACCTTCCCAGCCCCGGTGGTCCTTGCCTTTCTGTTTAAGTTGTAAAGATAAGATATTTAAGTTTTGTCATCCCTTAGCTCAGAAGAAGGCCTGTGGTCATCAGTATTCTGTAAGGGAAGGAGGGACAGACAGTACCTGAGGGAGGGCTTTAGAGTTTGTCCTACTACTTTATCTAGAAAGATTCACCTAGAAAATTTCAGGTTAGCTCAGATAACTACGCTTACTCATTTTTGTGAGTTATATGCATAAAGTAAAATCATTGCTTGAGGTCTGGAGCTTTTATCATGACATTGCATTTTGACTGAATTCTTGGTGGGAAAAAAGATTCCAGGAAGCCCAGTACTTCTGTTCTTAAATTTGAATTAAAATGAGAGAAAATAGGTCACACAACTACAAAATCGATGTGCTAGAAGGAATTTTTTTGGCAAGTGTTATCAAGGATTTATTTTAGTACAACAAGATAAAGAAGGAAGAATGAAGAAATGTTTCCTGCTCTCTAAGCAGGAAATGGGAGTTAAAGACTCCTGGAAGGAACTTTAGTAGCTGTTTCCTTCTAGTGGTTCTTGCCAGCATATATAAATAAACAGATAAATAAATAGATTCATTATAGTGCTGGGATTGAACCCAGGGGCCTCATCTATGGTAAGCATTCACTGTATCACTGCAATATACCACCAGTCCTACAACTTGTATTTGAACAAGGGGGGGAAATGTGCATGGCCAGAGGCAGGCCCTTTGCTCTTTGGAGATGACCACTGTTAAAGTTTTTTGTTTTTGTTTTTTTGGGTGTGTATGTGTGTGTGTGTGTGTGTGTGTGCCTGTGCGTGCGTGCGTGCGTGCGTGTGCGCGCGTGCACGGTGCCTGAGACTTAACAGACTAGGCACCGTCCCTGAACTTTTTCACTCAAGGCTAGTGCTCTGCCACTTGAGCCACAGCACCAATTCAATTTATCTTTTTTAAGTGTTTAATAAGAAATAAGAGCTGCAGACACTTTCCTACCTGGGTTAGCTTTGAACCATAATCCTCAGATGTCAACCTCTTGAGAAGCTAGTTACGAGAGACTGATGCCTGGCTAAAGTTGTTTTTATGGACCTGAAAGCTCCTTGCTACTTCTGCCTACTATTTCTGTGAATCCTGGCTGAACACTTACTAGTGATCATACTCACATTTAAAACTAGCTATAGGGGCTGAGAAGGTGGCTCAGTGGTAGATCGCTTGCCTTGCATGCATGAGGCCCTGTGTTCGATTCCTCAGCACCACATAAGAAAAAAAAAAGCTGGAAGTGGCACTGTGGCTCAAGTGGTAGAGTGCTAACCTTGAGCTGAAGAGTTGAGGGACAGCACAAGGCCCAGAGTTCAGGCCCCACGACCGGACCAAAAAAATAAATAAAACAAGCTATAAAGTCCTTAACTCTAATAAACTTTCCTAGCTCTTCATAGAGTATTCTATCATCATGTACTCTATTTTCCTTGCTTTAACCAAGACCATATAGCGGGGAGAAGTGTTTATGGTACTCATGCTGGGAAATTATGGTAATGTTTATGTTCTGTTAAGTAGGAGGATGAAATACAAAATACTTGACTGATTTAGCTTGTTCGCAACTAAAACTTAGATATTTTGTTTTGCTTTTTATGTGAATTAAAACCAAAACAAAATAATATGATAACTCTTGTGTATTTGTTACTTGCCTGGCTTTAATACTCATGAGCATTTGTCCATTGTTCTAGCATATATTTTAGCCAGGCCTCTGGTGGCTAACATCTATAAAACTAGCTATTCAGGAGACTGAGATCTGAGGATCATGGTTCAGAGACCATCTATGCAGATAAATGGGTGAGAATTTTTTTTTTCTTTGATTAACTTAGCAAAATGTATGTGGAGGCATGGCTTAAATGGCAGAGCACCAGCTTTGAGCAGAAAAGCCAAGCAAGAATGCTAAGCTCCAGGACCAGCATGAAAAAGAAAAATATATCAATACACTTCAGTTATTTCCTCATTATGTTTGCCCTCCTTTTTTTTATTTTGCTAAAAATTATAAATAATGGAATACCACAAATGTGTCTTTGTAGATCCATGTAAAATGTATTACCTTATCACAATACAGAACTTTTTGTCTCCTGAAAAGCCTAGTCTAGACCTCTCCTCTCTGCTTTCAAATGTTTCTATTTTTGCATTTGTTTTATTTAAGGTTAAGTAAACTTCTCAAGGTCATAAGTTACTCTTTCACCAAATCCAAACTCTTTTCTTCAGCAATATTTTTTTTTTTTTGCTAGATGTGGGGCCTGAACTCTGGGCCTGGGTGCTGTCCCTCAGCTCTTCAGCTCGAGGCTAGCACTCTACCACTTGAGCCACAGCGCCACTTCCAGCTTTTTCTGCTTATGTGGTGCTGAGGAATTGAACCCAGGGCCTCATGCATGCAAGGCAAGCACTCTGCCACTGAGCCACCTTCCCAGCCCTGTCCCATTTCTTTAGTCATTCCATGACTCTAATCAATATATGAATCTACTTTATTCTGTCTCCTGATTTTCTGATGTTTTTATTTCTTTAGTCTTTTTTGGTTTGGGTAGTATTTTTTATTTATCTTCAAGTTAATTGATGCCTCTCCTATCAGTTCCCCGAACCACCTCCAACACCTTATTCCCCCTTATTTTCCAGGCTGGCCTCAAACTCAGATCCTCCTCCTTCAGTGTGCACTATAATGCTCAGTTCCAGGGTATGGACACTATCCTTGAGTTTTTTTTGTTCAAGCCTAGTACTCTACCACTTGAGCCACAGTTCCACTCCCGAGAAAAGAGTCTCATGCCCCATTTGGCTTCAAATCATGATCCTCAGCTCTTAGTCTTCTGAGTAACTAGGATTTCAGGTATGAGCCACCAGCATTCATGTCCAATCTTTTGCTAATCCTTTCCATTGTTGGTTTAATAGTTGTTCTTTGAAGTCATAGTCTTTGCATTTGGGTCTGCTGGGTTCCCCATCTACTTATTAGATGTTTATTTCCCTTTATTCCCTGAGCACATGTACTCTACATTAAAGTAATTCTTTAAATTCAGGTCATTTGTGGGTTACTTTCTATTCATTCACTTTTTTTTTTTTTTTTTGCCAGTCCTGGGATTTTGAACTCAGGACCTGGGCGCTGTCCCTCAGCTCTTCAGCTCAAGGCTACTGTACTACCACTTGAGCCACAGTGCCACTTGCGGCTTTTTTTGCTTGTGTGGTGCTGAGAAATCGAACCCAGGGCCTCATGCTTGCAAGGCAAGCGCTCTACTACTGAGCCACCTTCCCAGCCCCTTATTCACTCTTTTTTTTTTTTTCTCAGTACAGTTTACACTTTCTATTTTGTTCTCATGACTGTTGGTTTTGTACTAAATAATGAACACTATGGATAATAAATTATAAAGTGGATTCTATTGCATTCCTTTGAAGAATGAGTATTTTTCTTTTTGTGTTCATTATTTTACTATTATTAGTAGCATTATTTTGGTTGTACTGGAGTTTAAACTATGGATATGATCCTGAGGTTCTCTACAACTTGCAGGCTCTCTACCACTTGAGCCATGCCTCCAGGACAGGAATTTTTTTTCTAGCTGGCTGTTAATTTAGATATACTTGGGGTTGGGAATGTGGCTTATTGGTAGAGTGTTTTTGCCTCGCATGCATGAAGCCCTGGGTTTGATTCCTCAGTACCACATGAACAGAAAAAGCTGGAAGTGGTGCTGTGGTTCAAGTGGTAGAGTGCTAGCCTTGAGCAAAAGAAGCTCAGGGGCTGTGCCTAGGTCAAAAATCAAGCCCCAGGGCTAGCAAGAAAAAGAAAAAATATCTTAGATAAATTCAAAATTACAATCTCTTGTCTCTTGTATATTGTAGCAGATGATGCCTTTCTTGGTTCCCTCAGCTTTCTGCTGCTGTTCTTTAGTAGGTTTATCCTGTACATACATAATTTACCAATCAGCCAAAAAATTTAGTGATCACTGAGGAATTGGAGGTTTCCTATGTAGATTTTTAGTATCCTCCAAGGCTTCCTCTCCCAGTATTTATTGTCTAACTTTCTGGTGTAAAAGCTCTGAACCTTCTGCTCTATTTCAAATCAGTATGGCCCTGACTTCTGTCACTCCAAGGGACACAGATTAGAAAGTGCTTTCAAGCAAAAAACTAGATGTACAAATATCTCAGGGGTACAATTCCTGTTTTTCAAGGGTAGGTCCTTTTAGATTTTGTTGTTTATTTTTTGCTCCCAATATCTTCAAATAATATATATATGTGTGTGTGTGTGTGTGTGTGTGTATATATATATATATATATTTTTTTTTTTGTCAGTATGGGGCTTGAACTTTGTGCCTGGGTGCTGTCCCTCAGCTCTTCAGCTCGAGGCTAGTGCTCTACCACTTGAGCCATAGCTCCACTTCCAGTTTTCTGGTGGTTTATTGGAGATAAGAGTCTCATGGACTTTTCCTGCCTGAGCTGGTTTGAACCTCGATCCTCAGATCTCAGCCTCCTGAGTAGCTAGGATTACAGGTGTGAACCACCAGCACCCAGCTTCAAATAATATTTTTGAAAATACAAATAGTTTTCTTTTCAAATATATTGTCCGGATTTTATTATGCGTTATTTACAAGGAAATTACACACATTTAGCAACTGTTTAGATATACTCTTTCTTTTTTGCCAGTCTTGGGGCTTGAACTCGGGGCCTGGGAGCTGTCCCTGAGCCCCTCTGTGCTCAAGGCTAGTGCTCTACCACTTGAGCCATAGCATCACTTCTGGCTTTTTCTGTTTATGTGGTACTGAGGAATTGAACCCAGGGCTTCATGCATGTAAGGCAAGCACTCTACCACTAAGCCACTTTCCCAGTCGTTTAGCAACTCTTTAATTTCTGGGAGACAGCAATTCCCAATTTTTAACTTTACAGGTTAAGCTTTTTATTTTGTGCTTCTGCATGTAGTTATTTGTATCTAAAGTGAGAGATAAAGTAATGGCTATTTCAGTCTTTCAAGTTTTAAAATATATCACCTTTTCTTTGAAGCATTCTCTCCTTATTATGTTCCTGTAACTTTGACTTAATTTCTTCCTTCTGTGATCTGTGTTTATTTTTTCGTGGTATAATAATTATGGGATTTGTTTTCTTTACCTTAAGATCAAAGACTATAAATTTTCAATTTGTGCTTCTCTTCCATACTGCTGCTTTTCATCTGAAAGCATTTAGTGTACATTAAATTAATGAATGTAGGATGGTAGGCATTGGGTTCAGTCTCTAGCAGGGAGTGGGGTAGTGGCAAAAATTAAAAAATAAAAAATAAATCACCCTAACCCCAAACCTTACTAGCAAATGTGGGTTGGAATGGAAAAGGAAAAAGCTGGAGGCAAGGAGTAATAGAGTATGCAATGTATGGGCTGGGAAGGTGGCTCAGTGGTAGAGCGTTTGCCTTGCATGCTCGAGGCCCTGGGTTTGATTCCTCAGTACCACATAAGCAAAACGAAAAAAGCTGGAAGTGGTGCTGTGGCTCAAGTGGTAGAGCGCTCGCCTTGAGCTGAAGAGCTGAGGGACAGCACCCAGGCCCAGAGGTCAGGCCCCACGACTGGAACCCCCCCAAAAAAAACAAAACAAAAAAAAACCACAAGCAATGTAATTAGGCCAGTGTAATAGAGTGGGTGATAGGTATTGGTGAAATCTATAAGCTACCATATAGTATTAGATCAAAGGTATATATCTTACAGCGGTTTTCCATTAAGCATAAAATTCCATTTTCCTTATATAAATACTCAGAAATAGTATAAGAAGAAAAATGTGATTGTTGTTAGAGTTATAAGAATGACGGTGTGTAGCTTACTTTGAGTTTAACTTTTTTTCTGTACTTTAAGAGTGGCTTAATGTGTTACTACTGCTGAGGCACTCTTATTCCCTCTTTTTTGGCCAGGCCTTGAACTTCATGCTTGGTTGGCCTGTTCAGTTGACTTGGCATTCTGCCACATGAATCACACCTCCAGCATTTTACTGGTTAACTGGAGCTAGAATCTCAGACTTTTCTGTCTCAGAACAGGCTTTGAAACAACTTCCTCAAGGTCCAAGCCTCCTGAGTAGCTAGGATTATAGGCGGGAGTTTATAATCCTTACATGACTTCTTTTAGGACAAAAATTTCAAGGTGAAGAGATCTTAGGTTAAAAATTTCTGTCCTTTTAAAAGGGAATTTAAGGACTGGGAAGGTGGCTCAGTGGTAGAGCGCTTGCCTTGCATGCATGAGGTGCCCTGGGTTTGATTCCTCAGCACCACATAAGCAGAAAAAGCCAGAAGTGACACTGTGGCTCAAGTGGTAGAGCACTAGCCTTGAGCTGAAGAGCTGAGGGACAGTGCCCAGGCCCAGAGTTCAGGCCCCACGACTGACTAAAAATAAAATAAAAAAGAATTTGAGTCTATTCCTGTCATTTTCTAAAAATCAGTCATTTTCTGAAAATCAGACTCAAAATCAGCAAAAGTTGTACTGGGAACATGTCAAGTGGTAGAGTGACTGCACATACTTAGTCAACCCCTGTACCCTATTATTACACACACACACACACACACACACACACACACACACACACACACACACACCAGCAAAACTAAAAATTGATAAAAAGCAATAACTGACAGAGATACTAAAAATCTTTTTGGCGCCTGTTTCTGTGATTTCCTCAGTTTCATAGTACTTGTGGCTCTGATAGCATTTACTCATAAATACAACTTGAAGTTCAGAAATGCTGAACTAGTGGAATATGAGTCAAGGGATTTTTTTTTTTTTCCAGTTGTGGGACTTGAACTCTGGGCCAAGGCGCTGCCCTGAGTTCTTCAGCTTAAGACTAGCATCTACCACTTCTGGTTTTCTGGTGGTTAATTGGAGATTAGAGTCTCACGGACATTCCTGCATGGCCTGGCTTTGAACTGTGATCCTTACATCTCAGCCTCCTGAGTAGCTAGGATTACAGGCATGAGCCACTGGTGCCTGACTCAAGGGACTTTTTTTTTTTTTTTCCAGGGCTGAGGACTGAACCCAGGGTCTTGTTCACGCTGGGCAGGCACCCTTCTGCTGGGCTAAACCTTTAGCCCCGGGACTTTTTTTTTTGGGTCCGGTTGCCTGAACTCTGGGCCTGGGCACTGTCCCTCAGTTCTTCAGCTCAAGGCTAGCACTCTACCACTTGAACCACAGTGCCACTTCCAGCTTTTTTCTTTTTGCTTATGTGGTGCTGAGGAATTGAACCCAGGGCCTCAGGCATGCAAAGCAAGCGCTCTACCACTGAGCCACCTTTCCAGCCCCAACTGTTTTTTTTTTTTGTCGGTCGTGGGGCTTGAACTCTGGGCCTGGGCGCTGTCCCTCAGCTCTTCAGCTCAAGGCGAGCGCTTTACCACTTGAGCTACAGCGCCACTTCCAGTTTTCTGGTGGTTTATTGGAGATAGGAGTCTCACGGTCTCTCCTGCCCGGGCTGGCTTTGAACTGCAATCCTCAGATCTCAGCCTCCAGTAGCTAGGATTACAGGCGTGAGCCACCAGCGCCTGGCTTTGTTTTTTTTTTTTACCTGACATTGAACTTGAGATTCAGGTTATTAACTTTTAAGTTTGGATTTTATTGGTACATTTTATTATGTGTAAATTCTGTAGAACTTTATAAAAAATTCAAATCTGTTCCTTTTTCCAGGTTATAAATAAAGTTCATCTTAAGGCAAATCATGTTGTAAAAAGAGATGCTGATGAGCATTTAAGAATCAAGACTGTGTATGATAAAAGTATTGATGAGTAAGTATGCTATCGTTTGTCTTACTATATATCCCAAGCTGGCCTGGAACCACTATTCTCCTGCCTCAGTGTCATCTTTTAATTGTTAATCTAAACATTACATCTATTTTTACCTGTTACCTAGTTATTAATTTCATTAGTGTAAGTTTAGATGAAATTAATATGAAAATGAAAAGTTAAAAGCCATGGGATGTGATTAAAGCCATAGGAGGTGATCACCAACAATTTACACAGATCAAATATGAATCTATTTGGATATGGTTTTAGAACGCACTTGTTAATAATTGCTTGCAGGAAAAATAAGTGTTAATTAAGCTATTAAGAAGAAAGTTTCAGCCAGGTACCAGTGGCTCAAGCCTGTAATCCTAACTACTTAGGATGCTGAGATCTAAGGATCATGATTGGAAGCCAGTCCAGGCAGGCAAGTCTATGAGACTCTCTAATTAATCACAAAACAAGCCAGAAGTGGTGCTGCAGCTCAAAGTGGTAGAGTGCTAGCCTTGAGCAAAAGGAGCCCAGGGACAATTTCCAGGCCCTGAGTTCAAGCCCCAGATTGGCAAAAGAAGAAGAAGAAGGAGGAAGAGGAAGAGGAGGGTGGGAGAAGAAGGAGGAGAAAGAGGAAGGATGGGGGAGGAGGAGGAGGAGGAAGAAGAAGAAGAGAAAGAAGAAGAGGAAGAGGAGGAGGAGGAGGAGGAAGAAGAAGAGGAAGAGGAGGAGGAGGAGGAGGAAAGAAGAGGAGGAGGAAGAAGAAGAGGAGGAGAAAAAGAAAAAGGAGGAGGAAAAGGAAGAGGAGGAAGAAAAGGAGGAGGAAGAGGAGGAGGAGAAAAAGAAAAAGGTGGTTTCTAGGGTAAGGTGGCTCACATCTGTAATCCCAGCTATTCAGGAGGCAGAGATTGGGAGGATCTCAGTTTGAGTCTAGTCTGGGCAAAAAGTTATCAAGATTCCCATCTCAATCAAAAAGCCAAGTGCTGGGGGTATGTGTCTGGGATCGCAGATAAGTGGGAGTCCACAGTAGGAGGATTATGGTCTCTGCCAGCTCCAGGCAAAAAGGTAAGACCTACCAGAAAAAAAAAAAAAAAGAACAAAAAGAGCTGAAAATATAGGTTAAGTGGTCTTGCAAGGCATTTGTCTTATAAACACAGGTTCTGAGGTCAAATCCCTATAGCACTAAAATAAAAGTAAAAATAATTATAAAATTATTTGCCAGAGAATTACAAGTGTATACACACATACACACACACACACTTTTTTTTTGCCAAACCTGGGGCTTGAACTCAGGGCCTGGTGCTGTCCCTGAGCCTTTCATTGCTCAAGCTAGCACTTTACCACTTTTTCCATATTGCCACTTTCAGCTTTTTCTGAGTAGTTTATTTGAGATAAGCATCTAACAGACTTTTCTGCCTGGGCTGGCTTTAAACCATGATCCTCAGATCTCAGTTTCATGAGTAGCTAGGATTAAAGATGTGAGCCACCAGTGCCCAGTCTAGATAGTATAAATTTTGTGTGGTATAAGAGGATCCGGAAGACAGATAAATTATGAGCCTGTAGTGTTTTGTGGAGAGCTATTCGGAATCATTGGTATTTTTTATGTTATTTCCCCACATGAACAAAATAATATTAGCACCATGCTTTGGTACAGAGCAATCTCTCAATAACTTACTGAGATAGATTGAGATTTTAGAGGACATACTCAACAACATATAGATGTATGCATCCACATGGCATTTCTTGCAGCAGTGTGAACATATGGCATAGGCTCTGCCATCGAGTGGCAATTTCTTATGTGTCATGTCATTATTTTCAGGTTGCTCCCTGAGAAAAGAAATCTTGTAAAGGTATGTAATAAGCACTTATGAATTGGATACTTAAAGTGGGTAGATTTTATTATATGTTAATTATTGATAAAAATGTACACATGACTGGTTTGTGAATGACTGGACAAAACTTATTGACAGTGATGTATTTATTATGTTATTTAAGATATTGCTGCGGCACACTTATCAGTTTTTGAAATTAAGTTGTCCTATGTTATAATTTGATATTAAATCAGATTTTCCTTTTTTTTTTTTTTTTTTACTTAAGGTTTTGGGGAATAGGCATATTTAAGATAGAGCTAAAGAACAATTATTTAAATACTGAGAAGACCTTTTTTTTTTTTGGGGGGGGGGTCCAGTCGTGGGACCTGAACTCAGGGGTTGGGCGCTGTCCCTCAGCTCTTCAGCTCAAGGCTAACGCTCTACCACTTGAGCCACAGCACCACTTCTGGCTTTTTCTGCTTATGTGGTGCTGGAGAATCGAACCCAGGGCCTAATGCATGCAAGGCAATCGAATCCAGGGCCTAATGCATGCAAGGCAAGCGCTTTACCACTGAGCCACCTTCCCAGACCGAGAAGACCATTCTCTTGGTGGGAATGTTCATTCTCCTGCAGATTAACTGACCAGAGTTGTCTATGTCAGTGCTGATTTTTTTTTTTTTGGGTCCGGTCATGGGGCCTGAACTCTGGGCCTGGGCGCTGTCCCTCATCTCTTCAGCTCAAGACTAGCCCTCTACCACTGGAGCCACAGCGCTACCTCTGGCTTTTTTTCTTTTTGCTTATGTGGTGCTGAGGAATCGAACCCAGGGCCTCAGGCATGCAAGGCAAGCGCTCTACCACTGAGCCACCTTCCCAGCCCCGTCAGTGCTGATTTTAAGTGCAGATTTAAGTGTGGATTCTCACATAGAAACACACACATGCACTGGGTTTAATCTGAGTTTAATTTCCAGAGGGGCCCCTCCCCCCCCACACAAACCAATTAAATTTTAGAACTTAAATCAGTCTTGCATTTAAGTAATCAGTTCTTGGTCACACAGATTTTTAAATTTATTTTTATTTTATTTTATTTTTTGTCGGTCATGGGGCGCTATCCCTGAGCTTTTTCACTCAAGGCTAGTGCTCTGTCACTTTGAGTCATAGCTCTACTTCTGGTTTTCTGGTGGTTTATTGGAGATAAAAGTCTCATGGAGGCTGGAAGGTAGCTCAAGTGGTAGAGTGTTTGCCTTGCATGCATGAGGCTCTGGGTTCAATATCTCAGCACCACATAAACAGAAAAAGCCAGAAGTGGTGCTGTGGCTAAAGTGGTAGAGTGCTAGCCTTGAGCTGAAGAGCTGAGGGACAGTGCCCAGGCCCAGAGTTCAGGTCCCACGACAGAAAGAAAGAAAGAAAGAAAGAAGGAAGGAAGGAAGGGAGGAAGGAAAGAAAGAAAGAAAGGAAAGAAAGAAAGACTCTCATGGATTTTCCTTCCTTAACTGGCTTCGAACTGCAGTCCTTAGATCTCAACCTCCTGAGTAACTAGCATTACAGACCTGAGCCCACAGTACCGAGTAAGATTTATGTTTTGAATTTTTTTGTTTGTTCGTTTGTCATAGGGCTTGAACGCTGGGCCTGGGCACTGTCCCTCAGCTCTTCAGCTCAAGGTTAATGCTCTACCACTTGAGCCACAACGCCACTTCCAATTTTCTGGTGGTTTATTGGAGAGAAGAGTCTCACGGAGTTTCCTGCCCGAGCTGGCTTTGAACTGTGTTTTTCAGATCTCAGCCTCCCTAGTAGCTAGGATTGCAGGTGTGGGCCACCAGGGCCCAGCTCTGTTTTGAAATTATTTACTTAAATAGGAGTAGGGAAAAAAATCCTGGTGTTCAGTTCTCAGACTGAACTAGAAAATAAGAGAATTTCTTTCCTCTGTTCCCACCCATTGCCACACTGTCTTTCACTAGTGTCTGTATTCAAATATTGTAAAGCTTTTCTAAGTCTCATGTCATTCATATCTTGTACTACTTGTTTAAATATAATTTATGCCACCACTATGTTTCTGACTGGATTTTCCCCCCATTTACTTAGAACAAACTTTTCCCACAAGCTATTTCTTATTTAGAGAAGACATTTCAAGTTCGTAGACCTGCTGGCACTATCTTACTTAGCAGGTATGTTACATTGAACACTGATCATTTTCCTTATTTAGATACTTAAAGTTTATTAGAGAAAGAACACTTTCAGAAGACTGAAAGACAGTCATCTCCAGTGGGGAATGACCTCCTCATTCATTCAGTTACCACCACCCCCATTCTACCAATATGGCAATGTATGAAGTTTATATTGTGATATTTTATTTTACTTGTACTTATGGACCAAATTGCAAGGTATTTGAAAAGAATGTATATGCACCTGTTGAAAATCTCTGTCTTCAATTTTCTATGATGAGGTGGTTTACAGGATATTTCTAAGGGTATCCTCTTCCCATCCCCTTTTCTCCTCCTCATGGCTACAAGATTGATTCTGAAATATTGCGATGTTTGAAGATTCTTCATAGAACTGAAATACTTTGTTTTGCTAGCTAAATAGTACCCATTATTAATGAAGTTATATTTGCTATCACTTTATGATTTAACTACTGTGAACTTTTCTTTTTTTTCTTTATTGTAATTTAAACTTGTTGTACAAATGAATCAAAGACAATGTGCAACAAACCAGTATCTTAGGAAAGAAAATGATCCTCATAGATACTGTACTGGAGAATGTGCAATCCATACAAAATGTGGCCCAGTTATCGTGCCCGAGGAGCATCTCCAGGTAACTTACCCTGCTGTTAGCACTGCTTTTTGCCCTACAGTGTAAACATGGGGAGAGTTTGGATTTGTCTCACCAAGAAGTTATTATGGACTTAAGTACAAAGGCATAGTTGTTTCATTTTTCTTTTCTGGGAACAGTGCTAGGGATTAAACTGGTGCCTCATGCATGCTAGATATGTGTTCTACCACTGAGCTCCATTCCCAGCTCTGTAACTTCCATTTTCTTACAAAAAGTAATCACAGGTAGGCTGATTTTATTCTTCTCCCTCATGTGTTTCTGAACTTGTAACTTTATCTTTATTCACCAGAAAAACTTATACTAGGTATATATTTTAACTTGGGGTAGTTTGTGGGTTTTTGGTAATTACGGGGATTTGAACTCAGGGCTTCATATTCTCAGCTTTCTTGCTTGCAGAGGCACTCTACCACTTTAGTCACACTAGAGTGGCTTTTTGTTCATTAATTGGAGATGGAGTTTCTCAGACTTTTCTCTTCAGGTTGGCTTTGAACCTCATTTCTCTAGACCTCAGCCTCTTGAGTAACTAGGGTTGTCGTTCTGAGCCACTGGCTCCTAGCTTCAGTTACTTTTTTTTTTAAGGGACAATTTTATATCTTTTTGTTGTATGTTCTATCCTAACCTAGAAATTTATTGCCTAAGTATACTATTTAAGGAGCCAGAGGCAGTGGTTACATGCCTCTAATGGTCTACTCAGAAGACTGAGGCAGGAAGATCACTTGAGCCTGTGAGTTCAAATTCTAGCTGGGGCACCATAATGAGACTCTGTGTCCACAAAGAAAAAAACAAACCACTTCAAACTGTAATAATTGTGAAGTGTATGTAAATAATGTTCACTTAAAGAATAATTGTGGAAGCCAGGTGTTGGTGTCTCACTCCTGTAATCCTAGCTACTCAGGAGACTGAGATCTGAGGATTGCAGTTCAAAGCCAGCCCCGGCAGGAATGTCTGTGAGACTCTTACCTCCAAGAAGCCACTAGAAAACCAGAAGTGGTGCTGTGGCTCAAGTGGTAGAATGCTAGCCTTGAGCTGAAGAGCTGAGGGACAGCACCCAGGCCCAGAGTACAGGCCCTATGACCGGACCCAAAAAACAAAAACAAAAGCAAAAACTTTGAGGGCTGGGAATGTGGCTTAGTGGTAGAGTGCTTGCCTAGAGCTCAAGGATAGAACTCAGGCCTGACTTTCAAGCACCAGGACTGGTAAAAAAAATAAAAATAAAACCTTTGAAAATCAGTGTAGTTACCATATTTTATTTGAAAATACATAAATACATGTGTGTGTATATATATATGTGTGTGTGTATGTATGTATATATGACATCAAATTTTTTGAGAACAGCTAGAGAAAAGAGTACACACTTGTATTCCTAATAGTTGGAGGTTGATGCGGAAGGATCTCAAGTTCAAGACCACCCTGGGCTACAAAGGCAGACCTGGTTTTCAAAAGAGGAATGTAAGCCAGATGCTGGTGGCTCATACCTGTAATCCTAGCTACTCATTGTGGTTTGCAGCTCAGGCAGGAAAGTTTATGAGACCCTTATCTCCAATTAACCATTAAAAAGTCAAAAGTAGAGTTGTGGCTCAAGTGGTAGAGCCCAAACCTTGAGTGCAAAAGCGGAAGGAAAGTGCCCAGGCCCTGAGTTCAATCCCCAGGACTGGCACCAAAAAAAAAAAAAAGGCAAGAGAAATAATAAACAATGTTTTTATTAGCACTGTTCTTTTTATTTTTTTTGGGGGGGGGGCAGTCATGGGGCCTGAACTATGGGCCTGGGCACTGTCCCTCAGCTCTTCAGCTCAAGGCTAGTGCTCTACCACTTGAGCCACAGTGCCACTTCCGGCTTTTTTCTTTTTAGCACTGCTCTTAACGGCATGCTCGCTCTCTCTCTCTCTCTCTCTCTCTCTCTCTCTCTTTCTCTTTTTCCTGACATTTGAGCTTAGACCTTTGTGCTAGTCAAAAATTCTACCACTTGAGCCATACCTACAGCCCTAGCATTTTTCTAATGTTCTAGGTTTTCATATTGAGCATCTGTTATTTGTACCAGAAAAAATTAAGTAAACATATATTACATTTTAATGTATAGTATGTAATATATATATAATATGCAATACACACATGTGTGATATAATATATATGTTACAAGTGGCAGAGCATTAATTAATCTGAACAAAATTGCTCAAGGACAGTGCCTAGGCCCTGAATTCAAGCCTTAGAAACGTCACACACAAAAAGAAGAAAGAAGAATTGAGTAGAGAGAGAAATATGGATTTTAGAGGTTTGGGTATTTTTGTTTTTGTTTTTTGCTAGTCCTGGAGCTCAAACTGGGCTTGAGTTCCTTTTTGCTCAAGGCTGGCACTCTACTACTTGAGCTACAGGACCCCTTTCGTTTTTTCTGTGAGTAAGTAGAGATAAGATTCTCAAGTACTTTCCTCCCTGGGTTGGCTTAGAACTGTGATCCTGAGATCTCAGCCTCCTGAGTAGCTGGGATTATAGGTGTGAGCTACTTGTGCCCACCTTAGTGAAGTTTTGTTTGTGCCACTTGAGCCACACCTCTACGCTAGGCTTTTTACTGGTTACAGATTAAATCTCTTGAATCTTTCAGCTGGCTTCAAGCCAAGATCCTCTAGGTTTCAGCCTCTTACTAAATAGTTAGGATTACAGATATGAGCAACTGGATCTCAGCTTTTTTTTTTTTCCTGAGACAGTAATCTTACCACATTGTCCAGGCCTGCCCAAACAATGGTCAAGTGATCCTTGTTCCTCATCCTTCCAAGCACTAGAACTACAAGCTTCCATCCCCATGCTTGGATTTGGATAAAAATTTAGGGATAGTAAATAAAGGTTAATACTAAATTTATTATCTGGATTCACTGTGATATTGTTACTCTAGCTAACCATATTTTTGATCTGATTCTTCTGGTTCTTTCCTCCTTGCCCTCCCATTCCACCTGCCATGCATGCAGCAATGCAGGGTTTGCCGAGGAGGGAAGTGGCCCTGTGGGGCGGTGGGTGTGCTGGACCAAGAAGGCGTCCGGGATGCAGACTTCGTTCTCTATGTTGGTGCTCTGGCCACTGAGAGATGCAGCCATGAAAACATTATCTCTTATGCAGCCTATTGTCAGCAGGAAGCAAAAATGGACAGGTAAACTTCCCTCTAAGACTTAATTCCCAAGACCTAATGTGGAACCTCTTAAACCAAACTTAAGTGTTAACATTATAGGAACCTTGCATTTGCTAGACTGCTTTTTGTATTAAGAAATTGCATGCTACCTTGAGTGTGACTCATTCTTGTTTATGGTGATATTGTAGTCAGAAAGAAAGAAAGCTGAACAACTTCCTTTGACTTTTTTCTCTGCCAGTTCTCTTACATTCTTTCCCTATCCTTTTGCCTGTAAACTCTAAAGAAAAGGTCTGCTGTCAAGGTCTTTCAAGGTAAATACCTCCCTAAGAAAATAACTTGTTAACATTAACCTCTTACTTAGGTTGCAAAGTGCTAGAAAAGTTCACCTAAATGTCCTATCATTTGTGGTAGGTTATGCACTGAACTAAATTAGCACTTTTTTGTTTTCAAAAGATTTTCCTGGTGAAGCATTCCATCCATGAAGTAAAAAATGATTATTTTGTCACAACCAGACGAGTCAATTGAAGGAGTAGAAACTGCCACCTTTCTCAGAATAGGTAAAACGTAACATTCTCAAACTTAGGAGACATTAGAATGACAAATTCATGTGCAAGTAAGGCAAAAGGCCAAAGTACTCATCACCCATTTCGTAGTCCCAAGACCGACTGATTTTAAAGATCTCTTTCTCTTCCATTGATGATAATTTACTGAAGAAAAAAAAAGAGAAAGTATTAGTTTAATTAGGTAGTCTATTCATCAGAATTGAACTGTCACTCTTGTAGAAGGGTATAAGGAACTAAAAATCACCATGTGTTAGGAAAAGAAGTCTGGTACTTTAATGGGATTGTTGATTGGTAAAATCAGTCACAAGTCCTTAGACTGAGTTAGAAAGTATAATATCACAGTATTGTAGTGTGTTATATAATGCACCCAATAATGCAGTGCATTACTGCAGAGTAACATGTTTTTGTGCCACATATTTTTGCAGCTGTGTGTACAGTGTTGTTTTTCTGAGAAGCTACTTTTTAAATTAATATTTTGTATTCATTGTTTCTCATCAACAAAATTTGAAGTGCTAAATGAGTAATACTTGATAAAATGAGATTCTTTCTTGAAGTAGATGTCTTTGAGAAGTATACTTCCATAATAATAATGCTGCAGAATTTGGTTCTTTATCTTAATTTGAATTAAGCCTTATAGACTGTATACACATGAAAATCTCATCATTAAGTGTCAACAAAACATTGCAAAACAGAGTACCTGATATGATTCTGCATTTGTTTTAAAACGTGTTTATATATTAGAATTTGCTAAGGAGAAGAATCAGACAGGCAAACTCTAAGTTTGGCCAGGACTTAGCAAGTCCTACATCCCAGGAAACTGATCAGCATTGCCAAACTAGGATGGTTTAAACACAATGTACATCATATTATTCTAAGTAGTTATCTTTGATTGTGGAATTTAGTAAGAGGAGGGAATAAAATAAAATATTATCACTTTTTAAAATATATTTCTACGGGCTGGGAAGATGGCTCAGTGGTAGAGCGCTTGCTTTGCATGCATGAGGCCTTGGGTTCGATTCCTCAGCACCACATAAGCAAACAGAAAAAAAGCCGGAAGTGATGCTGTGGCTCAAGTGGTAGAGTGCTAGCCTTGAGCTGAAGAGCTGAGGGACAGTGCCCAGGCCCGGAGTTCAGGCCCCATGACCGGACCCCCCCCCCAAAAATATATATATATATATTTCTACATTGTTTGAACATACACCTTTTTATATTGAGCTTTTACTATGCTTATAAAAGCTGAAACTTGGGTTGGGAATTTAGCTGAGTGGTAGAGTGCTTACCTAGCATGAATGAAGCCTGGGTTCGATTCCTTAGTACCACATAGACAGAAAAAGCTGGAAGTGGTGCTATTGCTCAAGTTGTAGAATGTTAGCCTTGAACAAAAAGAAACTTAAGGTCAGTGCCTAAGCCCTGAGTTCAGGCCCCAGGACTGGCAAAAGGAAAAAAAAAAAAAGCTGGAACTTTCTGTATTAGCATGTGATTAACTTCCCTGAGGGGTGAGGAGAAGGATATAAACTCCCATATTGCTCATTAATCCCATTTCAGCTTTTTATAATACTGATGATAACTAATAATGCTCAAAGTACCCAATGTATCTAATTGTCTGCTGATAAGAGAACCTATGCAGATAGCACACAGATGGAACCCCACAAGGAAGATATGCTGCAGCTTCACTGCCCTGCTTTGTTTATTTTCGCACTTTTGTGGTTAGTGATTTGAGTGAGTACCTAAAAGACTAACTTTTCTGGGCTGGTAATGTAGTAGAGTGCTTACCTTGCATGCATGAAGCCCTGAGTTCAATTCCTCATCAGAAAAAGCCAGAAGTGGTGCTGTGGCTCAAGTAGTAGAGTGCTAGCCCTGAACAAAAGAAGCTCAGGGACAGTGCCCAGGTCCTGAGTTCAAGGGCAAAAAAAAAAAAAAGAATAAATTTTCTTTGTGCCAGTGAATATGAAGTGAATATGAAGTTACTCACATCTATTCACATCTAGGGATTTTGGTTTCTTCTGAGAGGAATGTTGAAGCTTTTAGAGAAAATCTTTTTTCAAAACTGGCGTACTTCATGAATTTACTTCATGGTTGTTTGATTATGCAATAGATTGTCAGCAGAGTAGATGAACAAAATAGACATTGTGTACTAACCTCATACTTGGAAATAAAATATATGATTTTACAATGTGATACATACTTTGTAGAAAAATATAGGATCCTGTAAAACACATACACATGTGCACATACCCAACACACACACACACACACACACACACACACACACACACGCTGAATAGGATGGTTTGGAATCTTAGCTATTTGAAGCAGAGATGGGGAATAAAAATTAAGGCCAGCCCAGGCAAAAAGAAGTTGGTAAGACTATTTCAACCAATGGTGAGAAATTCCTGTTATCCACAGTAACATGGGGAAGCACAAGTAGGAGGATCACAGCTCAGGCTGGAGTAGGCTTATTAACTGAGACTATTTCAAAAATAAACACTATAAAAACCAAATAGTGCTGAGTTCATGTCTGTAATAGCTACTTAGGAGGCTGAGATCTTAGGATTGCAGTTTGAAGCCAGTTGGGGCTGAAAAGTCCATGAGACTCTTTTATCTCCAATTAATCAACAAAAAGCCAGAAATGGGACTTCTAGCCTTTAGCAAGAGAACTCAGGGACAGTGCCTAGGCCCTGTTGGTAATAGACTGTGTTAGAGTTCAAGTTCTAGGACCAGCAGAAGCGCACGTGCACGTGCGCGTGTGCACATATACACACAGACAGATAGTAAAAGCTACAGAGTGACATTTGATACTAAGCAAAGCATCTTCTGTCCTTGAACAGTTTTTGATAGAGAAGTGTCGGCTAGTAAATATAATAAATATTGTTCTAGAACATAATTTAAAAAATTCAACGTCTGTTTTAACAGGCCAATAGCAGGATATGCTAACCTGTGTCCAAATATGATCTCTACCCAGCCTCAGGAGTTTGTTGGGATGCTGTCTACTGTGAAACACGAGATTATTCATGCTCTGGTAAATGTCCTTCTTCATGTCTCTCTCACTGTGCTCTGGTTTTCATACATGATTCTAGTGTTAAAATTACATGAATTATTAGATTCAGTAAACCTCTCTCAATGAGAATTTTTAATGACTACAGTAGTGAGTGGGTAGGTTGAATTCTACTATCTAATATAATTTATAATTAGATAAGGAGGATTTTTTAGAGAATGAGTAAGCCCTCTTAAGATAAAAGCTTAGTAATTTCACTCACATTAGAATGGTAATTTTGGGGCCATCTAGGCTCTTACTTATCTCTTACACACAGTGTTTATGAAAGTCTTCTTGTCCTGTTTGGGCTTTCTACAACTTATATATACTAATTGATTCAGAAACTCTCATTCCTTTTCCCTCATGTCCAAAATGTTGAACTTTCATTAGATGCATGTGGAAGTTAAATTTTTTTTGAAATTTTAAAATATTACTAGTCTAGTACCTGTGGCTCACGCCTATAATCCTAGCTACTCAGAGGCTGAAATCTCAGGATTATAGTTCAAAGCCAGCCCTGGCAGGAAAATCTGTAAATTAACTACCAAAAAACTGGAAGTGGTAGAGTGCTAGCATTGAGCAAAAAAGCACAGAAACAGCATTCAGGCCTGAATTCAAGCCCTAGGATTGGCATACAAACACACATACACATAATTGCACGTGCACACATGCATGCATGCACATAAGCAGCAAGTTGAACTTGTTAATTTTAATTTAGTTTTTGTTTTTGTTGGTCGTTGGGCTTGAACTCTGGGCCTGGGCGCTGTCCCTCAGTTCTTCAGCTCAAGGCTAGTACTCTACCACTTGAGCCACAGTGCCTCTTCTAGCTTTTTCTGCTTATGTGGTGCTGAGAAATCGAACCCAGGGCCTCATGCATGCAAGGCAAGCACTTTACCACTGAACCACCTTCCCAACCCCGGGGCATGTGGTTTTATAGCCAGTTTATTTCACTTAATGTTATTTTCAAGTTCATCAAAAAGTTTGCTTTTTTTTTTTTTTTTTGCTAGTTGTGGGGCTTGAACTCTGGGCCTGGGCGCTGTCCCTCAGCTTTTCAGATCAAGGCGAGCACTCTACCACTTGAGCCATACTTCCACTTCCGGTTTTCTGAGTGGTTTATTGGAGATAAGAGTCTCATGGACTTTTCCTGCCTGGGCTGGCTTTGAACCTCTATCCTCAGATCTCACTTCTTGAGTAGCTAGGATTACAGGTGTGAGCCACTGGGTCCCAACTAAATTTGCTTCTTTTTAAGGTTTAAAAAAATTAAGTTCTAGGGCTGGGAAGATGGCTCAGTGGTAGAGCGCTTGCCTTGCATGCACGAGGCCCTGGGTTTGATTCTCAGCACCACATAAGCAAAAAGAAAAAAGCCAGAAGGGGCGCTGTGGCTCAAGTGGTAGAGCGCTAGCCTTGAGCTGAAGAGCTGAGGGACAGTGAGTGCCCAGGCCCAGAGTTCAGGCCCCACGACCGGTCCCCCCCAAAAATAAAAATAAATAAAAAAAATAAGTTCTAATATCATTTTGGAAATTTAGCCAATGTATAAAAATGGCATCATGTTTGGTGTATATATAAAATGTATTTTTGTTTGTTTGTTTTTTGCCAGTCTTGGGGTTTGAACTCAGGACTGGGTGCTGTCTCTAAGCTTCTTCTGCTCAAGGCTAGTGTTCTACCACTGGAGCCACAGTGCTACTTCTGGACTTTTCTGAGTAGTTTATTGGAGATGTGAATCTCATGAACTTTTCCTGCTTGGACTGGTTTCGAACCTTGATCCTCAAACCTCAGTCTCCTGGAATTATAGGCATGAGCCACTGACACCAGGCAAAATGCACCTTTTTGGAGGGAGGAGGTGTCTATTGTAGGGCTGGTATGAGATTTAGGCACATTGACCTCAGGGTAGTGGTTCCCTCTGGGGAGGGGAAAAGAAGGGATGAAACAATAGGGTTTCTGGAACATCTCTGTCCAGTGTTCTTATCCTTAAAAAAAAAAAAAAAAGTTGTGTGTGTGTGTGTGTGTGTGCTGGGAATGTGGCTTTGTGGTAGAGTGCTTGCCTAGCATGCATGAAACCTTGGGTTCAATCCTCAATACCACATAAACAGGAAAAGCCAGAAGTGGCACTGTGGCTCAAGTAGTAGAGTACTAGCCTTGAGCAAAAGAAGCTGAAGAACAGTGCCCAGGCCTGGAGTTTAGTCCCCAGGACTGGCCAAAAAAAAAAGAAGAAGGAGCGGGCCAGGCTTGGTGTAGCTCAGTGGTACAACTCCTGCCTAGCACAAGTGAGGAAAAAGAAAAAATATAATGAAATTAATGTCTTCAATTCCCCTAGAGGACATTAATTTCATCATACTTTTTCTAGTTTTTAGTTTTTAAACTTACACATTTTAATTACTTTCAAAGCTTAAATATCTCATACTTTAAATATTAGCTTAAGCCTCAAAAACTGTCATTATAAAAATTAGATACCTAGAGCCAGGCACTGGTGGTTCATACTTATAATCGTAGCTACTCAGGATGCTGAGATCTGGATTGTAATTTGAAGCCAGCCTAGGCTGGAAAATCCTTGAGATTTGATCTCCAATTAAACACTCATAAAGCTGGAAGTGGAGCTGTAGCTCGAAAGGTAGAGTGCTAGACTTGAACATAAAAGCTCAGGACAGCACCCTGAGTTCAAACTCTGGTATCTGTGTGTGAGTGCATGCACAGACACACAATCAAATATCTGTAAATACAGCTGTTCCTTGTGAAGTCATATTCACAGGTGTCCATCACAGTGTTTGTGGTACTTTGACTACGTAGATGCCCTCTGTCTGAAATGGGAGCACATGCTTAGAAAAAATTTCAACATGCTAAGCTGAAAAAAAAAAATCTGCATTTGTAGTATTACAAAGGATGAGGCAAGTTAAGCTTTGCATGACTTCAGTGCATGTTATTTTATTTATTTATTTTTTGGGTCTGGTCGTGGGGCCTGAACTCTGGACCTGGGTGCTGTCCCTCAGCTCTTCAGCTCAAGGCTAGTGCTCTACCACTTGAGCCATAGCACCACTTCCGGCTTTTATTCTTTTTGGTTATGTGGTGCTGAGGAATCGAACCCAGGGCCTCATGTATGAAAGACAAGCACTCTACCACTGAGCCACCTTCCCAGCCCCTCAGTGCATGTTATTTTAAGCTCTTTAAATTCCTCATCATAATGAGTTAAAAAGAGAAGAAAACACAAAGAGACAAAAGAATAATCTGGACTACACTACTCATTTTGCAAACTTTGATCACACAGAAGCCACAGTTGAGAAGAAAAAAATTTTCAAAGAAATAATTTGATCATCTTGTATATTCATTTATCTAATTTGGGGAGGGGAAGGGGACTAACAAAATGCTGAAACAAGGACACAGGATGACTCATTGCAACAATGATACTCACAAGACACTATGTTGGAAATGAACCTTACAAGTTTGGCGGGTGGGGTGGGGAGGTAGGGAAGGATAGTGGGAGAAATAGGAAGGGGTAACAATGTCCATCAAGAAATGTACTCGGCCTGGGAAGGTGGCTCAGTGGTAGAGCGCTTGCCTTGCATGCCTGAGGCCCTGGGTTCGATTCCTCAGCACCACATAAGCAAAAAGAAAAAAAGCCGGAAGTGGCACTATGGCTCAAGTGGTAGAGAGCTAGCCTGGAGCTGAAGAGCTGAGGGACAGCGCCCAGGCCCAGAGTTCAGGGTTCAGGCCCCATGACCGGACCCCCCCCCCCCCAAAAAAAAAAGAAAAGAAATGTACTCATTACCTTACTGATGGAACTGTAACCTCTCTGTACAGCATCTTTACAAGAAAATTTTAAAAAATAAAGCATTGGGGCTGGGAAGGTGGCTCAGTGGTAGAGCGCTTGCCTTGCATTCATGAGGCCCTGGGTTCAATTCCTCAGCACCACATAAGCAGAAAAAAAGAAAAAAAAAGCATTATTTTATATAAAAAAGAGATTGATCCATTAGGTGGTTGTGATAAATATTTGATTACAACCTAGAACATTTTGCTTCTTTTTTTTTGTGGTTTGAACTCAGGGCTTCATAATTGCTAGGCAGGCACTCTTGAGCAGGCAACTTGAGCCACACTCCTAACCCTTTTTTTGCCTCCTCCTTCCCCTCCTCCTCCTGCTTCTCCTACTCCTCTTCCCCCTCCCCCTTATCCACCCCTCCTCCTTCTCCTTTTGTTGATCCTGGGGCTTGAACTCTGGCTTGGGCGTTGTTCCTGAGCTCTTCAGCTCAAGGCAGGCATTCTACCACTTGAGCCACAGTGCCACTTCCACTTTCCAGTTAATTGAAGATGAGTCTCACAGACTTTCCTGCCTAGAAGGGCTTTGAACTTTGATCCTCTGATCTCAGCCTCCTGGGTAGCTAGGATTACAGGCTTGAGCTGCCCAAGCACAGCTTCTTTTTTTCTTCTTTTAAACCTCCATAGTCGCTGGGATTACAGGCTTGAGCCACCATCCCTGGCCTTATCTATTTTATTTTAATAATGTTCTGGGGGGCTGGGAATGTGGCTCAGTGGTAGAGTGTTTGCCTTGCATTCCTGAGGCCCTGGGTTTGATTCCTCAGCACCACATAAGCAGAAAAAAAAAAGCCGGAAGTGGCACTATGGCTCAAGTGGTAGAGTGCTAGCCTTGAGCTGAAGAGCTGAGGGACAGCGCCCAGGCCCAGAGTTCAGGCCCCATAACCTGACCACCCCCCCCAAAAAAAATTAATAATGTTCTGGACTTGGTTGTGAAATTTAATGTACTGCTTTCACCATTCCAACTCTTTGATGCAGCATTCAGAAATGATACCTGAGGGAAGAATGCTAAAATAACCTAAAAGTAGACAGAAGAAGTAAAAACATAACACTTAGGGTACTTCATTGTACATGGTTTTAAAACTCAAGATTGCCTGCAAGTATCATTATAGTACAATATTGGTTCTAATATTTTCACAATATATAAGGCATTTTGGACAAACCCATTAAAATATCTAAACTGAGTAGTTAGAATTCAAGACTTTAACAACTCAATTGTTCATCTATATGCCATGTATGAGAAACCCTGGGGAAGTATTGGCATGGTGCCTTCCTGTGGTAGCACCTGTATAGTCTATGTAGTCAGATTTCATGTGTTCACAAGGTGTTTTGAACTTCTTACAGGGTTTCTCTGCTGGGCTGTTTGCATTCTACCATGATCAAAATGGAAACCCTCTAACATCAAGATTTGCAGATGGGCTCCCACCTTTTAATTACAGGTATTTTCTATTTCATTCTTATTCTTGTACTTTTTTGTTGTTGGTTGTGGATCTTGAACTCTGTGCACTGTCCCTGAGCTCTTCAGCTCAAGGCCAGTGCTCTACCACTTGCACCACTTCTGGTTTTCTGGTGATTAATTAGAGATAAGAGTTTCGTACTTTCCGGCCTGGGCTGGCTTCAAACTGTGATCCTCAGATCTCAGCCTCCTGATTAGCTAGGATTATAGGGGTGAGCCACTGGCACCCAGCCCATTTTCTTTGGCTAATCTTTTTTTTGAGGTCTGGTCGTGGGGCCTGAACTCTGGGCCTGGGCACTGTCCTTCAGCTATTCAGCTCAAGGCTAGCACTCTACCACTTGAGCCATAGTGCCACTTCCGGCTTTTTTCTTTTTGCTTATGTGGTGCTGAGGAATCGAACCCAGGGCCTCATGCATGCAAGGCAAGCGCTCTACCACTGAGCCACCTTCCCAGCCCCTCTTTGGCTAATCTTTTATCTTTTTTTTTTTTTTTTTGGTGTGGGCTTGAACTCTGGGCCTGGGAGCTGTCCCTCAGCTCTTCAGCTCAAGATGAGGGTTCTACCACTTGAGCCACAGTGCTACTTCCAGTTTTCCGAGTGGAGATAAGATTGTCACAGAATTTCTGCCGGGGCTGGCTTTGAACCTCGATCCTCAGATTTCAGCCTCCTGAGTAGCTAGGATTACAGGCTTGAGCCACTGACACCCGGCTAGTTTAGTTTACTTTTTTATTTACTTGGTATGTGTTCTTTACAAATTAGAGATACTTTTGTTATTTTATTTTATTTTACATTTTTAATTTTTATTTGTTTTTTATTGTGAAAATACTATACAGAGGGGTTACAATTACATGGGCAAGACAATGATAGAGATACTCTTGTTTCATGTTTGTTGCATATATTTCTTCCAACAAGTGATCTTTTTACTTCATTGATCATTTTTTGCTATATAGAAACATAAATTTTTTGGGGGGGGCTCCGGTCGTGGGGCCTGAACTCTGGGCCTGGGCGCTGTCCCTCAGCTCTTCAGCTCAAGGCTAGCACTCTACCACTTGAGCCACAGCGCCACTCCCGGCTTTTTTTTTTTCTTTCTGCTTATGTGGTGCTGAGGAATCGAACCCAGGGCCTCATGCATGCAAGGCAAGCACTGTACCACTGAGCCACCTTCCCAGCCCCAGAAACATAAAATTTTTATTTCATTAAATTCATCTATTTTCCTTTATTAAGATTATATATATCCTGGGCTGGGAAGGTGGCTCAGTAGTAGAGTGCTTACCTCGCATGCATGGCCCTGGGTTCAATTCCTGAGCATCACATAAGCAGAAAAAAGCTGGAAGTGGTGCTGTGGCTTAAGTGGTAGGGCGCTAGCCTTGAGCTGAAGAGCTGAGGGACAGTGCCCAGGCCCAGAGTTCAGCCCCCACGACTGACCCAAAAAAAAAAAAAAAAAGATTATATATATTCCTGAACCTATAAAAGTCTTTACCATTTTTTTTGTAAATTACTATTTGACTTTTGATTTTATTCAGAGCTTTAATCCATTCAGAATTTATTTTTAACCCTTTTTATTGAGATTAGGTAATTACATAAATTTCACATATTTCACGATATTGTGGAGTAGAGTGATCCTTAAAGTCACAAACACATTTTAACCTTCACAAGGCAAATTGTTATTATCATGGTCTATAAATTTTGTGAATTCTATGAGCTTTTTAGATTTTATTATTATTGTAAGGGTGATGTACAAAGAAATTATAAATCAGGTAACAAGTACACTTCTTTTTGGATAGTGTCACCTGAATTTATTTTTTTTAATTTTATTTGTTTATTTATTTTGCCAGTCCTGGGGCTTGAACTCAGGGCCTGGACAATGTCCTTGGGCTTCTTTTGCTCAAGGCTAGCACTCTCTACAACTTGAGTCACTGCTCCACTTCTGGCTTTTTCTGTTTATGTGATACTGAAGAATTGAATTCAGGGCCTCATGCATGCTAGGCAAGCACTCTACCACTAAGCCACATTCCCAGCCCCTATTTATTATTTAAATTTAACTTTATTGTCAAGGTGATATGCAGAAGGATTACAGTTACGTATGTAAGGTAGTGAGTACATTGTTACCTCCTCCCACTTTCCCTCTCCCCTAATTCCCACCCCCCCCCCCCCCCGATTTTTTTTTTTTGGTTGATGTCAGGCTTGAATTCTGGGCCTGGGCATTGTCCCTTAGCTCTTCAGCTCAAGGTGAGCACTCTACAACTTGAGCCACAGCACCACTTCCAGTTTTCTGGTGGTTTATTGGAGATAAGAGTCTCATGGACTTTTCCTGCCCGAGCTGGTTTTGAACCATGATCCTCAAATCACAGCCTTCTGGGTAGCTAGGATTATAAGCATGAGTCACCAGCACCTGGCTCCAAATTTATTTTTTATTTCTGTATTTTGGGATTATTTTTGTAAGATACATTAATTCTTACAGCTATTTGAATTTTATTATTATGAACTCTTTTTCTTTGTAATAACAGTTGTGTTAGAAGTCTATTTTATCTTGTTAGTATAGCCACTTACGTTCCTACTTTGAGTACTAGTTACAGAATATAACACATGCATGTGTGTGTGTGTATGTTTGTATGTATTTGTTTTTTTGTTTTGTTTTGTTTTGTTTTTGGGGTCCAGAAGTGGGGCCTGAACTCTGGGCCTGGGCGCTATCCCTCAGCTCTTCAGCTCAAGGCTAGCGCTCTACCACTTGAGCCACAGCGCCACTTCTGACGCTTTTCTTTTTGCTTATGTAGTGTTGAGGAATCTAACCCAGGGCCTCATGTATGCAAGGCAAGCGCTCTACCACTGAGCCACCTTCCCAGCCTTTATGTATGTATATACTGCCCCCAAGAGCTTAAATTCAGGGCCTCAGAACCTCACTTGACTTGTTGATCAGCTGGTACTCTCCTACTTGAGCCATGTCTTCAGTCCATTATTTTGCTGGCTATTGGGGTTGGAATTTCAAAGACTTCTACCTGGGCTAACTTTAAAACTCAATCCTTCAGGTTTCAGCTTGTTAAATAGCTTGGATTACAGGTGTGAGCCACAGACTGCATCTTTGGTTGTTTTTGAGATAAGGTCTGGCTTTGTAGCCTAGACTGGCCTTGAATTTTTGATTCTTTGCCTTCTAAGTGGTAGAATTGCAGGTATAAACTACCACACCTGGCTTTAAATAGTATATCTTTTTATTGCTTAGCTTTTACCTTTTTGTGTCCTTCAATCTAAATAGTGCTTCTTGTGCAGGACCAGTTGGATGTATTAGATTGTTTCTTAATCTCCAGTGGTTGCCGGGTTAAGTTGTGGAGTGTGTTAGTTTTAATTTGTTAAGTTGTCAGTTTTCCAAATTGCCATGAAATTGGAGAGATGGCATGGGGACACAATTTGCTGATCTTTTTTTTTTTTTTTGTTGGTCGTGGGGCCTGAACTCTGGGCCTGGGCACTGTCCCTCAGCTCTTCAGCTCAAGGCTAGCACTCTACCACTTGAGCCACAGCGCCACTTCCAGCTTTTTCTGCTTATGTGGTGCTGAGGAATTGAACCCAGGGCCTCCTGCATGCAAGGCAAGCACTCTACCACTGAGCCACCTTTCCAGTCCAATTTGCTGGTCTTGATGAGATTCTTCTGCTCTACTTTTCATAAATAAATGCTTCCTAAATGGTTGAAAACTTTATTTTCAAATTCCTGAGAAAATGACTTGGCTAATTTGGCTAGTTTTCTCATTGTTCTCATGGAGGAAGTTTCAGAGATCTTCCCCTGTCATTTTTCCTGACATCTTTTGGGAATTTATTTTTGTAAATGGCATTAAATAGGGATTTTAATCTTGTTTCTTAGTCTTTTTCATAGCACAGTTATTAAATAAATTCTTTGTCACTAAATCAGGATGAAAAATGCCATTGTGCAATGTCCTTGTATTCTTGGAAGTATCTCTGGATTTGCTTAGTTTTGCTTTTTTTTTTGTCGGTCATGGGGCTTGAACTCTGGGCCTGGGCATTGTCCCTGAGGTCTTCAGCTCAAGTCTAGCACCCTACCACTTGAGCTACAGTGCCACTTCTGGCTTTTTCTGTTTATGTGGTACTGAGAAATTGAACCCAGGGCTTCATGCATGCTAGGTAAGCACTCTACCATTAAGCCACATCAGCCATGCTATTTTTTTTTCCCCCTGCCAGTCCTGGGGCTTAAACTAAGGGCCTGGGTGCTGTCCCTGAGCTTCTTTTGCTTAGGGCTAGCCACTTGAGCCATGGCTCTACTTCTGGCTTTTTCTGTGTAAGTGGTACTAAGGAATCAAATGCAGGGCTTCATGCATGCTAGGTGACTACCACTAAGCCATGTTCCCAGCCCTGCTTTTTTGTTTTATAAGTCTGGGACTTGGCAGACTAGTGTTCTGGTTGGGGAAGATAGACAGCAAAGGCATTGTATTCTCAATCTCATGAACAGTTTTCAGTGTAGTCCACACCATATTAGACTTTTCTGTCCTCTAGGAATATTTACTACATTTGATTTCATACTACTGTCTTTCACCTTCCAGCTTATCTATTTTCGTACCCTTTGTTGGAGCCTTCTCATCTTTGAGTCTTTAAATTGGCGAGCATCAGAGCTAAGCCTTAAGTATTTCTTACCTCTTTTGAATCTACATGCTGATGATCTGAATTATATTTTCAGCCCTCAACATTCCTATGAATGAAATTTTATTTAGCCTTTTAAAAAAAATCAGTGTATAAAAATTGCTCAAAATAAAGGGTTTCATTGTGATATGTCAAAAGGAAGCAGTTGAGGGCTAGGGATGTAATTCAATGGTAGAGTGCATATGTAGCATGTGCAAGGTCCTGGTTCAACCTCAGCACCACAAAAAGAAAAAAAAAAAAAAGAGCAAGCAATTGCTTCATTGTCATCTTAGCCCAGAATTAGCTATGTGAACTTGAGCAAATTGCTTTATGTCACTAAGCTTCTGCCTATCTCCAAATAGTGCTTATAATCCCATAAGGCTATTACAGAGATGAAGTTTGAAAATTCTTATCAAGTACTTTATATGAATGGAGCACACAATAAACTCTCCCATAATTCAGTCTCATTGATATTCATGTTCACTTTCACATTTAAAGTAGTAGTGACTTTACAAAAATAACTTTTGTTTTGTTTTTGTGCCTGGGCCTGGGCACTGTCCCTGATCTTTCACGCTCAAGTCTAGCATTCTACATACAACTTGAGTCATAGCTCCACTTCTGGGGGTTTTTTTTTGTTTGTTTGTTTTTTTTTGGGGGGGGGCGGTTGGTATTAAATTGGAGGTAAGAACTTTGGAAAGCAGTATGGAGGTTCCTCAAAAGACTCCACATAGAGCTCCCCTATGACCCAGCAATCCCACTTTTGGGCATTTACCCAAATGTTTACAAACAAGACCACACTAAAGCTACCAGCATGACTATGTTTATTGCAGCATAATTTACTACAGCTAAGATATGGAACCAACCCAGGTGCCCCTCAGTAGATGAATGGATCAAGAAAATGTGGTATATATACACAATGGAATTCTATGCCTCCATCAGAAAGAATGACATTGCCCCATTTGTTAGGAAATGGAAAGGCTTAGAAAAAATTCTATTAAGTGAAGTAAGCCAGGCCCAAAGAAACATAGGTCCCATGGTTTCCCTTATTTGCAATATCTAGTATATGTCTGAGTCAAGCAGAAAAGGCCAGATAAGTAGGGAAATGAGCCCTAAGATATGTATTCAAATGTTTTTTTTCTTTCATGCAATTGTTTCTAACACATTTATAAGATTATTTCTTTGTTGCTTTGTATGTCCCTCCCCCACAGTATAACCCCTGCTTTCACTGTATTTGATGTTGGTATAATTTGTGGAGGGGAAGGGGAAAAACAAATCGTTTAAATAGGGATACAGGTGGACCCATTGCAACAATGAGATGTACAAGTAATTGTGTCGAAAACGAACTTTACAACTTTGGTTTGGGGGGGGCGGGGAGGTTTAGGGGGGACGGGGGTGGGGGAGGATGGAAAGGGATGGGAAGGGGAAACAAAGGAGGAGGCTACAATGCTTGATAAGAAATGTACTCATTATCTTGCCCATGTAATTGTAACCCCTCTGTACAGTATTTTCACACACACACAAAAAAAAATTGGAGGTAAGAGTCTCATGGACTTTGTTGCCCAGGCTGGCTTTAAACCACATTCCTCAGATCTCAACCTCCTGAGTAGCTAGGATTACAGGCGTGAGCCACTGGCATCCAGCTAGAAATAACTGTCTTTTTATTCTGCAATTTCAGTCTTGGATTGTATCAGTGGAGTGATAAAGTAGTTCGAAAAGTGGAGAGATTATGGAATGTTCGAGATAATAAAGTAGTTCGCCACACTGTGTATCTTCTAGTAACACCCCGTGTTGTTGTAAGTATTACTAACTGCTTCATGTCTCATAAACCATCTTCCTTCGTTATTGTTCTTGCTTTATTAGTCATTATTGTTTAAGAATGTACTGTTGGATCACTCTTGTAATCCTAGCTACTCAGAAGGCTGAGATCCAAAAGATTACAGTTGTTCAAAGCCCGATGGACAGAAAAATAAGCATCAAGATGTGTGACTCAACTGATAGATTACCACCTGAGCAAGCAGGTGGTCCTGGTATCAAGCCCCAGCACTGCTTACTCCTCTTTTTTAAAAAAAAGGCAGCATGGATGAGAATGATTACTTAAGTCTTGTTAAGTTGGAGATGGCTTTCTGAAAAAGCACCTCAATATGAAAGATTTATTAGACCAATGGTATTCATGTCAAGAAGACTTGTATAATATATCCTGAACCGAAACCACCTTTGCCTGCTAGTATAAAAAGAACCCCTCATCTCTACAGTATATAATTTTTGGTGCTGTCGCAAAAGGTACTGAAATTGAGGTGAATCTGAGCAAGTTGGGCCTTGTGACATAAGGAGGCATAGTTATTTGGGAAAATTATGGCCAGATTTCAGCAGTCTTGAAGACAATGGATACATAAATTCAGTCTTGTTGCAATTACTGAAAACCACCATTGCTACAAGGTTTCTAAATACTACCAAACAGCCTGACACACCTGAAATGCTTAAGTGAACTTTGTGGGTTTTGTTGTTGTTTGTTTTTGTTTCTGCAGGTCCTGGGCTTTGAACTCAGGGCCTGGGCACTATCTCTGAGCTTTTTTTTTTTTTTTCCTTCAATGCTAGTGCTCCACCACTGGGGCCACAGTTAAACTGACTGCTTTTTAGAAGCTAATTGGAGATGAGTCACAGACTTTCCTTCCTAGGCTGGCTTCAAACCATGATCCTCAGATCTCAGCCTTCTGAATTATTAGGATTACAGTTCTCAGCTTGATAACTATTTTTTAAATTGTAAATAACATTAAAATGGAAAAGTTAAAGTTTCTATATACCAAAAGAAAGTCAGCAGTGTGTCAAGACAACCTATGGACTGAAGTAAAATTTTTGCAGCCCAATGTCTGATGAGGGAGTTAATATCCAAAATGTATAAGGATCTGAACTTAATAACAAGAAAACCAAAACCTGAATTTTAAAAATTGGACAAGAATTTGGATATGGTGGCATATGCTTTTAATCCTAGCAGAAGCAGGAAGAGCTCAAGTCCAAGGCCAGCCTGGAGCACATAACAAGATTGGGCTAGGAGCCTAAGAAAGGAAGACATACAAATGGCCAACACATATATATGTATATATGTACATATATATGTGTTCAATATTATTAGTCATTAAGGAACTATAAACTATAATGAGATCATTTCACACCTGTCAGAATGGCTATTACCAAAATGTCAGAAGAGCTGAAGCAAAGCTTAGTGGTAAAGCACTTGCCTAGAAGGCTCAAGACTCTGAGTTCAAAACTCAGTATACACACACACACACACACACACACACACACACACAAAAGAGGAAAACAGACAAAACAGAGGAGTCACAAAGGAGCTAGAGAAAAGAAAAAAAAGCCTTTGTACACTATTAGTGGAAATGTAAATTAGTACAGACAGTATGGAATTTCCTCAAAAAATTTTTTAGTTTTTAGAATTGTCATGTTACCCAGCAAACCTACTTCTGGGCCTTTAGACCAAATGTTTGAAATTGGTTTGTCAAAGAGATGTCTGCACTGCATGTTCCTGGCAGCACAACTCAAACATTAGGGAATCAAATGGATGGATAAAGAAAATGTGGCATATATATTCAACAAAATACTATTCAGCCTTAAAAAGCAGGGGAATTGTGTCATTCCTGACATCATGAGTGGAATCAGAGAACATTATGCTAAGTGAAGTAAGCCATGTGTGGAAAGACAAATACTTGATGTTCTTATTAACATGTGAAATGCATAGAAATAGTACAGAATGATGATCAGGAAAGGAATGACGAAATAATGCTAGAAGAGTACAGAGTTTGTCAGGAGGAATAACTCTGGTGTTTTCTTTTTCTTTCTTTCTTTTTTTTTTGTAGGTCATGGGGCTTGAACTCTGGGCCTGAGCGCTGTCCCTCAGCTCTTCATTCAGCTCAAGGCTAGCATGCTACCACTGGAGCTACAGCGCCACTTCCTGGTGGTTTATTAAAGATAAGAGTTTCATAGATTTTCTTGCCAGGGCTGGCTTTGAATCGTGAGCCTCAGATCTCAGCCTCCTGAATAGCTAGGATTACAGACGTGAGCCACCAGCGCCCGCTGCTTTCTTTTTTTTTTTTGGTTGGTTGTGGGGCTTGAACTCTGGGCCTGGGCACTGTCCCTCAGCTCTTCAGCTCAAGTCTTCTGTTTTTCTATTGGTTTATTCGAGATAAGAGTTTCATGGACTTTCCTGCCCAGGCTGGCTTTGAACTGTGATCCTTGGAGCTCAACCTCCTGAGTAGCTATGATTATAGGTATGAGCCACAGGCACTCGGCTTGGTATTTTCTTTTTAAGGCAATCTATTGCATAGCCTAGTGAATATAGTTACTTTTATATTTTACATTTCAAAATTGCTAAAGTACATTTTAAATTTTCTCAGTGGAAAAAAAGTCTGAAGTATGGGGCTGGGAAGGTGGCTCAGTGGTAAGAGTGCTTGCCTTGCATGCATGAAGCCCTGGGTTCAATTCCTCAGTACCACATAAGCAGAAAAAGCCAGAAGTGGCACTGTGTCTCAAGTGGTAGAATGCTAACCTTGAGCTGAAGAGCTCAGGGATGGCGCCCAGGCCCAGAGTTCAGGCCCCACGACCGACAAAAAAAAAGTCTGAAGTAATAGATATATTAGTTTGGTTTTATTATTCTTCATTGTATACATTGATCAAATGGTTCTCCAAAGGTATACAGTACAGACTATTACTTATAATAAAGTAAAAAATTATAAATGTATTGCTATAAAAATTGCTAGAGGCAGTCATAATAGTCTACCTTTTTAAATATGTATGTGATTTATGCCTGGTGCCGGTGGCTCACTCCTGTAACTAGCTACTCAGGAGACTGAGCTCTGATGATTGCAGTTTGAAGCCAGCCTGGACAGAAGAGCCCATGAAACTCTTATCTCCAGTTAACCATCAAAAACAGAAATGGAGCTATGGCTAAAGTGGTAGAATGTTAGCCTTGATCGAAAAAGCTCAGGGACAGCATCCATGCCCCAGAACAAGCATACTCTCCCGCCTCCAAAAAAGTGACTTATTCAAAATCTTCAGAGGGAAATAAAAATTTCCTAGCAAAGATATATCTCACAGCATCTAAATATTTAATTATACTAATTTTTTGCCAAAGTAATTCTTTAATATCTACTTTATTATAGCCATATTAAAGCTTACCATTATCTTACAGTACTTTTGTGGGGTTGATTTTTTTTTTTTTTTCTGATTCTTAGGATGAAGCACGAAAACATTTTAATTGTCCAGTTCTGGAAGGAATGGAACTTGAAAATCAAGGTGGTATGGGTACAGAACTCAACCATTGGGAGAAGCGGTTATTAGAGGTTAGCCATTTTAAATTTTTACTAGACTTCTCTCTTGCTCACTCTCTCTTTCAGGAAAAGTCATTTGTGCTCATAATAAAAGTTATTTAAATAGGTTGCAAACTAAATTTTAAAAGTCCCTTTCCCACTTCAGCTCTACAAATCCATTGTCTAAATGTAGTTGCTAAGGTTTTTGTGGATTCTTCCCTAAATATATGTACATTCACACATGAAAAAAGGTTATCTTAATGAGTTTATTAATTTATGGGAATTTTTTCCACTTAATGATATATTGTAGACATCTTTCCAAAGCAGTACAGCTGCTTCTGTTATAGTATAATATATGCTTTCCTAAAAGACCCTCTTTAAAATTATTCACAAAAATGGGGCTGGGAAGGTGGCTCAGTGGTAGAGTGCTTGCCTTGCATGCATGAGGCCCTGGGTTCGATTACTCACCACCACATAAGCAAAAAGAAAAAAGCTGGAAGTGGCAATGTGGCTCAAGTGGTAGAGTGCTAGCCTTGAGCTGAAGAGCTGAGGAACAGTGCCCAGGCCCAGAGTTCAGGCCCCATGACCGGACTCCCCCCCCCCCCCCCCCCCCCGCAAAAAAAAAATATTCACAAAAATAAGAAAATGTGGGGAAACCCAGTAACCAGAATAGTGTATTAAAAAAAAAAGTCTTAAAAAACTACTTAGAGGGGCTGAAAATGTGACTTAGTGGTAGAGTGCTTGAATTCCTCAGTACCACATAAACAGAAAAAACTGGAAGTGCCACTATGGCCCAAGTGGTAGAGTGCTAGCCATGAGCAAAAGAAGCTTAGGGACAGTGCTCAGGCCTTGAGTTCAAGCCCCAAGACTGGCAAAACAAAAAACAACAGCAACAAAAAAAAACCTGCTTAGACTAAAAAAGACATTTCTAATAAATTTCTAATAACTAATAAAGACATTTCTAATAAGTAAATTTCTTTTTTTTTTTTTTCTTTTTGGGTCCGGTCGTGGGGCCTGAACTCTGGGCCTGGGTGCTGTCCCTCAGCTTTTCAGCTCAAGGCTAGCACTCTACCACTTGAGCCACAGCGCCACTTCTGGCTTTTTTCTTTTTGCTTATGTGGTGCTGAGGAATCGAACCCAGGGCCTCATGCATGCAAGGCAAGCGCTCTACCACTGAGCCACCTTCCCAGCCCATAATAATAAATTTCTAATAACTACATTCCTATGTCTGTTCTAAGATTTCTTTTTTTTTTGTTTTTGTTTTTTTTTTTTTTGCGTCCGGTTGTGGGGCTTGAACTCTGGGCCTGGGCACTATCCCTCAGCTCTTCAGCTCAAGGCTAGCGCTCTACCACCTGAGCTACAGCACCACTTCCAGCTTTTTTTCTTTTTGCTTATGTGGTGCTGAGGAATGGAACCCAGGGCCTCTGGCATGCAAGGCAAGCTCTCTACCACTGAGCCACCTTCCCAGCCCTGTTCTAAGATTTCTTTACCTGTATCAAGCAGCATTGGTAGCTGGATGGGGAATTGTAAATGTAAATAAGGGACACAGATGGGAGAAAACCTGTATGTACTCTTATAGGCCAAGTCTCTATCCATATGCAGCAAAGCTTCCTCTGCTCCTGTGTTCACTGACCCATTAAAACATTCAGTGAGCAATTGTCATGCCTCCAGGGTGGTGTCTCAGCACCACCCTTAGGTTCTTCTGAGGCCTCTTTGCAAAAAAAGATTCCCTTAGAATGATAAAGGATAGCAGGAAGCATGCCCAGCCTGCTAGCACAGTGAAGTCAGCCTACACACAGCAGAGTATGAGCTGTCATTTGTGTCTCTTCCTCTCTCCAACTCAGTAGAGGAGTGAAAGACCATAGCAGTTGGAAGAAAGAACCAGTATGGCTTAAGAATGCCAGATAGAAGCCATTATCTTTTTAGCAGATCTATCTGTACACAGGGGATTCCCTAAGTGTGGCTTAATAATAGGTGATGGAGCTCATTTACAGGAATCCCAAACCCAGAGAGGTGAACCACAGGCCTTTTTCAAATCACAAAGTTGACATTCTACCTTTATTAAGTTCTGTTCCTAGGAACAGAACTAGAAACAGTTAATCTAAGATGCATTTACTTACCTGGAAAGGAAGGAAGAATAAAGCCCTAAAACCAGAATTCCTGCCGGGCACCTGTGGCTCTTGCCTCTAATCTAGCTACTCAGGAGGCTGAGATCTGAGGATTGCGGTTCAAATCCAGCCTGGCAGGAAAGTCCATGAGACTCTAGACTCTTATCTCCAATTAACCACCAGAAAACCAAAGTGGCACTGTGACTAAAGTGGTAGAGTGCTTGCCTTAAGTTGAAGAGCTCAAGGACAGTGCCCAGGCCCAGAGTTCAAGATCTGTGACTGACCAAAAAACAACAACAACAAAACCATTTCTGATTGAGGTCTCTTTCTTGAGGTCTGTTTGTATAGATAGTTACAGCCAATTTATGTCCTGACTAAGGGTATTAAAATTATGAAATGAGTGAAATTAATGCTTGTGTTCTGATCTAGATAACCACAGAATAACACTGATGAAAACATATTGAAAGCTCATGTACTGATTGTCCTTGAGGATTCACTTTTATATTTTCCTTAAAGAATTTTCTCCAGTGATTCCCTTAGCAAGATGTAGATGGGCCAGAATGAAAATGTATGTAGTTTTCAATAGAAGACCTGAAAACAGAAATTTCATTAACTTCTTCTCTTCCCCCAAACCAACTTTATGTTCTCAAAAAATACTTTTTTAAAGGATGATATTACAGTATTTGAGATGATCATTCAATATTCAACATAAAGATTCAAAGAATAATTAGAGCTGACCAAAGATATAATATGCTCCCTTAAGAGGCAGCAAAGCCCTCACTTTCAATGTAAATTTTAGGATACAAATTAAGATATTTGGTAGCTAGTGCACTTGGGCAGTATTTTAGGTTTCCTAATGGATATTGTTTGATCCCATGATTCTGTCACACATGTTTTGCATGTTAGTGTATATTACTGTGATTACAAAGTTTGGGGTTAGAAAAGCTTTTCTATGCAATTGAGGTAACAACTGTTCTTGATCCCAAATTACCTTAGTATCCATCTCAACTATACATTTAACTTTGACTAGCAAATGTGATTATTTTATAGTGGTATTTCTGATTCCATGTATATTTGTCTTCATTTTCATCATAAAGTCTTGATGCTGGTTCCAGTACACACATGATAGAGACAGTTGAGGCAGAAAATGGAGTTCACTTTATGTTTCAGGCTTTTGTAATTCACCATTTTGAAGTGATTATTTTTCCAGCCTCTCACTTAAAACACTTAAAATATACAGCAGAGGGGCTGGGAAGATGGCTCAGTGGTAGAGTGCTCATCTTGTATGCATAAGGCCCTGGCTTTGATTCCCCAGCACCACATAAGCAGAACAAGCTGAAGTGGCGCTGTGGCTCAAGTAGTAGGGTGCTAGCCTTGAGCTGAAGAGCTGAGGACAGCACCTAGGCCCAGAGTTAAGGCCCCACAACTGACAAAAAAAAAATCTATAGGCCCAGAGTTAAGGCCCCACAATTGACAAAAAAAAAAAAATCTGTATCTATAGAAATAGATATATACATACATACATCAGAGGAATCAGAAATAATTGGGAGCTGTAGAGTCAACCTCTAATTGAAATCTTCTGGTGATTTTCAGAATGAAGCCATGACTGGTTCTCATACTCAGAATCGAGTCCTCTCTCGAATCACGCTGGCGCTAATGGAAGACACTGGGTAAAACAGCTGTGAGAATGTGATATGAAGACAAAGTGCATATTAAGATTATACCTCAAGAAAATGCAGATATTTCGTATCAAAGCAAAATGTACTTACTTTTAGGAGGTAGCTGACAGCACCTTGAAAAGTAATTAGCACATAGTACTTTGAGATTAAGGTTTACTTTCTGCAAAGTGATAATTTTTTTTTTTTTTTGGCGGTTGTGGGGCGTGAACTCTGGGCCTGGGCGCTTGTCCCTCAGCTCTTCAGCTCAAGGCGAGCGCTCTACCACTTGAGATACAGCACCACTTCCATTGTGATAATTTTTTTAAAGCAGTATTGAGGTTTGAACTCAGGCAGTTCCCTGTCAGTAGCCAGTGGGAATCTTTGCCTTTGTTAGCCCTCAGTAATTCTGCAAGCACTTACTAGGTTCAATATATTCCTTCCCTCTGTTGAATAGCATATACCAGGCTGATGAACACATCCATGTGCGAAATCTAGGCACCAGCCATGCTTCCAAGGAATGCTTGGTACCTTTTTTGGCCTTTGTTTTGTTCATATCTATTTATTTATTTAGACAATACTCTAGTTTGAACTCAGGATCTTGCACTTGTGTGGGTTGCTTGCTCAGCTGGCACTCTACTACCTGAGCCATGCCTCTAGCCTGCTTTTTGATGGTTAATTGGAGATGGAGTCTTTTCAGTTTTTCAGCCTGACCCTGCAGATCTCACCTTCCTGAGTAAAGATTACAGGTGTGAGCCACAAGCACTAGCTTTGTGTGTTTTTGTTTTGTTCTTTGTTTTTGTACCAATATTGAGGCTTGAACTCGGATAGCCTGGGTGCTATCCCTGAGCCCTTTTTGCTCAAGCCAGTGCTCAAGACTACTTGAGCCATAGCTTTACTTCCAACTTTTTGTGGCTAATTTGAGATAAGAGTCTAATAGACTATTCTTGTCTGGGCTGTCTTCAAACCATGGTCCTCAGATCTCAGCCTTCTTAGTAGCTAGAATTAGTAGACACTGGTGCCCTTCTGGGTTTTATTATTGTTGTTGTTTGTTTGTTTTTGAGATGAGATCTCCCTGTTTTATCCAGGCTGAGCTCAAAACTCATGTGTTCACCTAGTCCTCCTTCCTCAGCCTTCTGAGTATGTGAGACTGTAAACATACTACTATGGAAAGCAATCTAGTGTTTAAGAATGTATTACTGAGTGTGCTGACTCTCTAAGGGGTTTGATGACTTCACATTTTAGCAGTAGGCAGAACTTCCTCTAACAGCCACATTGCTGATGTTATCACTAGTGTGCTAGGGCAGGAGCACTCTGGACAGCCTAACCTTGCCACCATCACCAGGTTAACTAAATAATGAGATGCTCACTTCAGCCGCAGAGTTTATAAGTATTTTGGTATTGGAGCACTAGGATTCATTTCTTCACTTTCTCTCTGAGAGAAGAGAGAGTTCTGTCAGAAGTTAGGATGTTTCTACTTTTGTTTGATTTTGTGGATTATTATTCCTTTGAGACTATGTTTTTGTTTATTAAAGAGACAAGATACACAATACAGACAGGTAAGAAAACTTTTGTTTTGCTGGTACTGGGGTTTGAACTCAGAGCTTCATGCTCACTTCATTTTCTTGCTTGGCTGGAATTCTTCCACTTGAGCTATGCCTTCAGCCAGCCCATAATTTCAGAGCTTTTGCAAACTAATGTTTTTTCTTAAGAATAAAGAAGCTGGGCACTGGTGGCTCACACCTGTAATCCTACCTACTCATGAGGCTGAGATCTGAGGATTGCTGTTCAAAGCCAGCCCAGTCCATGAGACTCTTATCTCTAGTTAATCACTAGAAAACTGGAAGTGGTGCTATGGCTCCAGTGGTAGAACACTAGCCTTGAACTGAATTGCTAAGGGACAGCCTCCAGGCCCAGAGTCTCACAGCTGACCAAAAAAATGAAGGAAAGGAGGGAGAGAAGAAGGGAGGGGCTGGGAATGTGGCTTAGTGGTAGAGTACTTGCCTACCATGCATAAAGCCTGGGTCCAATTTCTCAGTACCACATAAACAGAAAAAGCCGAAAGTGACACTGTGGTTCAAGTGGTAGAGCAAAAGAAGCCTTGAGCAAAAGAAGCTCAGGGACAGTACCCAGGCCCTGAGTTCAAGCCCTAGGACTGGCAAAAAAAAAAAAAGAATAAAGAAAGAAAAACTAACAGGAGGTTCGTTGCTGTTGATTAATTTTGTCAGGAGACTAAGCCAGTATTTTGTTTTTGTACTAAAATTAGAATATATCAAAAGTATTAGACATTATGTTTGTCTTACTGTAATGATGTAATCATCTGTCACAAAAGAGCTTCTGTGGATGACATGTCACAAATCCAAGGCCAAAAGAACAAGAAACCAGAGCTGTGTGAATCAGGCTGTTGTACTATTCCTTCCTTAATGTTTTCTCTCCTCTTTCCCCTCATTCTTTCCTCATCTTAGTCCTCTGTTCTCATGTCTCTTATCATAACCTCTTGCTATTCTGTGACTTCTGTCAGTTTTGAAAACTACAGTGGGAACAGGTTTTGTTTTCCAAATACAAAAGTACTTTCACACAGACTAGTCCCAGGCAGCAGTCCTCTGCAGCCCCAGCTCTGGAAATGCTTCTGGTGGCCATGGCCTCTAAAGGCCTCCTTCAAACCTTCATGTGCTCCTTGTTGAGTAACAGTTCCTACATTGCTTTTTACTTGATGGTCTATTTGAATTACTCCACAGCTGGTACAAAGCGAATTACAGCATGGCTGAGAAGTTAGACTGGGGCCGAGGAATGGGTTGTGACTTTGTCAAGAAGAGCTGTAAGTTCTGGATTGATCAGCAGAGACAAAAGTAAGAATGCTTTTCCTCACAGTGTCTTTGATTTTATTGTCAGTTTATTTCTGATTTTATTTATTATCCTAAAACTAAAATGCCAACTATTTTAAAAATATGGTTTGAGCAATTAAATTTCAAAATGTATAGAAAATTTCTACTGATACTTTGTAATGGTATCATAGTAATTCCCCTCAAGTTTACATATACTGAAAGACCCACAGTGTGGTGTCAGAACCACAAACATTTTGTTTATGCAAAATTTTTGCATACTCTTACCATTCTTAATGTTTTCTTCAGGGAACACACATATAACTATACATGCAAATGTGGATTTCCTATCAAAAAATCACACTGGAAGTAGGGGCCAGTGCCTCACACTTATAATCCTAGCTACTTGGGAGACTTAAGATCTGAGGATGGAGATCCACAGCCAGCCCAAGCAGACAAATCTGAGAGATTCTTATCTCCACTTAACTAGCAAAATCCCAGAAGTAGAGGCATGAGTCAACTGGAAGAACACCAGCCTTGAGCAAAAGAGACAAGTTAGAGTATGAAGCTCTGAGTTCAAAAGTAGCTCAGGGGTAAAATGCTTGCCTAGCATGTGTAAGGTCCTTTTTTCACCCCAGAACTGAAAACAAACATTTTTGTATAGGGGTTCTCAAAACTGGATGCGTACAATAATCACTTAAAAAAAATACATTGGGCTCTAAGCATAGTTCAAGTAGTTATCCCTGAGTTCAAACCCCAGTCCCCCCAAAACAAAGAAAATACAGAGGGTTCATGTTTGGAATGTATAAATGCACATACATTACCCACACTTTTTGTTTGTTTTTTGCCAGTCCTGGGGCTTGAACTCAGGGCCTAGACACTATCCCTGGGCTTCTTTTGCTCAAAGCTAGCACTCTGCCACTTGAGCCACAGCGCCATGTCTGGCTGTTTCTGTGTATGTGGTACTGAGGAATTGAACCCAGGGCGTCATGCATGTTAGACAAGCTCTCTACCACTAAGCCACATTCCAAGCCCCCCCTTTTTTTTTTCTTAGTCAGTCATGGGGCTTGAACTCAGGGCCTGGGAACTGTCTGTGAGTTTTTGCTCAAGACCTAGTACTCTACCACTTTGAGTCACAGCTCCACTTCTGGTTTCTGGGTAGTTAATTGGAGATAAGAGTCTCATGGACTTTCCTGCCCAGGCTGCCTTTGAACTGTGATCCTCAGATCCTCAGATGCTAGAATTATAGGCATGAACCCCCAGTACCTGGTTTCCACACAGTTTAAAAGAGTCTGTGATATCTGTTTTTTCACAATCTCAAAAATATGCAAAAACATAAAAACATATAAAAATTGCATTTACTCTTTATTTCATTTTCCTGAAAACACCTTGCTATATTATCATACAATATCAAATCAGGATATAAACAGTGGCACAGTCAATTTAGAATGTGTATATGCGCATATGCACACACCAGTCTTGGGTGGGGCTTGAACTTGGCCTTATGTATTTGCTTGCCTTTTTGGCTCAAGGCTGGCACTCTACCACTTGAGCTATACTTTCCCACTTTTTGTTAGTTAGTTGAGGATAAGACTCTTGGATTTGTCTGTTCCAGTTGGCTTTGAACTTTGAACCTTAGATCAATTCCTGAGTAGTTAGGATTACAGGTGTGAGTCACTAGCACCTGGCTCAAAACATTTCTATAGGAAGTGGCGCTGTAGCTCAAATGGTAGAGCGTTCGCCTTGAGCTGAAGAGCTGAGGGACAGCGCCCAGGCCCGGAGTTCAAGCCCCACGGCCGACAAAAAAAAAAAAAAAAAACATTTCTATAACAAAGATTTCTCACATTGCCCTTTCAATAGATATACCTATTTCCTTTCTAATTGACCCTTGACCCTTTTAATCTATAACCTTGTTCTCCACTTAAGACAGAGTTCTCTTGTGAATATTTTCAGATGAACAAATTGTTAAAATTCTTTTTTAAACTAGCACACATTAGTTACAAAAGGATGGTTTCTTTGTGACATTTCTACACATGCATGCAATATATCCCAACATACTTCTATAAATCTCTCATCCCCTTCCCCCTGCTTAAGACAATTTCAGCAGTTTCCTTCATTCTTTTTTTTTTTTTTTCCCAGTCCTGGGGCTTGAACTCAGGGCTTGGGCATTTGTCCCTGAGCTTCTTTTGCTCAAAGATAGCACTCTACCACTTGAGCCACAGCACCACAGCTGGCTCTTTCTGTTTATGTGGTACTGAGGAATGGAACCTAGGGCTTCAGGCATGCAAAGCAAGCACTCTACCACTAAGCCATATTCCTAGCCCTCATTCTATTTTCATACATACCTTCTTCCTTCGCCTTCCCACTCCCGCTGGTATTCCCTCTGCTCATTCAAACATGCTTTATGCTCCTGTTGTTCTTTCTTTTTTCCTTCTAAGTGTGTATTAATTGCACTAAAAGGTTTCAATATAGCATTTCAGACCTGTATATCTTACATTTTCCTCAGAATAACCCTCTCTATTGCTTTCCCTTCCCCTTCTCTCCCCATCCCTTGTAGATCAACAGCTCTCATTGAGGTTCCTTATGCCATCTTAAAATTGTTTAAAATACTTTAGTGTACAGAAAAAAATTCACTCTTCATAGCTGCCAGGAATAGGAGATATTACACCATCTCTTTCTGATATTCTATCTGTAAATAAAGATAATTTGATTTTTAGGCCACAATATGGAAATTCATTCACTGGCATTAAAAAAACAAAACAAAGCCAGGCACTGATAACTCTTATTGTAATCCAAGCTACTCAGGAGACTGAGATCTGAGGATCACTGTTCAAAGCCAGCCCAGGCAAGAAAGTCCATGAGACTCTTATTTTCATTTAACCACCCCAAAACCAGAAGTGGACTTATGGCTGAAAGTGGTAGAGTGCTAACCTTAAGCAAGGTAGTACCCAGGCCCTGAATTCAAGCCTCATGACTGGGAGAAAAAACATATAACAAGCTGGGCAGCAGTGGCTCATATACCTAGCTACTCAGGAGGCTAAGATCTACGAGTTATACTTTGAAGCCAGCCTGAGCAGGAAAGTTCATGAAACTTTTGTGTGTATGTGTATGTTTTTTGTTTTTTTTTTGTCAGTCGTGGAGCTTGAACTCTGGGCCTGGGTGCTATCCCTCAGTTCTTCAGCTCAAAGCTAGTGTTCTACCACTTGAGCCACAGCACCCACTTGCAGCTTTTTCTGTTTATGTGATGCTAAGGAATCAAATCTAGGGCCTCATGTATGTGAGGCAAGCACTCTACCACTGAGCCACCTTCTCAGCCCTTCCATGAAACTCTTACCTCCAATTAACTGCCCAAAAACTCCAGAAGTAGAACTGTGGCTCAAGTGGTAGAGTACTAGCTTTGTGCAAAAAAGCTCAGGAATAGCACCCAGGCCTTGAATTCAAGCCCCAGAAAACAGAAACAAAAAAAAAAATCTCAATCATAAAGCAGATTTGCAGGGGCTGGGAAGGTAGCTCAGCTAGAGCGCTTGCCTTGCATGCCAGAGGCCCTGGGTTCGATTCCACAGCACCACATAAGCAAAAAGAAAAAAGCTGGAAGTGGCGCTGTGGCTCAAGTGGTAGAGCGCTAGCCTTGAGCTGAAGAGCTGAGGGACAGTGCCCAGGCCCAAAGTTCAGGCCCCATGACCGGACCAAAAAAAAAAAAAAGCAGATTTGCAGATCTCAATTTTACTGGCAAAAACAGAGAAGAAGATGAGCAGGATTTTATTTAATAACAGTACAATATTGTTAGAATTCATCTAGCATTAACCTTCCATATCCATATTAAGCATTTCCTTTTACCCTATAATAACTGTCTTTCTTCAAAAATTTACAGTAGACTATTGAAATTATAGTTTGAAAGATAAGCTGTATAGTGGACTTACAGTATTTTCTCCAAAATTTGTTACTAAGGTATATGGAATTTACTCAATAAACTTTGTTATAAAAAAAAATTGATATCAGGTACTTCTCTCGATGTGCAGGAGACAGATGCTCAGTCCTTACTGTGACACTCTCAGAAGTAACCCACTGCAGTTAACCTGCAGACAGGACCAGAGAGCAGTGGCTGTGTGTAATCTACAGAAGTTTCCAAAACCATTACCACCAGACTACCAGGTAACATTTGTTTGAAGTGCAATTTTTAGAAGTTGTCTCCATTTTGAACTGGGAGTACATTGTGTTCAGTTTATAAATATATAAGGAACTAGTTTATAGCAGTTATACCTGTGATAGTGGCAGAAGCTATTTAGAATATTTGTTGTTGTTTTTTTTGTTTTTTCCATTCCTGGGGCTTGAACTCAGGGCCTGGACTCTGTCCCTGAGTTCATGGCTACCACTTTACCACTTTGAGCTACAGTGCCACTCTAGTTTGTTTTTTTGTTGGTTGTGGGGCCTGAACTCTGGGCTTGGGCGCTGTCCCTGCACTTTTCAGCTCAAGGTGAGCGCTCTACCACGTGAGCCACAGCACCACTTCCCATTTTCTAGTGGTTTTTATTGGAGATAAGTGTCTCTCAGCCTTTCCTGCTTGAGCTGGCTCTGAACTGTGATCCTTAGATCTCAGGCTCCTGAGTAGCTAGGATTACAGGCATGAGCCACCAGTGCCCAGATCTACTTTAGGCTTTTTTTAAAAGTAGTTTATCCAAGATAAGAGTCTCACAGACTTTCCTGCCTGGGCTGGCTTTGAACAGCGATCCTCAGATCTCAGCCTCCTGAGTAGCTAGGATTACAGGTATGCACCATTGTCACCCAGCCCACGAGACTCTTAACTCCATTAAACCACCAAAAAAGCCAGAAGTGGAGCTCTGACTCAAGTGGTAGAGTGCTAGCCTTGAGCAAAAATAAAAAGCCCTGAGATGATTGCTATAAGTTGCCTATAGACTTGATTCTTATTATACAAAATGATTCTTACTTTCCTATCTTGCTTTTTTTTTTCCTTTTATTTTTGCAGTATTTTGATGAACTCAGTGGAATACCTACAGAAGATTTGCCTTATTATGGTGGGTCAGTAGAAATTGCTGACTATTGCCCTTTCAGTCAGGAATTCAGTTGGCATTTTAGTGGTGAATATCAGCGCAGCTCCGATTGTAGAATACTAGAAAATCAACCAGGTTAGTGGTCTAGTGAAATGAAGTGCATGTGTGTAATAAGCATGTGTGTGTCAATGGCTCATGCCTGTAATCCTAGCTACCCAGAAGACTGAGATCTGAAGATTGAGGTTTGAAGCAAAGCCAGTCCCAGCAGAAAAATCTGTGGAACTCTTATCTCCAATTAGCCACCAAAATGCTGGAAGTAGAGCTGTGGCTCAAATGATAGTGTTTGCCTTGAGCAAAAAAGCTCAAGAACAATGCCCAGGCCCTGAGTTCAAGCCCCAGGCCTAGCCAAAAAAAAAAAAAAAAAAAAAATATATATATATATATACATACATATATATATGTGTGTATATATATATATATATATATATATGTATGTATGTATGTATGTATGTATCAACAATGAAAAATAGAGATTAAGGGCACAGTCCTTGGAGTCATATATGCTGGTATTGGTGCCAGGTCCTCCTATGCAGAGTTTTTTGTTTTTGTTTTTAAATGAAAAACACCTTCAGTAACCTACTTTTTCCTCTCTTGGGAAGTATCATAATTTATAAATAACATTTCTTTTTGTTTTTCTTTTTATTAGTCATAGGGCTTGAACTCAGGGCCTGGGTACTGTCCATGAGCTTTTTTGCTCAAAAACAATCTCAAATAGTACTGAGATGGGTGTTTCCAGTACCCATCTATCAGAGGTTACATTTTTTCTGAGCTAAGCACTAATGGCTCACATCTGTAATCCTAACTACTAAGGAAGCTAAGATCGGGAAAATCAAGGTTCTAGGCTAGCCTGAGAAAAAAATGTTTGTGAGACTCCATTTCCAGGTAGCCAGTAACATACTGGATGGGAGGCATGGTTCAAGTGGTAGAGCACCTTCCAAGCAAAGAAGCTGAGTGAAGGTAAAGCCCTGTGTTCAAACACCAGTATACATACAATAAAAGACAAACAAAAAAAACTTTACCGCATGTACAGTAACAGTTTCTTAGAGTTATTCTGAAGGTTAAATAAATTAATATAGTAAGTGTTTAGAACTGTCTGACACTTGCAAAGAATTTTGGCCATTATGTAACAGGAATATATGCTCATAGGCTACATTGAGAAATACCTTACATTTCATGGTTCTTTTTACTTGTAAAGCATTTTTATTATTTATCATTTCATTTTTCTAAAACTTTAAGGAGAAACATAGGGAACATGCTACAGTATTTCACTAGCTAATTAACAGATAATAATACTATTAACTGGCATTGGTACAAGATTTTTCTTTTTACTTATGTGGTGCTGAGGAATCGAACCCAGGGCCTCGTGCATGCAAGGTAAGCGCTCTACCACTGAGCCACCTTCCCAGCCCTTACCACTTACCTTGAAGCCTGGCAGACCTAGCTAGATTTCTGCAGTCATTTTTTCCCATCACTCATCTATTTAATAAATGTCCTAAAGATTAATGATTTAGGGGCTGGGAAGATGGCTCAGTGGTAGAGCGCTTGCCTTGCATGCATGAGGCCCTGGGTTCGATTCCTCAGCACCACATAAGCAAAAAGAAAAAAAGCCAGAAGTGGCACTGTGGCTCAAGTGGTAGAGTGCTAGCCTTGAGCTGAAGAGCTCAAGGATAGCGCCCAGGCCCAGAGTTCAGGCCCCATGACTGAACCCCAAAAAACAAAAAAGATTAATGATGTACTTAACTGTTCAGCAGTCCACATGTGAGGGAAATGCACAGATGTGTTCGTGACGGATTTGCCCCCAGTGCCATCTTACTTTTCTAGAGCTAGAATCAGCAAACAATCTTGTCTTGTAAGGACAAGATGAGCCATTTCAGCCTTGCACATCCTGCATTCTGTGCAGTGACCACTCCACTCTGCTTGTACACCATGAGGGCAGTTATAAAGAACATGGAAAAGCTGGGCACTGGTGGCTCATGCCTGTAATCTTAGCTACTCAGGAGGCTGAGATCTGAGAATCATGGTTCAAAGCCAGCCCAGGCAGGAAAGTCCGTGAGGCTCTTATCTCCAATAAACCACTAGAAAACCAGAAGTGGTGCTGTGGCTCAAGTGGTAGCCTTGAACTGAAGAGCACAAGGACAGCACCCAGGCCCAGAGTTCAAGCCCTATGACCGACAAAAAAAAAGAACATGGAAGCCTGGAGCCCATAACATGCCTGCCAATCCTAGCTACCCAGGAAGCTAAGATCTGAGGATTCTTATTCAAAGTCAGCTTGGGTAGGAAAGTCCATGATTTTTTCTTTTCTTTCTTTCTTTTTTGTTTTGTCAGTCATGGGGCTTGAGCTCAGGGCCTGTACACTGTCCCTGAGCTTCTTTTGCTCAAGGCTGGAGATCTACCACTTGAACCACAACGCCACTTCTGGCTTTTTCTGTTTTTGTGGTGCTGAGAAATCAAACCCAGGGCCTCATGCATGCAAGGCAAGCACACTATCACTGAGCTACCTTCTCAGCCCTTCTTACTCATAATACCAAGTTTTTTTTCAAAACGTGTGTATGTATGTGTGTGTGTGTGTGTGTAATTTTTGATTGTGGGGCTTGAACTCTGGGCCTGGGAGCTCTTCCTCAGCAATTCAGCTCAAGGCAAGCACTCTACCACTTGAGTCACAGTGCCACTTTCTGGTTTTCTGGTGGTTAATTGGAGATCAAAGTCTCATAGACTTTCCTGCTTGGCCTGGCTTCAAACTGCAATCCTCAGATATTAGCCTCGTGGAGATGAACTCAGAGCTTGGGAGTTGCCCCTGAGCTTTTCTGCTCAAGGTTAGCACTCTGCTACTTGAGCCACAGCTCCACTTCCTTGATTTTTATGTTACTATGTATTTTTAATTTTTTTCGTTGTCAGTACTGAGGCTTGAACTCAGGACCTTGCTCTCATGTTTAGCTTTTTTTTTTTTTTTTTTTTTTGCTTAAGGCCACCTTTTTTTTTTTTTATTATTATAAAGGTGATGTACAGAGGGGTTACAGCTATATAAGTAAGGAAATGAGTATAATTCTTGTCGAACATTGTTGCCTCCCTCGTTTTCTTCCCCTTCCCCCCCCCCCCCCAGGCTGATTTTCTGACATACCTTTGGTGGTTAATTGTGGAGATAAGAATCTCACAGATAACTCACTCCTGCCTGTAATCTTAGCTATTCAGGAGGCTGAGATCTGAGGATCGTGGTTCAAAGGCAACCCTGGCAGCAAAGGCCATGAAACTTTCACCTCTGATTAACCACCAAAAAACCGGAAGTGGAATGGTGGCTCAAAGTGGTAGAGTGCTATTCTTGAGCAAAAGAGCTCAGGAACAGAGCTCAAGTCCCTGAGTTCAAGCCCCATAATCAGCAAAAGGACAAAAAAAAAAAAAAAAAAGAATCTCAGACTTTCCTGCCTGGGCTGGCTTTGAATCTCCATCCTTAGAACTCGGCGCTCTGAGTAACTAGGATTACAGATGTGAGCCACTAGCACCCAGCTCAAGTTTGATATTGAAGTAACTCAGCATCCCTGCCTCTGCCTTGTCCCCTAAAGCCAATCTTAACAGCAAAAACAGAACGATTCAATTTCTTTTTCTTATTCTTTGCATTCAAAATCAGTTTGTGTGCATGCCTGCTTGTGTGTGCCTGAGTGTGTGTGTGTGTGTGTGTGTGTGTGTGTGTGTGTATGTATGTGTATAGGTGTGTGTCCATCCTGGGACTTAACCTCAGGGCCTGGGTGTTGTTTCTGAGCTTTTTTTGCTCAAAATTAGTACTCTATCACTTGAGCCACAGCTCTACTTCTGGCTTTTTTTTTTTTTTTCTTGCTAGTTAATTGGAGATATGAGCTTGGCCTTAAAAAAAAAAAGCTTTTCTTACCAGGCTGGCTTCGAGCTGCAATCTTTAGTTCTAAGCCTTCTGAGTAGCTAGGATTACAGGTGTGAGCCACCTGATACCCTAGCTTTAAAGTCAGTATTTGAGAAGACTTTTCTGGTTTTCTTCAGAAATTTTAAAAAACTATGGTGCTGAGAAGTACGGACCTCATTCAGTGTGTCTAATTCAGAAATCAGCATTTGTCATGGAAAGGTGTGAGAGAAAGCTGAGCTACCCAGACTGGGGGAGTGGATGCTACCAGGTAAGGTACATGCTTATTATAATGATACCAAATGTAGCTTTGCTCTTGTGGTCCTTATTTATTAAGTTATGTTTTCTGTATTTTATATATTTTACTGATCATTAACTTATTTTGGTTATTTGTGTAATTGCTAGTTTAAGTGCAGTGAAAATATTGTCATTTCTTTGAGACAAATTGCCTTGGAACATAGATTTAAAAATAAACATAATTGGGGCTGGGAAGGTGACTCAGTAGTAGAGTGCTTGCCTTGCATGCATGAGGTTCTGGGTTGGATTCCTCAGCACTACATAAGCAGAAAAGCCGGAAGTAGTGCTTTGGCTTAAGTGGTAGAGTGCTAGCCTTGAGCTGAAGAGCTGAGGGACAGTGCCCAGGCCCAGAGTTCAGGCCCCATGAGGGACAAAAAAAAAAAGTAAATAAATGAATAAAAAAAAATATATACTACACTAGTTAAGTTGTTTTTTATTATTATTTTTATTTTTATTGTGAACATACTGTACAGAGGGGTTACAATTACATGGGCAAGATAATGAGTAGATTTCTTATCAAGCATTGCAGCCTCCTCCTTTGTTTCCCCTTCCCATCCCTTCCCAGCCTCCCCCTTCCCCTCTTCCGTCCCCCCTACATTAGTTAAGTTCTATTGTAATTTTACTTCTGGGCATATGTCCTAAGGAAATAATGGTAAATGTGTAATTTTGTTCTTGAACAGATATTACTTTGTAGTGAGGAAAGTGTACATTTTTATTTCAAAAGATCTGAAGAAAGCATCAGTTATAAGAATTAGTAAGTCAGCTGCTGATTAATAATAATTATTTCTCCCTGAAGACATAGTACAGTGGTAAAGCACATGCTGCTTACACGCACAAGGCCTCACATTAATCCAAAATAACACACACACACACACACAGCCCTGAAATTAGAATTTTGAAGAGGAAAAACTACTTTTTTCTTAGTTATCTTATATATACATCTGATACTTAGTGTCTGTGTGCCTTAAGAACTGATCAAGATGCAGGAAATCTTTAACTTAGGGCCATGCAAGTCAATGAACTTTCCCTACCCGCTAACAGATATCTGGAAAGAGATTGATTGTGAGATTGAAGAATAGCTGCAAGATCTAAATGGACTTCTTATCTAGTTAATTAAAATTTTTAATTGTTATTATAAAGGTGATATACAGAGAGGTTACAGCTACATAAGTTAGGTAACGAATACATTTCTTTCTGGACAATGTCACCCCTTCCCTTGCTCTCTCCCAATTTTTCCCTCCCATCCCCACCTACAAGTTGCATAGTTCATTTTCAACATGGTGTCTATTATTATTATTTTTTTTTTTTGGTTGGTCGTGGGGCTTGAACTCTGTCCCTCAGCTCTTCAGGTCAAGACTAGCGCTCTACCACTTGAGCCACAGTGCCACTTCCAGCTTTTTCTGCTTATGTGGTGCTGAGGAATCGAACCCAGAGCCTCATGCACGCAAGGCAAGCACTCTTCCACTGAGCCACCTTCCCAGCCCTTCTGGTGGTTTTTATTGGAGATAAAGTTTCACGGACTTTCCTGCCCAGGCTGGCTTTGAACCGAGATCCTCAGATCTCAGCCTCCTGAGTAGCTAGGATTACAGGTGTGAGCCACCAGTGCCCGGCTCTAGTATTATTTAGTTAATGAATTAGCTAATTTTTTGAGGCAGGGTCTCCAGGCTGACCTGGAACTAGCTGTATAGCCTAGGCTGGTTCACATCTTAGTGCTGTGAGTACAGGCTTTAACCACCACCCCTGGCTACCTAAATGGACTTTTGTAGCTGGAAATTTCACTATTATTTTATAAGTTGTTTATAAAATCATCTGATTTTAGTTGGATGCCAGCTCCCTCCTGTAATCCTATTACTATTTTATCCAGCATTTGGTTGAGATGGAGTCTCTCAAACTTTTTGCCTAGACCAGTCTCAGACTACAGTTCTATGTCAGTAGTGACTGGTGAATTCCATTTTATTCAGTGACTTTTTTTAAAATTGCTATTTGTTAGTCCAGTTGCTTCAGACTTGTCCTATTGCTTTTCGCATATTCTCATCATTTTTTGAACATTCTCTTACTTGCTGACATAAAATACTCTAGGCTTATCTTGTACTTTTTCGTCCTAGCCCTACAATCTGCCATTTCTCTAAGGGGCTCCAATCTTCTTTAAGGACTGTGATCTGGGTACTACATGTGCTACTATCACCATTGAGGAACAACTGTTCCTCACCTTCTTGGAGAACAGAACCAAGAATATACATCTGCATGTGTACATGTATAATCATGAGTTTTCATTGATATCACTGATTCTAGTCCAACAGCAAAGGATTCATTTCTATTTTCTCTATATATTTTATACCTCTTTTTTCCAAAAGTGAGAAATACAGTAGTTGATATGCTCAGTAGGTTTTCTTTTTTTTTGATGTGTCCTTGTCCCTTCAATCCTTTCCACCTCTTCTACCCCTATATGATCACTCTCCTCATGCTAACACCTCTCCTTACTCAGCGTACAGACACCACATTGTCACACTTAATGGGTTTGCACTGAGTAGCTTTTGAGGAAAGGGAAAGGAGAAAGGAATGGGTGTTTGTTTTTTTTAATGGCAAAGTATATGTAATATTATATGGATGCTTAAGACCATTTTAAGTGCATATTTAGTGGCCCTCCTCTATAAACTTCTGATCTGTCCTGCTTTGGATGAGTTCATCTCTAGCTTGGCAGCATAGCTCTCACCTTAAACTTTTAGTCATGGTCATCCTATGTTTCTTTTTTGTGTTGGAATCATTTGCTTCATGGGATTTCTGTTCATTTCTCTTTTCACTTTGTTGGATCCTATCTCTTGGGTTTTTGAGGACTATATAAGCAAGAATAATTTGGAAACCTCATGTATCTGCAAACCTCACTGTACCACCATCATTCCCAATTATAGCAAAACTTTGTCTCTAGAGGCTGGGAAGGTGGCTCAGGGATAGAGTGCTTACCTTGCATGCATGAGGCCCTGGGTTCGATTCCTCAGCACCACATAAGCAGAAAAAGGTGGCTCAAGTGGTAGAGTACTATCCTTGAGCTGAAAACGCAGAGGGACAGCACCTAGGCCCAGAGTTCAGGCCCCATGACTGGCAAAAAAAAAAGAAAAAGAAAAAAAAATTGCCTCTGTTCAAGGAGGATCTCTTGCTGAGCCCGTGAATTTAGTTGGCAGAAGACAGATGAACAGGAGGAAAACTCCAGTTTATTTAGTAAAGTTCTATGGGACATACAAGCCTTCACAAGGAAATGAAAAACCAAACAAATGGTCCAATGTGTATAATTTTGTATCAAGTATAAAAAAGGAGACAATTATGGGAAAGGAACTAATGGATATGGGATGGCTAAAGGAAAACAAGAGCTACTTTTACAAGGTTGGTTGTTCAGAATTCTCTCAAGTCTTGACTCCTTATCTCTGGTGATATTGATGTTTCTTTCTTTCTAGAACAGGAAGAACATCTTTCATGTGGGAGTTACATCTTCTGCTTTCCCAAAGAAAGAGCCTTTAGCTCTAAAATAATGTCAAAATGGCATGTTTGGTCTGATAGTATTCCTCAGTAGTTTGGCTCGATATAGCTTTCTTTTAAAAAATTATTTTCCATATACTGCTGAAAGTGTCTAGTTTTCAGTGTTTTTCTGGGTTTTTTTTATTATATGTAATCTTTTTTTTCGTTTCCTCTCTAGAAGCTGTTAAATCCTCTCCTTTCTTTTTCCCCACTCTCCACTATGTGTTCAGAGCTTCCCAGTTGATTTCCAATTAGTTCTTGAATGTAAATAAACTGCTAAAGATCACCAAAATCTTTCTAAGTGTAGTCCTTATATCTAGATTCTACTTATACAAGTAGCTGATTTAAAAGACTCAAGTAAGCTGAATCAAAACCAGCAACAGGAAAATCTAGTTTGTACTGCAGAATACATGGAGGTCCAAGAATTGCTAGCACCAGGAAGTCAGAGGATACTAGCCTGGTAAAAAAGCAAGACCCTTTGCTGAATATCTGTGGCTCTTGTCACAAGTATTAATTATTAAAAATAATTAATTTAAAAAATTTGTCAGTAATGGGGCTTGAACTCCGAGCCTGGGCACTGTCCCTGTGCTCTTTTGCTCAAGGCCAGCATTCTACCACTTTGAGCCATAAGTGCCACTTCCAGTTTTCAAGTGGTTGGAGATAAGAACCTCACAAACTGTCTTGCCTAGGCTGGCTTTGAACCAAGGTCCTCAGATCTCAGCCTCCTGAATAGTTAGGATTACAGGTGTGAGCTACCAGCATCCAACATGAGAAATTTCATATCCTAGAACCTTACTGACCTGAATTTTTTCCCATTTGAAGGTTTCTTGTTCTCCCCAAGGTCTGAAGGTTTGGGTCCAAGACACTTCATATTTATGTAGCCGGGCGGGGCAGGTCCTCCCAGTCCGTATTCAGATGAATGGCTGGATTCACGATGGGAACCTGCTCTGCCCATCATGCTGGGACTTCTGTGAGCAGTGTCCGCCAGAAACAGACCCTCCAGCTGCCAACCTCACCAGAGCTCTTCCACTGGGTGAGTGCCCTCTGTGCTTGAAGGAAAGAGAGACATTCCCTTTAAGGGAAGGTCCCCATCTTTTGAAAAGTCTTCCTAGTGTAAGGTAGATAAGTGACCCTGCTACTTTGTATAGCCAGGGTAAGAAATGTGCTGTATAAAGCCTGACCCTCATCAAAAAACTCATTGAGAGTTTAAAAAAAAAAGTGGATGGGTCATCCATTCATTTTGAAATTAAGAGTAAACAAAATTTTTATCATAGGATAAGCACCAAATATATGTTAGTTGTATCATGGCTCTATGACTCTGAGAAGACATTGAGAGAAACACTTTTTTTTACTCTAACCTGGTGGATGCATCTTTTCTTCCTCCCTGTGTATTCTGTTCCTCTGTATTATAAAAAAAGGGAGGGGGGCTGGAGACATAGCTCAAGTGGTAGAGCACCTGCCTAGTAAGCAGAAGGCCCTGAGTTCAAATCCCAGTAACATAATATAAAATATAATATGTGTTCCAAGAAGTCACTTGATGCTTTTAAGGTAGTCCTGTCCATTTCCTAATAATCACCTCTACTCTTCTGACAGCATTTAAATGTTACGGTTTAATCAAAAAATATCTGTTGAAAGTCAATTTTTTTGTTTTCAACCCTAGATCTTTGTTCCCGTTCTTCTAGCCTGGTGGTTACCCTCTGGCTTCTTCTAGGCAATCTGTTTCCCCTGCTGGCCGGATTTCTCCTGTGTGTGTGGCATTAGGAATGGAAAAGTGAACTCTCAAGATGTTCACTATGTCATGCTCCTGTGAACAGAACACAAAATCTTAGTGAATGCTGCTCTATGCAGATGGCACAAGTGGCATTCCTGCCTTTGGCTTGGAACTGTTGACCACAGTCAGACCCTAAACCAAAGCTTCAGTCCTCATCAGCCTCACAGCCACCAGAGTCTGAAGAGGATAAGGATTGCAAGTCACCAAGTCTTGGTGCTTAGCATACATAATCTCCTGAAGTTTTCCTCTGAAAATGGGATCATTGGAATTCTCAGAGTGATTGCATACCTCAGCATTTTCATTAACCTAAGAAATGGGAAAGTTCATCTTCCCACACTGAAGTAACTTCACAACAACTAAATTTTGCAAACTGTGGATCCAACTCTCAAAGTATAAGATGTCCTTTGATTTACAGGAAATAATTGAATTGAGATTTCTGCATCACTATTACATCTACTTAATTTAATGGGTGAATGTGGTACACTGAAATCATTGATCTGAGTTGCTTGTTCTGAAGAATTTTAAATTAGATCTTTTAAATCTTATGATTTAACCATGCTTGCCTTTTTTGCCAGCTATGTGGCAGATTACCACAGTGTTGTTAGTGTTGCCTGCAGCACAGACTGGTTTTCATTAGAGATCTACTTCTATTAGCATTCCCATTATTTTAACAGTAGATTGAAAAATGTGGAAACAGAGTAAAACACACTGCTCTGTAAAAACAATGACATCATTCAAACAGAAAAGAAGACAATTGTATGTTTTTTTCAGAAAATAATTATGACGACTATAATCTAACAAAAGCAGAACTATCAGTGTGGATCAAAAGAAATTTTGATAATGATAGGTAGGCAACTATTTCCGGGTAGGCTAAGGAGATGTTACAGAAGAATTCCTAATATCTAAAAATTATCTTCTGGAAAAGAAGAAAAATGTAAATCAAAGCAAGTTGGCCCAAGCTGGGCACTGGTGGTGTATGCCTATAATCCTAGATGCTCAGTAGGCTGAGATCTGAGGATCAAAGTTCAAAGCCAAGCATAAAATCTATGAGACTTTTATATCCAATTAACCAGCGAAAGCCAAAAGTGAAGGTATGGCCCAAGTAGTATATTGTGCCAGCCTTGAACAAAAAAGCCAAGAGCACAAGGACACAAATTGAAGCCCCATTACTGGTACAAAACAAAACAAGATAGTTCTAATTATTTACTAGTCAGAAATTGCATGTTCAGTGTACAGTCTGCTAGGCTCTATTGTGACTTAGTCCACAGAAGTTGGAAGATTGCCTTTGATTTAAATGTCTGTTCCCTCATGCATTTGACATTCCTGTCACCACACAGATTCTGTGAATCAATTCTGTTCTAATACCAGAGCTTGTCTGGTATTATTACCTGTTAGGAATTCAGTGGTGGAATTCTTTAATGATAGATGATGCTCAGTTTTTTTCTCTGAAGATAGTCATTTTTAGCCCGGTGCCAGTGGCTCACACCTGTAATCCTAGCTATTCAGGAGGCTGAGATCTGAGGATCATGGTTCAAAGCCAGCCCCTATGATACTCTTACCTCTAACAACTCAAAAACAGGAAGTGGTGCTGTGGTTCAAAGTGGCAGAGCTCTAACCTTGAGCAAAAGAGCTCAGAGACACGCCCAGGCCCTGAGTTCAAGTCCCACAACTGACAAAAAATAAATAAAAGTCATTTTCTGTGATACAACACAACACTTGGACAAGCTTCCCTTTTTTTCTCCTTCCTTCCATTTCAGTTATGCATTTAAGAGTAATGCATTTAAGAAATTGTGCTACATGAGCAAAGCAGCAAAATACTGAGAATGAATTCCAGTTATTTGACACTATAGCCAAATGTAAAGGCCCAGCAGAAAGAAAAGCCACTTGTTTATTTTTTATTTATTTTTATTTTTTGCCAGTCCTGGGGCTTGGATCAGGGCCTAGGTGTTGCTGTCCTTGAGCTTCTTTTGCTCAAGGCTAGAGCTGTACCACTTGAGCCACTCACCACTTCTGGCATTTTCTGTATGTGGTACTGAGGAGTCAAACCCAGGGCTTCATGCATGCTAGGCAAGCACTGTACCACTAAGCCACATTCCCAGCCCCACCACTTTTTTTTGTTTGTTTGTTTGTTTTGGGGGGGTCCGGTCGTGGGGCCTGAACTCTGGGCCTGGGCACTGTCCCTCAGCTCTTCAGCTCAAGGCTAGCGCTCTACCACTTGAGCCACAGCGTCACTTCTGGCTTTTTTCTTTTTGCTTATGTGGTGCTGGGAATCGAACCCAGGGCCTCAGGCATGCAAGGCAAGCGCTCTACCACTGAGCCACCTTCCCAGCCCCTTTGTTTTGTTTTTTGTCGGTCGTGGGGCTTGAACTCTGGGCTTCGGTGCTGTCCCTGCGCTCTTCATCTCAAAGGTGAGCACTCTACCACTTGAGCCACAGTGCCACTTCCGGTTTTTTCTAATGGTTTATTGGAGATAAGAGTCTCACAGACTTTCCTGCCCAGGCTGGTTTTGAACCACGATCCTCAGATCTCAGCCTCCTGAGTAGCTAGGATTATAGGCATGAGCCACCGATGCCTGGCTCCACCACTTGTTTTTAAATGTAGAACTTTGAAATGTATGTTTGCATATAGTTGGAGGTATTTGTCATTGTGGAAAGCTGAAGCCCCCAGACCTAGTCAACTTTGGCTGAAGAGATCTCAGTGATATTTTGCAGACCAGTGCCCAGTGTTCTGCCTATGCCATGCAGTCTTTAAATTGTGCAAGGTCAGAGAAGAATACACAGGATATTTTTAAAGAAATGTACAATAAATTTATATGCCTATTATGATTATGAACCATCCTATAAAGTTGTGTAAAGCATTTCACCAAAAATACAATTAATTGGTAATATATTTGAGATTCACAGTGAGAGACTTGAGTGTATTTTGACTGTTGTGCAGTTACACCATTTAGGTAGTATGGTTTCCAAGCATGGTGCTTTTTATACTTGAAATATATTTTTGCTTTATTTTTTATTGACATATTTGCACTAATGAATTTATGGAGAAATTATTATAGATGACTTTTTGTATATGTATTTATTAAGCTTGGAATCTGGTGTCCCCATGTTTTCTCTGTACAAATATGAAATTCAGTGAAGCATGCTGTCAAGAAATCATGAGTTCCTGAGGACAGCTAATTGCACTAGTAGTCCTGGCCTCTTCAGCAAGGCTCAAATGTGGTTGCTTATCACTGGTTCTGATTTAGAAGGACACAGAACTTGCTTTAAAAAAAAAAAATATATATATATACTTATATACACACACACACACACACATATGGCAAATTTTAGTCACTTAGAATATGACAGTGAAACAAAGACTTAAAATGTGAGCTTTCAGTGCAGAATTATTGGTATAGAATTCAGTTGTGAACCGAAGAATGTGAACTGACCTCAGTGCTGGTGTACTATGGCTGGTTAGTACCTTCAGTTGAGCAAAGACAAAACCAGACACCTGTGTATAAGACTGAAGTAGTAGCAGCCAAGGCAGAAATGGCATGGAGCCGGGTAGAATGAAGGACAGTAGGTTTGGGGACAGTATACAGGAATCTCTTCCAACTCATAAAATGGTCAGTGTTTAAATGGACTGCCTCAGTTTTCAGTTCAGACTTAGATTCATTTTGATTGTTTTAAGGTCCAAGTTGTCAAAATAGCATGTAATTTGTCTCAGGTTTTTGAAAACAATTTGCAGGAAGAAAGCAAAAGCCATGTCAGTAGTCCTTAAACTGACAGCTTTATAAATCCTGGCAAGCAGTTTGGTAGTCTTCATGTAGATCCTCTAATATTCTCTGGGAAGATACATCCTTTTTCCTTGCCTAGTTCTTAGAATCAGTAACCCTTACATGATGTTAAGACCAAATGGACATTCTAAAAACATTATTAATTATGCTTGATATTAGTTTTCAGCCTCTGTTGGCTTAAAGTATATCAATATTTGAAGATGAAATATAATTTTATAAGATTAGTTTTAGGAGGGTACATAAGTATATTCTGTGAAATTTCATCAATGTTGTCCTTGATATTAGAAGACTTACCAATTGATGCCATCTGTAAAACAAATAGGTGATTTCTCTAATAACTAATGCTCATCCAGAATTGCAAGATCACTGCTGGCTCTGATAACCTTCCTGGAGTATGGCAGCCTGTGTGTTGTGTTCATCATGGCATCTTGTGCTTGATTCCTTACCCACACACGTCTCCGGAAACTGATGGACAGAGAAGTGTTGTCATTGAGGGCAGTTGAGTGATCTGGATAGAAGGAGATGGACTTCAGGACCAGCCCCACAGCCCACCTCACAGTGGGCACTGGCCATTCCTGCCATGACTTTGCAGCCCAGGAAGACTGTGACATAGTTTGATAAAGAATGTGCTTCTCATTCTGAAGAAAAACTTACGTGAAAGGAAGATTTTTTTTTTAAAAATTAATATATATATATATATATATATATTGGGTCAGCATTGGGGAGGGAGTGGTGAATTCTTTTATGTTTACATTTTTAATAAGTAAAATGGAAGATTTAAGAATTATTCTTTATGGTATGGAATATTAAGTGTAATATATTCCTTAGAATAATACAACTTTAATAAAAAGTAATTTACATGTTTACTGTGTAACACCATCTGTTTTTTTTCAAGTATCACAATGTTTATTGATAGATACAAGTATATAAAATCAAGGCATGAACATGACTTGATAAATTAAGTAGACTTAATTTCAATACTATAATAAAAGGGACCAATTCAAAATCTCATCATTTGTTTCACACCCACAAAACCCACCAAGGGCATTAACGATCTCTCAAAACTGATCAGCTTTGTGCAAGTAAACCATGTTTCTTTTAAAAAGACTTGTGCACTTGCCCAGGCTCAAGGATATTAAAATCTAGCACATAAAGCCCATTACTAGAGGTAGAAATACAGGCAATATACTATTACAGCAACAACCATCAATTACAGCTAAGAATTTTTCTGTAACAACCAAATGGATAATCAAATATTGCAACAAATCAAGTATTACTGAGCAAAGTGCATTTCTACAGTATTCAGTGTTGCTATTCAGTTTTCTAACTTAAAACAGCCTATGATAACTGGCAGCAAAGAAGGTCCTTGCAATAGACTGCCTCTGCTTGAGAACTTATGATGTAATTATTGCATGCTGCTAATATACTATCTAAACATTAAAGATACTCCTAAAATATTTGATGGTAGACTATGAGTAAGACATTACACTACAAAAAAACCTTATGCAGAAGGAAACCCTTACTGACGTGCTTCTTTAAATATTGTGAAAACATTACAGCGGAATGAATTTTCGCAGTGGTTAGGTCAAATGCAGTTACATCATAGCAACAGTATGTTTTGCACAATTTAAGGCTTTGGCTGGTTCTTTAGTTAGCTTCTTCCTCTGATTCTTCTTCTTCAGCAGTTTCTAGCCAGGTTAGTCACTGATTCACCTGGAACAAAGCCTTGCCTTTCCCTGGAAACTCTTGGGTTATATTTTCTTTCCAAGCCAAGAAAGCTTCCTCTTCAATAATTTCTATATCATAGAAATGAACAAAAAGCCGGGCGCTGGTGGCTCATGCCTGTAATCCTAGCTACTCAGGAGGCTGAGATCTGAGGATCTCGGTTCAAAGCCAGCCCGGGCAGGAGAGACCGTGAGACTCCTATCTCCAATAAACCACCAGAAAACCGGAAGTGGCGCTGTAGCTCAAGTGGTACAGCGCTCGCTTTGAGCTGAAGAGCTGAGGGACAGCGCCCAGGCCCAGAGTTCAAGCCCCACGGCCGACAAAAAAAAGAACAAAAAAGCGGAGTAACATGTCTTTTGGGAAGTTGCTGTTGTAACAGTGCACCTGCAGAGCATACAGGACACTGACCTGTAGATCAACGTGATCATGAAGGAATTTCTGCATCACTAGCTTGAAAGAA